GGGGAGGGGGAGGGGGAGGGAGGGGAGAAAGGGGGTAATGGCAATGGCAATGGCAGCTTCCGCAATCTCGTGTTCTGGCCCGTGGAGTCGGGGAAGCGGAAGGATGTGAGTAAGGAGAATGTGGAGGGGTTTATGCGCCATTCCCCGCAGGCGGATGGGTCGTCCACTGCGTTGTTGGCGGTGCTGAAGGCGGAGCGCGTTCGCTGGCATCCGGATAAGATCCAGCAGCGGTATGGAGGGCTTGGGATCGAGGAGGCGGTGCTGCGCTCGGTGACGGAGGTGTTTCAGATTATCGATCACTTGTGGAATGATCTTAGGGCTACCGGCAGAGATTCTGCCTGAGCCTCCTCATGGATGCTGGATTTTGGGACTCAAGTCGGACGTATACCAGTTGGCATATATGCATTCCGGGCGTGTGGATGTTTTAGCGATTTATGATACCCTCGACCTTATGATAGACAATTGGTCATGACCGATACGATACAATGATTACCCATACACCGTAAGTCAAGGCTAAGACATCTTCACCTGCTCAGTCGATTCATATACGCATTCACAAGAAACTAAAACTTTCTCATCTCGTTGCCACCCACACCCACTTCAGAATCTCGAGTAGCGCTGCTTGGACCGATACGCCGTCCAACCCACGTACGCGCCCACGACGGCGGCCAGGAACAGCACCACCTTGAACAAGAACCAGCCCCAGCTGCCCTTCTTCTGGCGGCGCTTGACCCGAGCCGAATCCTGCCCGCGGGCGCGCGAGGGCCCGCTCTTGCTGCCGGGGCTGCCACCGCCGACACTGTACAGGTTCTGGGACTTGACGGAGACGATGTCGAAGTTGTCGCTGAGCTCGCCCGTCTCCGCGGAGAAGCCCAGGTAGGCGACGGAGGGGATGGCGATGTTCTTGTCCTCGGCGTTCAGCTCGAAGCACTGGATCCAGGTGTCCTCCTTCTTGTACTGCAGCTCCAGCGTCAAGGTCTTATCCTGGAAGTAGGTCAGGCGGGCCTTGGTGGGGATGGAGGCGCCGCGGAGACCGCGAGCCTTTTGTGCGCGTCACAATAAATTAGCACATGGTTCTTCTTGCTGCAGGGAAAGCCACACAAGCCGGGCAAAAGAAAAAAAAAAAAAAAAAACGTACAGAACATCCAGCCAACTCATTGGCGCGGCCGTCATGGGCCTGGTCGTACGAGGTCTGGCCATCGCCCATCATGGCCATGACGTAGGGGAACGTGGTCCCGGGGCGGTTGTTCTTGTAGGTGTCGAAGAAGATGCCCAGCCCCTCGAAGTTGTCCGTCGAGCCGAAGACGGGGCCCTGCGTCGCGCGCTGCTTGGTGAGCCACATGGCGAACCCATCGCCGTGCAGGTTGCCGGCGCCGTGGATCTTGAACTCGACCTCGATCTATTGAGGAACGTACATATCAGCCCAGCCCAGCCCCACCGTGTCCCGCATAGGAAACCATTTCTCGCTGTGCAAAACCATTCAAGCACAATGGAAACTGACCTCCCAGTTCGTCGCGGTCAAGGGCACCCGAGAGAAGATCCAGCCCTGCTGTGAAGGTCGATCGGAGGTAAGACGGATGTATCTGCAAACCGACAAAGCAACGCGCAGTGGTCAGCTTGATCTAAAAAATGAAAAATGTCGGAGGAGCTCTCGTACTGGTCCGCCCGGATTATCGTATCACCACCAAAATCGAACCAGCGGCTTTGGAAGTCGGAGTCCAAGTATGGCTATATTGGTCATTCGGTCAATAAGACGGGTAACCTTGGGTAACCTTGTCGTGGGTGCGAAAGAGAAACCTACCGGTGCGAGACTATGGGTCCGAAGCTATACCACCCTCCGCACATCGCATTAGTTGATCAATGATCTAGGATAGCAGGAACGATCGTCTTTGGAAATGAATACACACCGGGATGCTCTTCACATCGTCGCCGTCGTAGGCATTGGCCAGTGGGACCGAAGCGAGGCCAGCAAGGCAGAGGAGAGACGAGAGCCGCGGAAGCAGCATGGTGATATCACAATCTCAATTGAAACTTGAGCTGCACACAATGGTCAAAGGTCGTGAGATCGAAGAGAACAATAGACGACAGCGCGCAAGGCCGGCAAAGGTCGCAACGACGGGAGAAGGTAGCTTTTTTTTTATTGGTCACCAGGACATATAACAGCTTCTGGCAAAGGTTCGGGTAAAAGAGTCCCCCCACACGTCAGATGGCCAGCAAGCTTGAGGTTTGGAGGAAACTCAAATAAACAAACCAGAATCCAGAACTTACCTCAATTGCGGAAGAAGGTAAAGACTCCGGGAAGGGGGAGTTGACAAGAAAGTTATTTGAGAAAGAACGAACACCGGAGATAGTCGGAGGGGAGAAGAGAGAGAGAGAGAGAGAATGACAGGTGGTGTGTGTGAGGTGGTTGGTTGGATGAGGAGAGGGATCTATAACTAAACAACACTGCGGGAAACTCTCCAAGTGTCCACATCGCCGGTCCAGCAAGTTAGCTCATTGCTGTGGCGCAGCTTTGAACCTTTGAACAAACACTAGCCACAATCTGATCTCCGCCGCCGCCGCGCCGCGCCGCAAGATCTTGAACTGCGGGAATCGTCACGGTTCTCCGATACAACCATTTCCTCACTCATTAACCTTGTATATTAAACCACATTTCTCCTCTCTCTCTCTCCCTCCACAACTCAAGAAACTCACACAATGGCCCTCTTCGGTTCCTCCTCCTCCGCCGAGGCCTCCTCCCCTTCCTCCAGCCAGGAGATCAAGGCCTCGCTCATCCGCCAGGTCCAGGAAGAGGCCGCCATGAGCAATGCCCGGAGCTTGATCGGCGTATGTGTCCCCCCCGTCACTCTGCTTGACATCCATACCCCAAAGCCATATCCAATGCCCCTCTTACCTCAATCGATTCTATGCACAAAGCTACCCGTATTCTAACAACTCCCACAGAAGGTCAACGAGCACTGCTTCGACGCCTGCGTCCCCACGCCCGGCGCCTCCCTCTCGGCCAAGGAGTCCACCTGCCTGTCGCAATGCATGGAGAAGTACATCGGCTTCTGGAACGCCACCAGCCGCGCCTACATCGCCCGCGTCTCCAAGGAATCCAAGAGCCTGGGCGGCGCCGACCTGTCCGGTGTTTCTCTGTGAGCGAAGCAGACTCTTTCCAAAAACAAAATATGAACAACGTTTCCCTCTGTATTCTATAGTTTTCGGAGTCGAAGGCCCTCTTTCTTCCATATCTTGATACTTTTTCATTTGGGTAGAAGATGAAGACGAATGACGCTTGGGATTGGCGTTGATGTGCATCCCTCTATCGCGGGTGTAGTGGTAGTGGTGCCAGCGTGGAGCAGGTCTGGGAATTGATCATAGCCCCTGGGCTTGTGGACACGCGTTTCATGAAGCAGCAACCTAGGACACAAAGCATGGTGCGGGTCCGTTTTCCATGTATACTATCGGGTGGTCATTCAAGAGGGCGCTTACACTTGCTCTTTGAATACGACGGGGTCGGGCGATTGCTTGAATGTAAAAGAGTCTCTTCAGCCGTTTCAATATCTAGCTCCTCTCCTCTCCTCTCTTCTCTTTTCTAAACATCAGCTACCGAATGGTAGCCGCGCTGTCCACGTATCTCCAAGGTCGACTTTTATAGCTATTAGAAAATCCCCAATTGTATGTACATTATACAATAGCCTCCACACGCTACACGGACAGAAAAATGATCCAAGAAAACCCGAATATATCCCCATATTTTGCACAACATAGATAGAAACGAACAGCACGAGACCGATTCAAAGAGCGGTCATAGGTGATAGAACAGCAGACAGGCGCCCCCGCAAGATTCAGCACCGCCACCGCGGTTAGTAACTCCACCCACGTCCCTTCGTGATAACAACCAGCAGCAGAAAGTAAGCAAGCCATAGGCCAAAGGATGCTGTTCTCTTGTTCGAGAAACCGTGCGAGTCGAAATCGAGCCGCAACTATGCACCATCGAGATAGACAGGAATCGAGGGACGAGAACGGAGAAAGGGTTGAGCCAGACGCAATTTCCAAAAGAGAAATCAAGAAATATGTGAACAGGATAAGACCATATTGTTATATGCTCTAAAAGTCTGGGAGCAGCCAAGGCTTGATTCGGCCAGCGATCATGGAAACAGACAAGCCGACGCAGAGATAAATTCATCGCAGCGACAGTGATAAATGATAACTCAAAATAAGGCCATTCTAGGTAGCCTCGGGAGGAAACTCCGGGGAGAATCGATTACACCCGCTCTTAAACGCCCCGGGAACCATCAATCGACTCGATTCCGCAAGAACAAATCCATGGAACGGCGGGATATCATCTCATCATGAACCATGGCGACCTCTAGAAGTCGGGGAACAGATGGCCGTGGCTTTTTCAGGTTAGCAAGGCTAAACGCGAAAGGCAAGAGATTGGGATTACATACGGATCTTCTCCAGCCATGCCGTATTGTTCCGTCTCTTCTGGATACCGGTCGTACTGGCTGGCGTCACCTTGCCCGCCCCGAATGGGCGGCACATAAGGAGCATCAATATCCTTCCGGGCCAGGCGGTCCCAGGTGACCTCGGCGAACCAGGGGTGGTTCTTCACATCCTCAGAGCCTCCATGAAGGTTACCCAGACGCTTGGTGAGGTCCGCTGTGATGAGCTGCGATAGCAAGTCGACGGCATCGGGATGCAGGTAAGGCGGGTACTTGACTCTGCCTCGCAGGATATTCTCATAGATCTTCACCGGAGAGCCGCTGTCCCAGAAAGGTGTGAAACCGCAAAGCATCTCAAAGATCAAAATTCCCAATGACCACCTTTAGCAAAGTTAGCAGTGCTGCGGGACCACCAGCGGATAGCTCCTTACCAATCCACGGATTTGTTATAACCCTTGGAGGACACGACTTCTGGGGCCAGGTAATCGGGGGTTCCACAGAGGGTCCATGTGATGTCAGGGACCTCCTTCGCGAAACCAAAATCGGTGATCTTCAAGTGTCCGTGCCGATCCAGAAGCAAGTTCTCGGGCTTGAGATCTCGGTAGATGATCTGCTGGGAGTGGAGGTACTCCAAGGCAAGGGTCACCTCAGCGGCATAGAACTTCGCGACAGGATTGGGGAATCGCTGAAGCTTATTAGCACAGGCTCAGTGAAGGGACTCCAATACCACGGAGCATTGTGCGACCACCTACCTGGGACTTGCGCAGCAGACTGAAAAGTTCACCACCTTCTACAAAGTCCATGACCATGTACAGGTTGCGCGAATCTTGCCAGGTACCCCAGAGAGTGATCAGGAACGGATGTCTGACCCGGTTCAGCATACGACGCTCGTCGTTGGTGTGCTCGATCTGCTTCATCTTGACCACCTGCGCCTTCTTCAACACCTTGATGGCATAGAAGCGATGGTTGTGCTTGGACTGCACGAGGTGAACACGACCAAAACTGCCGGTTCCCAATGTGCGCTGCAGAATGAAGTCATCTAGGGAGTATTTTCCCTTGGTGGTACGAGCATCATTGCGATTGGCTGATTGGCCCTGGGCCTGGCTGCCGGAGCCAGAGTGCGTTGAGCCCTGCTGGGAGGAGTGAATTATGTTCTGTATGCTGGCGGCATTGACATTGGACTGTGAAACACCGGGGGTGTGTTGAGAGGGCGACGCTTGCGACACGGTAGATTGCATGGAGACTGGTTGACCCTCGTTGGATTGATCGGCTGTGGAAGAGCGGTTGGGCTGGTTGGCGGCCGAAATTTGCGGCTGATTTGCGGGGTCAGCGGTAGTGGCGGAATTGGAGGCAGGTTGCTGGTGCTGGTGCTGGTGCTGCTGTTGATTTTGCTGGTGCTGCTGGTCGGGATTATTGTGGTGGTGGTGAGTGAGATAGTGAAGAGGGTTATGGTGGTGGTGGTGGTTGTGGTTGTGGTCGTCTTCGGCAGCGTTTGGTGACGTCTGCGTCTGGGCCGAACCGGCTTCAAGCTCTTTAGAGAGGGTCTGCGAATCCTTAGTTCGCCGCTTCTTCAACAGTCCTCCTAAACTAGGCATCGAGAAGAGAAATCTGAAACAAGTTTGAAATGCAAAACGAACACACAGACCATACGAGAAGGTCTATGTGGGAATAAATAAGAAGTTGGAGGATTTCGGGATACGTTGAGGGGAAGGAGAGGGTTGAGGGGAGGGGACGGAATTGTGTGCACGACACGAGAAAGAGTAGTGAGTTAGTCTCAGCCCCTCTTTTTGCAGCAGCGCAACTGCACTTTTCGGGGAGGGCAGAAAGGGATTTGGAGGGGGAGGGGAACAGCAAAGGAGGGGGAGGCCCGGATTGATTGAGACCTGGGCAACAAGCAGCCAGCTTTTTTTTTTTTTTGTTTTTTCGTTTTTTTTCTTTTCCTTTTTCTTATCCTTTTTCTTCTCTCTGACTTTAAGTTCTCTCCCTCTCTTGTCTCAATCAGCTCTTTTTCTTTTGGGATGGATGGTTCGGGCGCGGATACAGCGGAGCCACCCAAGCAGAAGTCTCAACTCTGAACTGAGATGGCGGTCAACGGAAACTCAATTGGATCGAAGGATGGAGACAAGAAGACTTGATCGATCTCTGGACTGTTTACTGTGCACTGAATAGGGCTGTTTGACGGTGCGGAGAAGAACGAGGAGGAGTGCAGAAAAGGTAGGAGAAGAGCAGACAAAAGAAAGGGACTTAATGGGAAGAAGAGGGGGTTGGAAAAGGGAAGCCAAAACAGCAAGTAAACCTCTCAAGAGCAAGAGGAAGAATAAGAAGCGGGGTTGGATTTGCGTCAAGCTCAAGGCTGGCTGGGATGGGCATAGCGTTTGACGACCAACTACTTACCTAGATGTACTTAGCTCCAGTTAGATCAGGGATAATGTTAATGGGGCCTGGCTATATCTTTAGTAGACCATTGCTATAACTACAGTGCAGAGCAGGTACTGTTGTCCCCTACACTACCTAAGTCTGATCTCCATCAATAGACTAGCTGAATGACAAGCATCGTCTCTCTCTCATGAATCAACATCTCCCGAACAAACACCGACCACCCGACCATCTAGACCTGATCAATCTGTCCTTCCACGAGTGCGAAAGATGGAAGGATACACCCTGCAGATAGACTAACTACTAGATCATCATGACTTGTTTTTTTCGCACCGAGGCTCATACCCATCAAAGTCGCCACGAACCATGGACCAGGACCTCGCGGGGATGTCATACTCATCATTCAATCAATCTATCTTCATCAAGCTCCGATGCGATGAGGTCATCATCCCTCCGTTCTCAGATCGACTAGTGTCGACCAACCGAGAGAGCGATTCCGCCAACGGTAAAATCCGTCCTGACGTGATAGACCGAGGATGCCTTCAGTAAAAGTACAGCATGTAACAGTGTAGTAAGGTGGTTACTCTTGGTTCCCTGTTCCTCCTCAATGTTTCAAACTCTCTTTTCCACGTCCACACGAGATAAGACGTGCATGTCACTCTGCAGTTCTTGCTGCATTGATCCGGTTGTGAAACGAGGGTTGATAAGAGGGGGGTGGAGTAAATGAGTCCACTCAGTTCCGGAGTCAACGTGGCACCCCCTACAGTCGAACACTGTTGGATATACTGTAACTGGAAGTTTGAGACTCGAGTTTGAGAGTCAGTCAAACTGGCTGGCGGTGACTTCATCACTGACCGCCCCGCCTTGATGGATATACCTCCAAGTGGTCTAGTGCGAATCTAGTCTAGTCCAGCTTAGCTTGGTTGTGGATCGCCCCGCTTTCGGGGTGTTTTTTTTCTCTGCCTCGTCCACCCTTTTAAGCTTCGAATGCAATGGTTGAGCCTGCGCCTATCCGTCTATGTTTCGGGTGAGCACGGCCAGACTACTATGAGTATGGACGCTTGCATCCATCCTCCCCAATGTTCGCCATATGGCTTTCCTGCCCATGCTGTGGCATGCGGCTTGTCTTGTGTTACACTGGCTGAAACCTTAATCCTTAATCAAGGCCAACTATCGGTACGTTGATTACTCAACGGGCACGATGTTTATATGTACGGTACTTTGAATGCCATCACGGCTGAATTGAATAGCGAACCAACCCTCCTCCCCCCTCCCACAAAATAGATGAACGCCCGCTGCACTCCATTCCAAAATGCTGTTTCAACCCCCAGAGTCACCCTGCCGCGTCACAGAAATACAATGGGCTAGACAAGGCCGCAGGCCTAAATGCGATAATGGACCATATTTTTCTTGATCTCATCCACGATTTCCACCGCCTCGAGAGCGTTGCGTGCCTCGAAGTCATACCGTTTCTGCTCGTTGGCATCGTTGCCGCGCAGAACCACCACCCGAAAGTTCTTAGGGTGTCGTCGACTCACTTTGCATCCCACTACGTCGTTGAAGCTTATTGACCGCGTCTTCGTGTCGGACACCGTCTTGCCTGTATCCGCCGGCATGATATGCATGTAATCATTGTCGAACGTCAAAACCCGATGGTTGGACTGCGTGAACGACATAGACTGTTTGCGCCACACATAGTATCGTCGATAGTAGCCTCCGGTAAGGTCTTGTTTCTGTGTGAGAGGGTGAAGCATACGTTGGCCGCTCTTCTTTCCTTTCTTGGCCGGAGCGGTGTTGCTGTCGATGAGAAGGGGCGCATTGGGCGATGAGCTGCCCGGGGAGCCAGTCATTTGAGGCCCAAATCGCCGGCGCACGAGGTCTAGGTCGGTGAGGTTGCCCAGAGCTTCCACTGTTCGGTCCAAAGGTGCAATTGTACTGGATCCCATCACCTTCAACAAGTAGTTGCCCTTGTCAAGGCCCCAGCGTTTGCACACGGAGTCAAGAATCTCGGCAATGTAGCTGTCGGTCGAGGTATTGAGTGTCATCACCTGTATCGAGGCCTCTACATTGGTGTATCGGATCTTCAACGTTTTGGAAACCCCTAGGCGAGGGGTAGCATGAGACGTAGGTACAGCTGGCCGATCGGCAGGTGTCAAAGTATTGTCGTTCAGGGCCGAGGAGAAGGGCTGTCCAAGGATAGGGTTCGGACGAGGCGCCTTGGCCTGTGCTATAGGCTGGCTTGCTGAAGCAGGTGCACTTGCAGCAACTTCGGCACTGTTATCCTCCGAAGATGGTGCCAAACTGAACATGGGAAAGAGACGCTCATTCTCTTCGAATTCGGCACCGGACGCTTCCACAAGAGCGAATTCGTCGTATTGTTTCCCTCGCGTACGGCGGCCAGCTGCCCGGTTGTTGTTCGAGGTAAAGTCGGCGATTGGGGATGTGCGGCTGAGTGCGGGAAAGTCATACTCAACTTCACCGTCCTCCACCATCCGTAGAGTCCACATGTTCACAGTGAGCTTGTTCCGATCGATGGCCGGTTCGCGACCATCCTCTGTGTATCGCCAAAGGGCCAACCCAATGGCTTCGACAACTGTCACTGGGGCTGGCTGCTCTGCTAGCTTCGACTCCCGAGCAATTGGCAGATCCAAGGGCTCGTCAGGATCAGTAGAGAATGGCAAATACAGTTTGATATTGAGCACATCGGTCAGACCTTTGCCGGACAGTACGGCGAATTTCTCGACCGGGTTCGTAGGTGCTTGCTTGCGCGCATTGAGGGCCTTCGATAGCAGACTTACCGGTTGAATCGTGCTGATCGGACGCGGCGGTGGGAGGTCTTGCAACTCTGCCGCGGGAGTCCGGGACTTTCGTGGCGATGCGGTTTGTGATCCGGCCCCATTCTGCAATTTGTGCATCAACGCGATTGGCGAGGAGGAATCCAGGCTACCAGTGATACCGACATTTTCCAAGAGGGAAGTCGACCCCGCGGTGGCGTCAAAGTCCGATGAAAGAGCCGAACCCACCGACTCTGCACCAGAGTCCTCTGCCTGTTCATCCAGCTCTTCGAGGTCTCTGTTACCTGCCCCTTGTCTGTGCCTCCTGAGTTCGATGACCTGATCTTGTCCGGAAAACTGGATCTGTCTCCTCTTGAAAAGGGATGAGCTGAGATCGTTGTCGGACGAAAGGTCACTGCTAGCCGTCGTAGTTGTATCGCGGCGCGGTCGCTCGTTGACGCTGCTAACAGCGGTTCCCAACGAACCCGTGCGGTAATGGGTACCCATAGCTGGATGCGATGGAGAGGTGACCATGACCTGAGGGCCCTCCTGGCGATCGGTTGAACGTATCGGAGACGATCCGGCTCTTGTTCGGATGGGCAATTTCGGAAACTTCATCTGGCTGGCACCGCTGCAGTAAGTGAGTATTTAGCTATCTCCCTGGTTGTCGCGAGGAATAGCGAATCACCAACCTTGGAGCGCTATCCCCATCATCGTCGCTCTCGTCACTCAAATCACTGCTATCGTCTTCCTCAGCCTCCCGATGCTTCTGTTGATCATTCTGCTGGCGATCCCTCCGGTGCGTGCGTTTCCCTCTGAGATTCCGCCGTCCGATAATCTCCATGTTGCTCTTTCCTGTCACCATCCCGCCTTCGTCGTCGTCGCCATCTTCTCCCACCCCAAGCCGCGCCGCCGACTCATTGGCATCTCTAGCGATACCGAGTTGATAATATTCCGAGGCGACAGCTGTGGTGAGGGGGATGGGAGGCGAGTATGTCCGCTTGATTTGGGCGGCGCCTGTCTGGGCGTTGGGGTTGGCGGAGGCGGAAGACCAGCCCGCAGCACGGAAACCGGGAGTATTGAGCACGGTATTGTTCACATTGATGAGGCGGTCACCGATGCCATCTTTGATGGTCGAGAGGTAAGAAGTGCGCAGTTGCCATATCGTGAAACTAGAACCCCCATCAGTCCCTAGAAGCACACACGAACCACCACCGCGTAACATAAGCGATGCGGAGATCACAATCCTGTAACATACTCTTCATTGTGAAGGAGCGACATTTTCCAGAGGGAGCAGAGTGGTATGCGGATAGTACGGGAGTTCGAAAAGGTATGTTGCAGCCAAACGTGGCCACCATTTACGTCGGACGATGCGCAATCGCTATCGGTGATCGAGTGGGCATGGTCCTAGAACGGCGTAACAAAGGGAAGTGGATAGTTGCGCCAGAATCAAGGAGCAATAGGTTGGCGGTCAAGAAAAGAGTGTGTCAGTTGCAACCAGGACCAGCCTGAGGAGCTGCAGAGAAGATGGGTAACGAGAGATAAGTAACCAAGGCAGTGAGGCCGCACGGTGGGTTTATGGGTTGTAGAGGAGGCAATCAATCAATCTCACCCGAGCGTAGTTACACGGGAGGGGAGGGGGAGATCCCGTGCAGTGGTCGCATCTCCGCACCGCCGCCTTTGTTAAGCCAAAAGAGGCTTAGCGTCCAGGGTAAGTCGCGTCAATCTATGAGTATACAATACAGTACAGTAGTTACATCACGATGGTATTCATCGCACGCCATAGACACCATCTCATCTCAGTAACTACGGCAACTAGAGTCACGAATCAATCACAGATTAACAGCTAATGGCAGGACGGTGAAGTCATCCATTCATCTTCCACCCTACTTATTACGAAAGCCCGGCCTGCGACGTCCGGCCAGACCCTGCCACACATCAAGGGCTCGCTCAGAGTATCATACATAAAAGAGTTCAGCTCATGTCAACATCACCCAGACTTCGCCTTAGGCTTCCGACCTCTCGCCTTATTCGGCTTCTCCTCGTCTTCGTCCGCTGTCTTCTTTGTCTTCTTCCCCTTGCTGGCACCACTCTTCGCGGCCGACTTCTTGGGCACTCGGACGTATTTGTCTTTCTTCAGGTCAAGCTCCTCAGCTTCATCGTCCTTTGACTCTTCAAGAACCTCCTCTTCATCCGATTCCTCCACAGCGTCTTCGATATCGGGTTTCTCCTTTGCCATCTTCTTGGGAGCCGTCACACTGCTCGCCTTGATGAACGGAAGGGGGTGTGAGCGTTGATTATAGACCCGCGTAAATGAGGCCTTCGTCTGTGTTTCCAGCTTCGCATACTCTGCATCCATCGGACCCAAGCCCAGCTCGACTAGGGCATCCCAGTCTTCCCTGGTGAGGAAATAACTATCCATGAAGTCGATGACTTCCTCAACGGCGTCTTTACCTTCAACCTTCAATCTGCGGACCAAGCGATCCCAGAGCAGGGGCATGTACTGTTGCCGAATCTCATCTCGGTCGCCGGATGCACGTAGGCGCATATGGCCTTGAATTTCCTTGACATAACGCCACAATTTTCCTGCGTACCTGTATTAGACATGCTTTAAGAGGGTATCGAAGAACAAACATACCTTGCTTGCTGTTTTGCCCCAACCAACCAGCAAATGTAGGACGTTCTCCCATCGCTCCATACACGAAGCTGGCAGGTCGAACAAAACTAAAAGCAGCATGAGTAGGCATTAAGCTCCATTGCTGCTGAGTTCCATGAATCATGCGATCAACAAGGTCGCCGTCGCTGATACTAGAGGCTGCGTTGTCGATCAATTCGAGTTGCTTCAACCTCTGCTCTCGACCTTGGTACCCAGAGGCCAATGTCTGCCTTGTCTTGAGATAATTCTCCTGGACCATCAAATAGCTAAATTCGTGGTCATTGAAGTAAAGCTCGATTTTGTCGTTAAGAGTGCTTTTCGATGTGTGTGCGAACATTTGGGGTCCGAGGATCTTGTTCACGATATCCCATGGTTTAAGAATAATATGCTTTTCCCAGGCTTTCGACATCTCCCGTCCTTTTTCATAATTCAAATGCTGCTGGTCGAGTTTCACAGTTGAGAGCATATTGATGATTTGGCGAATATCAGAATGGGTTCCTTCGATCAGACCGTCCATTACCGGAGGTGGTATCTTCAGGCCTTCGCGGTAACAGATAGTTGAAAGTCGGGCTCTCATTTGATCTGCACTTGGGCGTCGGAAAGCAAGTTCGAAGACAGTGCCTTCGAAGGGCTTCAACTTTGGAATTTTCCACTCATTAGAGATGAGAATGAGGGGGATATGGGTTTTCTTCGCGACAGCCACCAGAGCTCCAACGCCACCTCTATCTCCGGCAGACATGCCATCAACTTCGTCCATGATCAGTACCAACTTCTTTTTATCACTGTTCACCTTCTTGCCCTCTCCTGCGAAGTATCCCTGCAGAGAGGTTGTGTCTAACACACCAACAAGGCCGTTCTCGACGAGTTTCTTGCTTCTTGTGTCACTCGCGTTGGTCTCAACGACATCGTAATTCTCCAGCTTCGCAACCAGATGAGCCGCTGTAGTTTTTCCAATACCAGGAGGCCCATGGATAATTACAGCTCTGTAGAGGCCGCTTCCGTCTTTTCCAGGTCTCTTGAAGTTGTATTTCGCGTTCTTGTGCCAGTCTCGTAGCCAATTCTGGAGTCTCTCGACTAGGGTCTTGTTGCCACAAATCATGCTTATGGATGTTGGCGCGTATTTGGTCGTCCACAGTTCATCTGCAACTTGAGAGGGTTGGGAAGCTGCGGACGCTTGAGATGCTGAAGGCGGAGCAATATTCGAGGCGCGAGCGGCCAACTCCTTGCGCTTCTCTTCCTTGTCAATTTCTGCTGCCATTGCCTTGACTTTGGCCTCGTCTGCTTTCTTCTTCGCTTCGTATTTTTCCCCAGCCTTTCCGTCCCCGCCATTTGCTGGAAGTCGTCGAATGAGCTCGAAAAGTCCTTCTTCGTTGATTGTCTTGATCTTGTGTTGTCGGATTGTCTGGAGCTTCTTGGGTCCAGCATCGGCTCCTAAAACAACGTAGCTCGTTTTCGAACTGGGGGCACCGGTAACCTTGCCGCCGTACTTCTTCACCAAGGTTTGACCCTCCTCGCGACCCAAAGTGTCCAGAAGCCCGGTAAAGACAAACGAGAGTCCAGCGAGACAGTTCTCTGCTCCTGTTGGTAGCTCCACGCTTCCGCCCACAGGAGACCTTGAACGTTGTGCTTGAGCGGCGAAATTGAATTTCGTCTTTTCTCCCGACTGTGGCGGAGGGGAAGGAGCCTTGACGGTTGGGATGCTGTCAAAGATATCCTGGATCTCCTTGCTCTCGGGTCGATCGGTCTTTGTCGGTGAGGCTCGGGGCTTTTTGGCGGCATGCGACGTCGCTTTCGCTTTCACTGCACCCTTCTTAGGACTGACCTCGAATTCAGAGTCTTCCTCCTTATCCAATGCTTCCGACTTTCGTTTGCGAGCTGGGCGGGAGGTTGCTGGTTGCGCTGCGCGAGAGGGGCGCTTAAGCAAATCTTCCATAACCACATCATCGTCTGACTCTGCAGGGAGTGATTGCCTGCTTCGTCCTGCTCGTTTTACCGGGCTGGCAGGCTTCACGGCAAGCTCTTCGAAATCGTCGTCGCTGCCATCCTGGTCATCTTCCTCGACATAATCGTCATCGCCTTTGCCTCTCTTCTTGTATTCGGTCGCAAAGACGTCATCGCCACCCAGCCCCTCATCGTCGTCTATTATTGTTGTAGTCTTTCTAGTAGATCCACGAGTGGCTCTCTTAGGGGTAATCTGCGTATCTGCACGCGTCTTAGGCTTCGGAGACTCAGTCACAGTCTCCGCTGGGGCTGGCTGCGACGGCTTAGTTGTGGTCGCATTGTTGCTCTTCGCTGGTCTTCCTCGCTTCTTGCTCGAGGCAAAATAGTCCGAAGTAGAAGTCGGTTCTCCTTTTGATTCTTCAGGTTTTCTTGAAGCTGTCAATTGATGAAGCTCTGCTAAGAGAGATGAAGGGGAACGTACGGTTTGCTCGTTGTTTTCGTCTTTGGGGTTGAAGGCTTCACCTCAGTTACTTCTTCATCGTCGCTATCATCAACAACCTTCCGAGTGCCTACAGCCAGGTTAGCAAGGCACGATCGGGACGGTTGGCTTGAATCTCACGCTTCTTCCGAGTAGCAGGCTCCTAGCGACGAATTGAAGTCAGCACAGACTTGTTGGAGCGTCAAGTGTGCAAAAGGTATACTGGAGTGCGAGCTCAATCATCGACGTACCTCTTTCTTTGCAGCCGGCTTCGCGGGAGATGCGTTCGAACCTTGACTCGACTTCGCGCCAAAGAAGCTCCGGATATCAGAAGGCATGGTGGTGGATAGTTGTTGGAGCGTGCACAACCGTGTAAGGTAGCGCTCTCTGGGACAAAAGTCAAGAGTCAGAGAGGACCTACGCTCCAGGCAACAACAACAACAAAGTCCAGCAGGTGGAAAGCCTTCACCACTTATCGCTGGAAGCTACATACAATTCCGGCAGACACGGACGCGCGCCTGCCTGCAGCTACGCCGACGTGACTTAATTGGCTTACCTAAGGCAGAGAGGCGCGTGTGGCACGTGCGCAGCACTTTCTTCCCTTTCGGGAAATGGGGGAATTCGGGCCCGGGCCTGCAGATACGCCGATAACCTGAAAGTCTGCCGTGAACCTATTGAATATTGCTGAGATCCGGTAATTGAGAGGGCCATTTGCTGCAATACAATTCACAATGGGTCCCCAGTTCAAGATGTTCTCCGGATCTCAAATGGCCCTGTTCCGGCCTTCCTGTAAGATTCTGCGCTGCCTCCCAGGTTTTTCCTTTTCTGTTTGGCCTTGAACCTCCTTCAAATTCCTCTCACGGAAGGAAAAACTGACACCGATGCGATACGTTAGGCTTCACGACACCTTGCACAGCGCTTCCCCTTTCGCGATGCTTCACCACGACCTCGCCGGCCCTGGATTGGCTCACTCCCAAGTACGCCGAGGTGTCGAAGTCTCCGAAGGGTCGCCCGCATGTCCCGACTGGTGGTTCCTCGCGCGGTACGACTGTTGTCTGGGGTGACTACGGCTTGCGGATGAAGGATCACGATCGTCGGTTGCCCGCCCATTCTCTTAAGATCGCCGAAGAAACCATCAAGAGACGCCTGAGGGGTATGAACTATACGCTATACAAGCGAGTCAGCGCGAACATCGGTGTCTACACCAAGGGTAACGAGCAGCGTATGGGTAAGGGTAAAGGAAAGTTCGACTACTGGACGGCGAAGGTCGCTGTGAGCAGAATCGTCTTTGAGCTGAAGGGCGATCTGCACGAGAAGGTTGCCAGAGAAGCTTTCCGTCTGGCCGGTCACAAGCTGCCCGGTAGGTCTCCCCTCATGGCATCTAGAAACATCGCATCGATGACCCATGACACTAATACATTGACTGTACACAGGACTCTGGGAGTTCGTGAAGAAGGGCGAGCCCCCGGTGGTCGGACTGACGAAACTCGGCAACGGAGTGACCCTGGAGAGCCTCAAGCGTGCCCGCAGAAGCCCAGCCCTTGGGATGGAGAATCTCCCTACGCCCCCACAGTCGACCTCCTCCAGCCCGTCCGCCTCTCAATAAATAGACCCAACGCCCGTTTCGAATTTTGGAGAATCTGTTCATTACCCATGTTTTATTTACAATTATCTCGCGGCACCTAAGCCCCGACACCCGAGCCAGGCCCATATCCCTGTTCTCTCCTGAGCTTTGCCGCCAGCGCTGCAGCCTCCTCTGGGGTTTCGGGCTTTGAATCTTTTGTTGTACATTACCATCAGCCATTCACATTCTGCTTTGTTGCGATTGATCTCGCAAAGGTGTCGATGTCTTTCTCATATGCGGAGTTTATATTATATTGAAAGGGAAAGGGAAAAAAGGAAACCCCGGGGAAAAAAAGATTGTGAAACTGTACCTTTATCCACGATTCCCGAGAGACCAGACGTAGCCTCTCCCTTCTCGAGCTGCCGTGCCAGTGGCGTGTCCCCATTATTTTCCTTGACTTCGTCATCGTCGTCTCCGAGGATCGGGTTGTATACACTTCTTGTGTGCTCAAGGTGGGCTAGTCCGTCCAATGAGCCATGGCTCTTGCAATCATGTCCCAAGTGGAAAAGCACGACTTACCACCTAGTTGGCCGGTCTGCTTCGGCGGAGTCTCTGTGAAATAACGAATTGACTCATACCTAGAATCTGGGTCAGCACAATTCCACTGATAGCGAAACCTCCAGCCCAACATACTGAGTGTTTTCACCACCGGGCTCGATATCCATGAGGTTAGGGTTCGACATGATGTAGTTATTGCGGAAGTCCAATAAAGTAAGAGCTTGACTCGTGGGATTGATAGAAGGCTATAACACTATCCTTAACTGTGATTTTCAAAGTTGAAGGGAATTTGAGAAATGGGGGGGATTGCCTGCGAGGTGGTGGTCGACTATGTATACGAGCTATGACGTAGTCAAGTGAATCGACCCAGTCAACCAAGATCAGCAGTCGATGGACTGCCAGTGGCTACCAACTCTCATTCAGGGCCCCCATGTCAGTCATGGACAATGCTGCAGCTTATAGACAATCTTACTCCGCAGCAAGCTGTTTGTGCGGAATTGGTTATCTCATTCAATGCAGCATCATCCCCATGTTCATCTCCCATCTTTTCTAGCTCTTGCCTTCCCAAGACCCCATCCACCTGGTGAGCATGAAGCTTGATTTACATTACATCCTGTACAGGATAATGAAATAGTAAAAAAATACCTCCGCTATTTGCAATCACGAACACCAAGGTCTTTTACTTCATCACAGAACGCCTGGGTTGAATGAAAGATGGCCCGTTATAGTACAATTAATTCATTACTCATTCATTGTTTGTTACTCTAGTCCCTTTTAAAACTCCATGCCCATGAGGTAACTGCATATCGAGTTAGCAAGGATATCCAATAGATTCTCGGTCTACTGAGTCAAACAAACCTCTCATAAATGCGCATAAACTTGGCAACAAATGCCTCGAGATGGAAGATCAATTTCTGCAGGGCGATAGGGTCAATACTTGATCGATTGCAGATTCTTAGAGACGGGAACTTACGCTGCCCTGGGTAATTCTGTGCTCGTAGAAAGCCGACCATTTGATGACATCTGGCTTGAGAGCATCGTCCACTTTGCCGACGAGCTGGAAGGTCAAGGTCTGCCATTCCCCGTTAGCCTGAAGGCTCCCGCAAAGGGCGTCCCCGAATCATTCTGGAGGGGAGAAATCAAACCTTGAGGATGGTAGTAGCCGGTATGCAGTGCGTCAGCAGATCGTATAGACGTGAGCGGACTCGCAACAATTGAGCCGGTGACCGTTCTGCCAGAATCTCATCCGCAGTTTGCGCAATCAATGCTTCCCAGTCGGGAGGTGGAATTGGCGTGTTGTCGGTGACTTTCTCACTGTAATGCCCGAAACATTGTCAGCCACAGGGCTTAGGAACAAAAGCAATGTGGGGGCGGCGAGCTCTTACTTCTGAGCATAAATGGCCTCAAACATAAGCAGCGCGCGGCGCAGGTTCCGACCACTCTCCCTCGCTATCCTCTGATTCAGCCCATCCGCCTCTGGCCACCCCTCCTTCTTGCCCGCCGTCCTCAACACGGCGCAGATATCCTTTTCAGTGGGCGCAGCGACCCTGACCAGCAGGGTGCGGGACCGGATCGGTGCAATGATATTCGAGGTGCTGTTGGCCAGGAGGATGAGTCTCAGGTTGGGGCTGTATTTCTCCATGGTCCGCCTGAGCGCCGCCTGCGCATCGCGGGTTAAGTGGTCCGCCTCGTTGATCACCACCACTTTGAACCGCTGTTTCGCCGAGAGATCGACCTGCTGCGTCTGCGCGATCTCCTTGAGCAGCTCCTGGACGACGACGCGGTCATAGTTTCCCACATCCGACGGTGTGATCTCCAAGTGGTAGACAGAGGAGACAATGTTGAACTCCAGCTTCCGGTTGCTCGTCGTCTGAAAGACACGGGCATCGATCTTTATCTTCTCCACGCCCGGGCCGTACAGTTCCTTCAGGGTTGCGATCGTGCGTGTCTTCTTGCCTGCGCCTGATGGTCCGTAGATTAATAGATGTGGGAAGTCGCCGCTTTGTGCCTAAACATGTTCAATGATAAATATCTTTTGCTATTCAAGGTTCTCGGGTGAGCCTTACCAGGGACTTTAGTCGTGAGGAAAGCTCTGGGTGGTATGTCAGAGAGTCCAGCGAGCGAGGTCGGTGCTTATCAACTAGCAACGCCATCTTGAGTGGTCGATTTTGAGCTTCAAAGGGTATGAATGAAATCGCTGGGCTATTGTGTTGCCGCCATACAATTCCCGTCCTGGAAGCTAATGGACGGCCGACGCGTCGCCCGTGACGCGAGCTTAATTGATGCTCCGTGCACGACGGCTGACTATGCATGTCTGAACCAATGAGACCGATAGCCGACTCTTCCGCACTCCACTGTTATGCCTCAGGCACTGAACAATGTACTAGGTAGTAAGGTATGCAGCTTTCCATTCAAGGTTCACTTGAGATGAGACTTGTGGTAGACTGCTTTATTCGAGGTTCCTCCTCCTGGCTTCCCTGATATCCCCAGATAGAATTGAGTAAGCACTGGAATTGCCGTTGACAACAACAATGATTCAAACTCTGAGCCTGTAGGCCATATACAATGGAAAATTCCCACCCATTTCGTACACCTACTGGTAATTCTTTGTATATACATGCTCTATAGTACAAAATCCGAATAGACGCCAAAGGTTATCTGCTAGATGGTTTCAAGAGTATTTGTCGGAGAAGGGAGATGTGAGGTCTTTATGAAAGAGGCTGACAAGCAGGTGTCCCTGTTGATACCTCCTCGATTATAGATCGTCAGAGGAAAGCCTCTGATGAAAGCCTCTTCGACACAGGCGCCTGAGCTGGTGTCAAGAAAAGGAAGCGAGCAAGGGTATCCGAATATCATCACGCAGGCAAGGGCGTGAGAACCCCGTTATCATCGTATCGTGCCTCTGCTTGATGTTAGCAACCTGTGCAGATAGTGCGCGCTCGGCGTCGCTCTTACTGAAGAAGGTGTATGACAAAGTGATCGTGTCGATGCCTTTCATGGCTGGGTCCGTGACGAAGTCAGGGTCGATGAAGAAGAAGACCGGCATATCGACCGATTCTCCGGCGTTCAGCTTCTGCTCGTCAAAGCAGAAACATTGGATCTTGCTGAAATAGGGTGCGACCTGACCAGGGGTCACACTGTATGTCGCGACACCAATGATGTCTGTGGGGCCCTTATTCGTAGCTGTAAAGAAAGCAAGCGCTGTTTCTCCCGGAAGCACACGGACTTCGCGTTGTTGCGGAGTGAATTTCCACGGCAAAACATCCGACACTGATCCATTGAAGGTGATTCTGAGCCGACGGGCGTCTGTCACGGGTTTGACACGAGATGCGGTATCATTGTCGCCTCCGCGATGCGTAGTAGATGGTTGACCGTTCCAGCCAGTTTGTTGGCAGATCTATGCGACGAGCGGTAGAAGTAAATATATGATACAGATGAAGTACATTTTCACGAAGTTGAACACACCATTTTATACAGAGGAACAGAGCCATAGGCCAAAGCGACGGTACCGAGAATAATACTCATCGTATAATACCTAGTGATCTATAAGCAGTGCACCGGATAGAGCATCGCCATATCATCATACATGGTAGACGCATTGCGCTTTTGCGATTGAGGTGTATTGAAAGGAGCATTAATATTTTGTCGTAGAACTGAATTGCGCGTGAAGAATCGTCTTCCTGAATCCATGCATCTCGAATTGATCTGGGCAGAGAGACGAAGACTCAATCCCGGCGATGGGAGCCGGCCCCATGAGGATATCGAACGGGAAATCATATTTATAAGAGATGTGCTGCGGGGACGAATGTAAATCTACCCACTGCAGCATCAACTCCAGACTCGATAATGTCCTTGTCACACGTGACTCAAGAATCTCCGATAAGGTGGTCTGATCATGTGGTGATAGTCATTGTTGTCAGTGGGCAGTTTTTTGCCACCGCCCTTCTTAAACAGTTTTGCCATCGGACTTTTCGGTGCTGTTCGAGGTGTCCTTCTCCTTCTCCGGGGCCGAGGACGTTCTGCCACCTCTTGCGGTCACAAAGGCGGTCTACGTCTATAGCTGGCCTGCACGATTAAGGACTCATTTCATCCGCCAAACTGTCTCTTGAAGCATTTTCCCAATTATAGAGAGCTCTAGTCATGCGTAGACACTTCTTACGCATCGATGCTTTTATGTCATAACAGAGAGGAAGACAACCTATTGCAACTTGTCTTAGAACGATTGCATACCTAGTTAGCCCTAACTGCCAATCTCAGAGAGGCCTTGACAATTCAACCCCACCGTGCCATGTCTCCGAGCTTCAGCTTATCAGCGATATGCTACACTTCATCCTCCTTATCGATCCAACCGTCATTTGGTGCAGATTGATGCTGCTTGGTTCAATGGTTGTATTTATGGCATTTGTCTTCTTCGAAGCCGTCTTCACGTTTTACACTTGACACTCGCTGCATAGATGCAGGCGCGATCATTGCGCGAAGTTTCAGCTCTCCAAACCCATCTAATCGTCAGCTCATAATGATTAGCAGAGGAGAGCATTGGGTCTGTCGATCTAATGGTGCTTAAACAGATTGCTGCTGGAAGCAAGGGAGTCGCTCATGCGCGGTCATCTTAAGACACTTGCTGCCACCCTTCCGAAAACTCCTCGGACCATCTCGGGGCGTTCTTGTGCACACGTTAGAAGAACAGCAGCGCTGATAGCGAATGCAATGCGTTCACGATACAAGTACTATCAAACAAAAAGAAATTGTCAGCATAGGATCTCAAAATCCAGGGTAGCCCAGAGTCGGGACGACGGATGGAACGACGGGGCTAGTGCAACCATCCTCGAACCAAGCAGCTGGACACTATGGCCAACTCAGTTAAGCATACCTTCTTATCATAGAACCTCGGCATAACAGTTGCTGCGGCTCTGGGTGCTACAAACAATGCAATTTCTTGCCGTCTCTGCGCACTCTCGATGAGTATACTCCATCCGCACATGAGACATCCCGCGCCAACACAAAGCCCAGAATCCCACATCATGGGTGTGATTGTGTCACGGGGAAAGATCTTGGGGCCTAGCCTCGTTCTGGCGAGGCACACTGAGTAATAGAACATGCTCACAAACGAAGCAAGGAACGCAGACGAGCGCAAGGCGGTTGATAAGGCGTGCTTGAGTGACGACATTGACTTCAACTTGCGCAGACGCAGGAGAAGCTGTATAGGAATGTAAGTCGCACAAGCAAACTTGAATGTTCGAGCAAATCTAGATACTGCATGTTTCTCACAGCTCGGACCACATCCCATGTGGACCATCTCGCACGGTATAGGGACAGTGCTCGAGGGATCGCCCCAGTTAAGAGGCCAACCGTAATCCCTGCACATGGATTGTAGGAGAGGAGCCTGTCCAGTATTCTTCCCATATACCAATACACCTCTTCTGGCACGACGAAGTGCTTCAATCAGCCTAGCGTCAACTTTTGCTACTTCCCCAATCCACCTTTCATAAGACCTTGGCAGCCTTTCTGGCATATAGAACCATGCCCACATAACTATCGCCGCACTAGCAGCGAATGCACCAGCATTCGCAAGCTTGGGCGCTACACGCTCTGCCAAGGTCCAGTGGTTTCTGTCCTTGCGCCATCGCTGCCATCGCTGCCAGCCTATGCACACGATTAGGTCCGCAGCGCGTGTGAGGCTAAAGAGCGTAAGATCCATGCTCCGGCCGACAAATTGAGAGTTTTCGCTTGGTGCTTCTCTGATCTTCGCCAGCTCCACAGCGCTCTGCGTCGAGGTGCAATCATCAGGAACCGTCGATTTACCCTGTCTTCTAATGGGCTTCTTATTCAAGAGTTGAAATGTGTACCAGGCAGACAAGAATGCCGAGACAAACCGAAGAATTTGCATGAGCGGCGAAGTGCACGCAGAGGTGCTAAGCTTGATGTTGTGGCGTACATGCTCAAGACAGCGTGAAAGTACCAAGGGAGCAATAGTTGAACCACCAATTAGAAGAGCACAGAATGTGGGAAAGCTTTCGAGCCGTAACGCATTGGTCAACGCATGGAACAGCTGTCAAAGCAAGATGAGCTATTAGTCTTCCAAGTGCTACATCCGCAATTTGAAAGAGCACAAATGGCCAGCACACACCAATTGGGGTAGCATTAACAACCCCGACCAAGGAGAAAAACAGGGGGAGCTTCTTACCTCTTTCAGCCTATCTGTGTTGGTGAGCCTTTTGTCCTGAATGCGCCGTAGACAGGAAATGATTCTTGGGGTGGTTGAAGACAAGTATCCAAGAGCATACGCCCGCAGTATCCTTCGACAGTGAGTTTGCCACGCTCAGGTAAAGGAAAAGAGCAACAGAAGTCATGTTAGATGGATCAGAACGTACGGCTTCAGAATGTCGATTCTGCTGCGATGCTGGTAGCGGATAGCAACAGGATCCATGGTGTCCCAGGCTCACCAGTCATGACTCTCGCTGGAGATTTTTAACCAATGCAATCTACCAATTGCTGTCAGACAGGTGCTTCATTTCATTTGATCACCAGTGGCAGTCAAACGATAAACTTCTTCACGAACCTGTGAGGGGATGATTCTGCCTCAAAGATTGGACTAAAGAATTACACAAAGTTGGGAATCTAAGGCATTGAGTGCTGGCACAAACGCTTTGATCTGCAGCGATAACCACAAAGCTCTGTGCTCCACAGCAACCTTTCATAGGATTCCCCGCGGGATCCGTGCGACGCAGTTGAAAGGCCTCGGTTCTTGTAGACACGAGGAAGAGTCACTGCTAGGGCTGGGTCAGGGGTAACGATTATTCGGTAATCAACGACGATCCCCGTTGCCCGTTGTTGCTTGGACCAAACTTGGGGTCTTTGAGCATCACCCGTGGATGCGCGGAGATGGAAGGGTCTATATAAAAGATATAAGAGATATAAAACCCCCCGGTTAAGAGATCAAGAAAGCTCAAAGTATGTTCTCTTACCCCACGGCTAGAATGGCCGAATTATTAGGCGAACACCTTTGTACGATTAATGAATTAATAAATGAATGGAGATAGTGGGATGCAGCAGCAATTAATCAATAGTTAGAACTAAAGAACTAGGAGAGAAGACCAGCAATTGCAATGACGGACTGGGAAATTGGGCCGAGACTAAGCAGGTCGTACCGAACATTACTGCGCTTCAGCCCAAATGCCCAGCCAGAGTGTGGTATTTGGCGTATTACTGTTACGTCACGCGACCGCCGGTCGAGCGCGAGATTTTTTGCATGTGATCGACTCATAAAGACCGAACGAATTCCTACCTATGCTGAGTGAGTTGAGTCTCTTACCTACTCTACCTAATCTTCACTCAGTCTCTCGCTCTCTCGCCCAGCCAACAGAGAGTGATCTCTCTCCACCATCGAAGCTATTCCCCGGATTTCTCCTCCTTCCGTCATCCTTCCTTTTATTTGTCTAGCGAATCAATGTGGGAGATGTCCCACTTTGCAACCGAGTCCTTCCGCTTGAACGCTGCTTTGCTCCATACATAACAAACCCGCCGGTCATTCTGTCATTGTCATCCCCAGCTTATACCCGAATCGAATGCATCTGTTGACAACAAGCGTCCGCATCATTCCCCCCAGCTCGTGCCTGTGAGCTTCTGTGGCCTGCGATTCCCGATTATCCCCGAGTCTGATTCAACGATACCTACGCCGGTTAAGGCATGTCCGCGCTGCCTTCTCGGCGCTGCTCTAACTAGGGTAGCAACTGCTGCGGAAACTCGAATCGCGATCTCCAAACCTCTCAAATTTATCTCTTCTACCATATCGCCATCATGGACCTCAGAAACCCTGAAGCGCATAATGGCAGCGACAGCCCACAACCTGGCCCGTTTGGCTGTACGTTCAACAATCCACAATATCCTCCGTGCTCATGCTAAAGATGTGTGCGCCTATAGATTCTTTCCTTTCGCCAATGGACACTCCATATGAACCTGCGCCTGCACGACCGCCCGGGCCCGCTCTTCTCGACGACAACGAGTCCACGATGCTGGACAACTTCTTCACGACGATGAATTCCAACCATTTCCCGAACGACTTCTGGATGGGAGGACAGACGAACCGTTTACTTGGGACTAGCGGGCTGGACTGGCCAGGCGAACTACCGCCCACCTTCGAGGGCTCCACAACGTCTCTTTCGCAACCAGGTCTCCCTCATGGCAGCATGGACAAGTCTAGCATGGAGATACTGGCACCGGACATGCATACAAATGCAGAAATTTTCGCGGCTGCTTCTATGCTCTACCACAACGGACTTACTGGGAATGACTTCAATTCCAGCTTCAATCACCACAATTTTGCTTCTCCCGACACAGATCTCAACAATCCAAGAATGAATGGCCACGGAAAGGTCCAGGCGCCTAGCAGTCATAGCCAGTCAAAGCAGCCGTCTCGTCGCCGTATGCCCGTAGGTTTCCATACGTCGGAGATGTTGTTCGATGTTCGAGAGCCCATATCACCCGAACAACAAGTGACGGCAAAGGTGCGCTCGCTTCATTGGGGCTCAGATGTCGGTTTCATGGGCCAGGGCTATATGGCGCCTCCGGAACAGCCTAATGAAGAGGATCGGACCAAAGAGCTGCTTGGTCATCTAGTATGCCTTGAACCGCAGAGCAGTGCCACGAACACGCGCGCGCCGAGTCCCGTAACAATAAGACACTCTGGAGGTTACGATGCTCCGTGGGCAGATGCCGCCGCAGCTGGTCAACTCAGCAATCTACGGCGAGGCTTTCGGGACCATGTGGAAGATCTCGCTCAGCCAAAGAAGAAACAGAGAACTCTGGTCAAAGAGGAAGATGACGAAACCTCGGATGACGATACCTCGAGACAAAAACCCAAGAAGTCCAAATCCTCGACGAGGCGGCTATCGCAAGATACCCTCCAGAAACGAAGGCTCTCTTCGGGGCCAAAAGCTGCGCGAGAGAACCTAACGGAAGAACAGAAAAGAAGCAACCACATTCTCTCGGAACAGAAGCGACGAAATCTCATTCGACAGGGCTTCGATGACCTATGCATACTTGTCCCCGGGCTGAAAGGAGGCGGCTTTAGTAAGAGCGCGATGCTAACTCAAGCCGCCGATTGGTTAGAGGAGATCCTGCGAGGCAATGAAATCCTCAAAGCACAGCTCGCAGAGATGAAGTCAATGAACGGCTTGGTCATGCCACGATAGCCCTCATCCAAGTTACGCGATCACGATTTACCATTATTAATTACCAGGTCTGGTTCAAAAGCGTGGGCTTACCTTTTGACTTATCTGTACATTGGAGCACTTGAGCGGTTTTCCAGTCATCTTTCAGATGAAACTGCAGGCGTTCTTCTCTGGCGGTCATGATCTGAATCACACTTTTCCCGGCGAGGCTCTACTAGTGAGCATTTGCTTGCTGACCTGCCGCATGTCATGCTTCCACCCATAATACCCCTCCTGGCTTATTTTCATCGCCATATTTATATACGATTATAGCCGATGCATGTGTAACTATATAGCCAAATTTCCGAACTAGCTACGATCGAACTAAACAAGATAATCTTCTCAGTGCGACGTATTGCTATGTTCCTAGTCGTTGCACTGATACTCATAACCTCCAGGCCTGAGAAAATTGCGGCCGTGAGATGCAGGAAGTACTTAACAAGGATGAGGTTTGTACGGAGTATTGGACAGTAGTTTACTAGTTTCGCGGGGAGCTCCGCACGTTTAAAGAGGCTTAGCTTAGCCTTTTACGGAGGTTGTTTAGCTCCGCAAGGGAAACAAACTGTCATGTGATCCGCCCCCATTTGTTGTTCTGGGACCGGACAACAGTCCGATACTCACCAAGAACCACCAAACCATCCAGATGTAACAACATCAATTGCAACCATTGCTCAGCCTCGATCTCCAACCTAGAAGACCAACTGAGAGGAATACCTCGCCAGCTCTTGCGAACATGCCTTCTCCGAAACGGAAGCGTACGAGCCATGCGCCGGACCACGATAACAATGCACGCAACAAGCGATTCGCCTACCTCAAGCCACAAGTCAGGCAGGTCTCTGAGAGGACCATCAAGAGCAAGTGGTCGACGCTTCCCGAACCCGTGCAAGACAAAGTTCGCGACATGTTCCGAGGCCTGGAGCGCCCTGTCATCATGCGACAACAAAATGAGAGCAAGCGCATCGAAGCGCAGGCCGCCGTGCAAGCTGTTGTGAAAAAGTACTGTCCCTGACACGTGCCGTTGGACCCTCGGGATAGAACTGACAACATATTTGTCGCTTAGTTTGGGAAAAAGACTGCCGCGAATGCCGTTCCCCCCGGTCGCGAAAGATTCCGTGTTTGAGTACGAAGCAGCTCTCAAAGAACATGTAAGGCGGTTCCACCGTCAATTGACCGACTCAGAAACTGGTCTAACCTCAAAGTGAAGTCCTCGTTAGAGGCTGCTCTAGCTACGATGAATGATAGTATCGATCTACTAAAGGTTCAGGTGGAGAAAGAGGAAGCACTACTTGAGAAAGAGAGGAAACAACTGCAGGAGATGGAGAGAAATGCAAAGGGAGTCGAGGCAGAGAGAAAGAGACAGATGAAGAATGTAAGGACCTGGCCCAGTGATAGCAAGATTAAGTCGCTGATTCTCGTTTTCATCAAGGAACATCCGGTGCTACGGCAATTGAGCAACGCCCCTGATAACCACGACTCAAACCAGTGCGGCTTTACCATTACAAATAATAACGACGCACAGGTCATGTTTGATGAGGTAGGAACTTTTCTCTCGGCAAACTGTAAGCTCGCTTTATTGACAAGCCCCATATAGCTTGAGGCCGATCCAGAAGTTTTTGGTCTATTAGAACAGTTGCATGACCATCTCAAGTCGATGCAAAATAACACGACACCCCTGACTGGCCTGAGAGATGCAGTCGCTAAATCTCAAGCGGCGCTAAGCTTGACTTTCCTTCCTGAAGACTGAAGCAGTTTCAAAGCAAACAAGCTAATAACATGCCCAGCCGCAGCTCATGCTGTTCATTTGAGGCTGATTATTCGACAGCAATGCAGCGAAGTCTGCACAGCGATACCATCATGGGTCAAGGGCCCCTGAATGCCGAAGAAGTGACGCTGGCGTCATGATCTCGGCAAATGTTCAAATTGCAACGATCGAGGAGCGGATGGATTTAAGCTGATGCATCAAGCCCCCGTGCATGGCCTCGGTATGAGTGGGCCAATACTTTGCTTACAGGGTCCGCATCTCTTGGCAATACATGCACTGAACATATATACGAGGAACTGGGTCTCGAGTCAAGCAGTGAAACATACACCACACAGTGGACTGATGGAGTCACTTGGCCTACAAACTGGCACGCAAAGACGAGTACATATCTGAGACTGTTGTGGGCTCGGGCCTGCAAATGCAAGGGACCTGTTTGCCTGTAAAGTAGTTCGAACGTGTTGAAGACCATACTACTTTGAGACATAGTCCACGTGCTTCCACTCTACAAGAGCATAAACCATGCCATTCAACATTTGTTAACCGTAAGAGTTTCCAAGCAACGAGTAGTGAGTTCAACCGAGGGACTTCCTTTTTTTGTATGAGGCATTTATAGTTAAAACATTATTCGACGCACCTAGTTTCTGCTTTCTACATCACTTATTTTATTGCCTAGTCTAATGTGGCACATGGGCTGTGGCTCCAGGGAGGGCCAAGTCTTTCCCGAGGCTGACAGATTAGCCGCCGTCCTGTTCCCCTCTCCCCTCCCAATGCGGAGGAGCCCGGGAGTTCAAAGATCCAAGTCCCGCTCCAGCGGGGAACTTCGATGAGCCGATCGCATTCGCGCGCATCCTCGCAATTTCTACTGAGCAGTTTACAGATCGACGCCGCAACAAAGGCAACCAAAATCGTTAACCGTTACTGCCCAACACAATTTCGGATAGCCTTGCATGTCTGCAACTTGCCATCCTCCTTGGAGCGCCCTGAGCCAGTCGAATTAATTGATCTCAGCACCGATCCCGTTCTTGCGCAACGGTTTTGCGCCCAGCGATCAATGACGGAGAAAAGCGCAGCGCATCCGGGTACAGGGCCCGAACAACACCAACCCAACAACGGGACAGCCGATAAATTGAGAATCAGCATAGCAAATGGCGAACACACTCGAGAAAATCCGAATGTAAAGGAGGAACTGCTGGGCACACAGGGCCCCAAATCTGAAATGGCTGCGGTGGGGGCTCACTCGAGTCCGAAGAAGCGCCGCAAGGTCAATCATGGTAAGTAGATAGTCTCTGCCATGAGCCCTGCCAGGGTGACGGTAGGAACCCATGGGCTCTCTTTGTCATATATCCCCGTCCCGAATGGCTGGCTGATGCGAAAAATGACCGATAGCATGCGTTTACTGTCGGCGATCGGTAAGCCTCTCTCACATGCGGCAGCCAAACCACCTTCCCTGGCCATGATTAGAGCGGCATTCCACTCTCTGAGAACAAATTGATCGGTATTCAAAGTGGTTCACTTGCTAACAGGAGGATATTCCACGTGGCACAGCATATGACTTGCGACTCGGTACGACCTTCTTGAACGTTATCCCTCCCAACATCCTTTGTGAAACGTCTTTGCACAGAGTGTTTCCCAATGAGTCAGGCATACTGACGCGAGATGTTCGGCTTCATAGGAACGACCTTGTACACGATGTATAAAGCGGAACATCGGCCACTTGTGCCATGATGAGCCTCGAGAGTCTTCCAAGCGGTCCCGGAGCGAGAATGAGCATTCGGCTGCGGATGACGAAGCCTCTTCGAACAACGAGTATCCAAACATCCAAGGAATGCCCAGAACGGTCGATGTCCAGGATGCTGCCGGTCAGCAAATCCTCCCAGATGCGACAATGGGCCTATCGGCTTCCTCTGTGCCTTCGGTGCAGCAGCCGGGCAATATGTCTTCTTCCGGTGAGACGCCACCTGATGGGGATGACGTTTGAGGATTCATCGCTGACGCGATTACACAGTACTTCCCTTCAACGAATGGGTTGGCGGGCAAAGCCAATTTCAAGACATGCACTCATTTCATCCGTCCTATATGTTCAACGCGCCCGAGGTCACCAACGAGTACAACCTTCTTGGAGACTTCCTCAGTAACAGTCTTCTTGACGATGGATCGGTTTTTCAGAATGATGATCTGCATGGGATTTATTCAGACCCGACGTTGATAAACTCCATGGCTACCTTAGGAGGATCAAACCCGTCTATGCTCCAGCAAGCCCAACAGGCACAGTCGCAACAAAATCAGCAGAATCAGCAAACCCAGAGTGAATCCGCCCAGGGCCCTGCTGCTGCAGTGAGCAACGACAAGGCAAGAGAGACTTATTACATGACTGCAGCTGATCCTTCAGGCTCAGATCCACCAGAGGAGCGAATGAACAAACTTCTGAAGGCCAAGTATGACGCAGGACTTTTGAGACCATTTAATTATGTCAAAGGCTATGCAAGGTTGAACCAGTATATGGAAAGACACCTCCAGCAAGCTTCGCGGCAGAAGATCCTTCGACAGCTGGACAAGTTCCGGCCGAAGTTCCGGGAGAGAATGCAAAGTTTAACTGACATTGAGCTGATATTGGTGGAGATGTGGTTTGAACGCAGTCTGATGGAGTACGATCGTGTTTTCGCTAGTATGGCCATTCCTGCCTGCTGCTGGAGACGGACGGGCGAGATCTTTCGAGGGAACAAAGAAATGGCAGAATTGATCGGCGTTCCTATCGAATCCTTGCGCGATGTGAGTCATGTGGCCTCCCTTGACCGGATATTAATGGATGCTAATATCTCTCAGGGCAAATTGGCTATCCATGAAATCATTGTGGAAGACCAGCTTGTTAGCTACTGGGAGAAATTCGGGGCGATTGCGTTCGATAGCACCCAGAAGGCAATGCTCACAAGCTGCACCTTGAAAAATCCCAATTCGAACTCGTCTACTGACGGTATTCCCTGCTGCTTCTCATTCACCATACGGCGAGACAACCACAATATGTGAGTCAATTCCCAAAGGAATGAATCGGTGATGGAACGCTAACTCCCTTGGAAAACAGACCATCGCTCATAATCGGAAACTTCTTACCTTCGCAGCGGAAAGCGAAATGAAGTCCGTCATCTTCATCTTGTCTGCTATTTGTCGCTTTAGTACGGAGTCACTCGCACTTTGATCTAGCTTTGGTCTATAGATATCCATTTCTTTGTCATTTGCTTCACAGGGGCCAGGTAATAGCCTCCTCACTTGAACAGCTTCCCAGTCTCAGGAAATGTACCAGAATTTGGGTTCAAGAAAATAAGATTCTATTAAGAGTCAAGGCCTGTTGTACTTGTAGCCATACAGGGGAGGAGTATGCCGGTCAGGTGGTCTCCGATGCCATTGTGTATCAGGACCACCGAGTAGCAACCTACTTACACGAGCCATGAACTTCCGCTACATCATCACCCAGGGGTGTTGTACAGTACTCTTCCAGGTCAACAATCTACTCCAGAAAAACTGTCTACAACCCAAACCCAATTCTTAAAATGGCAGGAGAGGCCATTTTATGTAAGCATACTACCTCGCACCAGAGTGAAATGCGCTCAATACCTGACCTCGCCTAGCCTTCGCAGGCGATATCCAGAAGCAAATCCAAGCAGACGGCCACGAACCCTCGAGTCTACACCTTGATGAAGCCACGTCGAGCAAGCTAGACAGCTATCTCAGCCATCTGCCAGTTTCCACAAGCACCTCTTCCCCCTCCATCCGCCGGCGTTTGGACCACGCAGGCACAGAACTGTGGAACAGCTGCACGCAGCGTATGACGCACTGCAGCGACCCAAAATCATCCGTGGTCTTGTGCAAAGGTACACTCTTGTGTGTTATATAATCTCGGGCCTCGAGGCTGAGCGGAAATATAGTCAAAGCGTTCGCATGGGCTATGCTCGATACTGCCGTCTCGAATAGGAGTCTAAGTATGCCCTTATGGTCCGCAACGATACCTGATACCACTAACTTACCTCTGCACTAGGGAGCTTCAGAGTCTTGGAGACAGCTTACAAGCTGGTCAAGACTTGTATAGGTATGTACGTCTGTCAATTTGGGCATTGAATACCGGCAAACCCTTGTTGACATACGCCTCAGAGCATGGTTGCGTCGCCATCAGCTTGAAAGCCATCGAGGCGGTAGCCATGCGGCTGGATGCACTCGAGCACTTGGAGACAGATGTTGATAAAGCGAGGTTGTGCCAGTGTAACGTGCATTATTATGCGCTTCGGGTTCACTTGGTATGTAATCTGTTGCGCGGAGCTGAAGTCTGGGTACTGTACGCTACTGACAGGGAGCATTGGATTCCAGGCGTGGCTGCAAGGCAGACCGGACATTGCAGATCATTTGTTTCTCAAACTCCCTGAATCGATCACTGGCGATACCTGTGTTCTGGATGTTTGCTTCAAGGTTGGGAGCTTGGCGCTATCTTGCAGTCAGTATGATGTGGCGGCGAAGTGGCTGGAAAGGGGGTGGGAGCAATGCAAGCTGCTTGCTTCTAGTTCTGAAGGATCTGATGTAGCTTCGCAGGATAAGGAGCTTCTGATTCTGCATGCTTTAGGTGTGGGTTATGGTCTTTCTAGATCTTTCATATACTGACTTTGGGACAGTGCGAGCGAATACTCACCTTGATACGCATGACTCGAAAGACAATCTTGTGAGAACCCTCGGTCACTTGAAATCTGTAAGTGGGTCGATTCTTCAGCAATGCTTGTATGCTCATCTGTGTGTAGCAGTATAGTAATATGTTTTCAATTCGGCTTCTGGAGCTTGAAGTCCTTGCTCGAGGGAACAGAGATGTGGAACGGTACTTCCAAGGTGAGGTGTCCCACTATCATTTAGAGCAGTCACTGATATTCTTGGCAGTACTACAAGACGCCTTGAAGGTGGTAGATGCCTCAGAAAGCAGCTTCAGGATGTGCGGGTAACCAGCTCTAATGATGAGGGGCCTCAGTAACTTTTGATAGGATCCTTTACTCTACCAGCAAGCTTCAGGACTCGTGAGTTACCATGTGAGCAACTAATACATCTATCTTGACATGCAAGCAGTCCCGATGAATATTTCCAAGCACTGAAGCGGCTCCTGACTGAGATGATCACGAGTCCTTGTCTTCAGCATGAACACCAATTACTCGAACATGTCTTTGTCAGGCTAGTCGATGCTCTGACAGATCCATGTTTTCCTGCCCAGGCGAACCTGCGATTCTTTGAAGAGGTTGCAGATAATCCGAATTTCAACAATCAATTACTTAGCGTAGAAGCACAACAAGCTTGTTTGATGGTATTCTCTCGATCCTAAGGTCGACTATCAAAATTGCTGAGCAACGCAAAGATAGCATGGAAGCACATAAATCGAGCCATATCGGCCAATGATGCACTCTCCGCAGAACAATGGTGTCTCTTCATGCTCCAACAGCCAGTCATTCCACTTTCCTCCGACAGCAGATCTAAGCTATTCAGGTAAGAAAGATTGCCACATCTTTCTCATCAAAACTGACGATGAAAAAGGAAACTTATTCTTTGTGCTTCGGAGACATTGAGTACAACCGCCGCGGATACACTTTTCAACCAACTGCCAGAAGAATGCAGACATTGCCCACTGACTTTGTATCTGATGTATAAGTTGACCCTGCGCGACAGTACATGTACTTCTAGTAGCTGGTTCTCCTGCTCACTGTTTCTAGCCTTCTGACAAGTCGCAGGTTCTGTCTATTTGCAAGCACTGTTCGAGCTCGCCGAGACATCATCGCCGTATATCATATCCTGCATAGCGGAAGCATTCCGACAGGGAAAGATGATAGAGGCACTTCAATGTCTTCAGATACTACTGTCAAGCAAGGAAGACCTTCAACTTGACAAACAGCCTGGGCGTTTGTTTCAGTAAGTGTGAGATTGGATCCACCATCAGCTTTCCCAACTGACAATAATCCTATGTCTACAATTCTATATCTTGTCACTGAACTCGACGCCTGCGACGCCACAGATGAAGGGCTAGTAGATGCGATTACATCTGCATTCAAAGCAGGTACGCGACCTCGTATAAAGTCCGACACAGTGGTAGCTAATCCTATCAGCCCTAGATATGTTTCCCGCTCAGAAGCAAGCAGGCGCTTTCACCACGGATGAGCTAGAATGGCTTGCGAAGAAGAGCTACAACCTTGCGCTGAGACTACAGGACTCAGAAAAAGCAGAGCAGACCCTGGATCTCCTTGAAATATCCATCAAGGTAGAAGACAGCTGTTTGCGTTTCTTCTCCACAGCCCCGGACTAACCAGCCTCTAGTTCACAACCCTACATCAAGAACAAGTCAACCCTACCAACCCAACACTCAACACCACGTACCTCCTTTGCCAAGTCTTGAAGACAAACAAGCACATATCACTTGCGCGGCAAACCATTGATTCAACAAACAAAGTCGGTAACCTTCTCTCACCCACTCTCCCTTTCCATCATCCATAACCCTGACTCGAACCCCTCAACAATCAGAAAACCCATTACACAGCAGCCCACGCATCCAGCATCGCCTTCCAAGCCAACCTGACCGATCATCTCCAGTGGCCCTACAACCCCGAAGCAACCTCAAGCCCAACCTCAAACTTGCCTCAAAACGCCATTCCTACTGTAAATGCAAGCTCCGATTTAGACAGTAACACCCTCTGGCTCCCAAAATACCGCATCATGCTCGCCCTCGACCTAGAAGCCTCAATCCACCTCAACAGCGGCGATAACACCAGCAGCAGCAACTGGACCCACATAACCAACCTAATCAACCTCTCCTCTCCCATACTCACCCCCCAACTAACAGCAATCTACCTCGATATCCTCCTTCGGGCTAGCACCACCACCCCTCTCCCAAATATCGTCCAAGCCATCAAGGTACGTCCCAACCATACAATGAAAACAAACCACCTAATAAAAACAAGCTTCTCCTCCGAACAATCCACACCTCGCCCTCCCCCGACCTAAACGAGTCCACCACCACCATGCATCAGACCCTCCCCCCGTACCTGCACGTGCTGTACCAGCTCGCCCTCGATGCAAGACAGCCCGAACTCGCGGAGTCGGTCCTCGACCAGGTCCTAGTCCTTGTGCGGGACTGGAAGATGACCGAGTTTTCGGAGAGGGAGGTGCAGTGGATGGCGTCCGTGGCGTTCAATCGGGCGGTGGATTTCTATCTGGCCGGGCAGGATGAGGAGTGTCGGCGGTGGGCGGGAAAGGCGATTGCGTTAGCGGACTTGCTGCTGCTGGTGGTGGGTGGGGAGGATGGCGGGGGTGCGTTTGGGAAGTTGTTAAGGGCGCGGTACGGGAAGTTGATGGTGGGAGGGTTGGAAGCACCCGGGTCAATGGGGACGAATTAGGAGTGGGGAGGCTGGCATGAATTGTGAAGTTGCGAGGTTTTCTTTTCTGTAAGTGGCAAGTGTTTTCTCCGCCTCCGCATTGCGAATGTATGAGTGAGTCTCTAGCTCGTTCATAAACTGAATATGAAGGGTAAGTGCGATAGGTCTATATTTGACTGAGTGGTTGGTTGGAGTGTATTACGAAGAAGACGCGGATATTTACGTATGAGCAAAAAGATCCACAGCTCAATGAAAGAATAATCAGAGTCAGACTTGCCATGGTAATCGGCCAAGATGGGTATCATTTTAAACTTAGTTAACAAGGCCAGCATAAAGGAGGTGAAGCCAGTCGACGGAAGTTGAACGACTTCCCGGGAAAGAACCAAAGACACCAAAGAAATGCGCTTGAGGATGAGTATAAAGAAGGTTTAAAAACAGGTGCACATGCACTTCAAGTAACAACCCAGCCGCGGGGAGAAGCCCTCACTCCGAGTAAAGAAGAAGGATTGAATGTTGCCGCAGCACAGCGACAGGATTGGATGAGGACCGCAAATTCTTTCGTGTCCCTGCATAGAACGCCGGTAAGAAACGAGGGATATATTATCTGAAATGTGAATTTCTCGCAAATGAGAGGTTGACACGAGGAACAAGTACATTGAAGCACCCGCAACGCTTAGAGCCAAGGTAGTGTGATTGATGAACTCATCAAGGTGACTTCAAGATGCATAGGTCCCGCTCGAATAATATGTTATAACAGTTGAGAGGTAGAAAGGAAAGAGGATGATCAGGAAGTATTATGATCCCTCATTTGATGAGAGAGTGCAATGGGCCTGCCATTGAAACTCTTTTATTCAATCATCGCCATTCAGAACAAGGGAAGAAATCTCTGAGGGCGCGAACGAACCCGTCCGTTGAATTTCCGGCATCGAAGATAGTCGTTCGATGCTACATGAGTCTTCATGGAGCTTGCCGATTCTAGATACCTTCTGGTTTTCCTTGCCGCTGCTGTCGGTATCGTTTTCGAGGGTCTCACGAGTCCTGTTCCGGGAAGCCAACACACGCAGCGTAAGCTCTAGCTCTCTCTCTAGATCCCTCTGAGTATGTAAATACTCTGTCGAGTTGTTAAGCTTTTTACGGTACGCCTTCAATGTTCGACACACTTGTTCGGTGGACGTATCGAGTGCGCCGAGATCGCCTTTCCCCATGCTTCTAGCACGAGCCCGGAAGTCCATAGATGAACGGCGAGATTCTTTGCGGCTACACACGGCCTTCTTAGCACTAGGGGGCTTTTGCTTGCATAATGACGGTGATGTATGAGCTTTGTCTCTATGAATGCTGGACGTAGGTGAGCGGCGACTGGGTGTCGATGCGGGTGACGTCGGAGAAGTGCTTCCAGATCTTAAGGAAGGCGAAAGTGATAATTTAGCGAATTTCCGCAAAAATGTTGGGGAATGTCCACGCGCAGGCGTCGGAGTGACCGCAATATTCTCCTGCCGCTGAAACTCGGCAATTTCGTGCTTGGACAGGACTTTGCGTAAAGGAGGCTTGGAGACCGCGGATGCTTTGATTGGAGCGTCATCGTCTTCCTTATTACTAGTGTGCACGGAATCTCGAGGTGCCTGAGTAAGCAGCGATAAATCCCATAGCATAACGAGACCATCAATCCCAGAGCTGACTAGAGAGCATCTCTTCACTTGGCTGGATGACTTAGATCTCCTCGAGAGTAGACAAACGTCGCTAACTCCTTCGGTATGTCCGAATTCAGCCGCAAGAAGGACGCCTCTGTCTAAGTCGTATACACGGATGGACTTGTCTGACCCTGACACTCCTACGAGCAGTCTAGGGGAATCGTGTTCCGGATCCTCAGCAGATACAGCTAGGGAGCTCATGACCACCGTATCAGTTGAATCGGCGTCAGTGGTCCGGAAAGAATGAGTTTGTCGACCGGAATTCAGGTCAATGCGCTGAACAAAGCGATCAGTAGTGGAGACAACGAGTGTGTTCTCAGTTTTTGATAGTAGTGCCATGGATACTGGCGATGCCTTCAATGTTATCACTTTAGAGACCAAGTACGCGAAAGCAGACGCGCCGTGAGCCTCGCGACTCACGCACTCTCTGATCTGAATAGTACGATCGGCAGAGCATGATACGAGTCGCTTTCCGTTATCAATGAAAATGATTTCATTGACAGCTCCAATGTGGTCGTCCATGGTCTGAATCAATTCAAGACTCTCGTTTGCCCAGAGAAACAATTGTATAGTACGATCACGACTGGCGCTAGCAATGACAAGACCCTGGGCGGAGGAATGCACAGCAATGTCAGTAATTTCCCCACTATGAGCTCGGACTTCTTGGATGCATTTCCATGGGTGATTCAGCCAGAGTCTAGTAATCGTATCGTTAGTGAGAGTATAGCAATGGTCAAATCGGGTCAATGTGATACCTTAGGACACCGAACTTGTCGCCGGACAAGAAGTAATCCATGTTATCAGTAGCACACAAGACTTTCAGCTCATTGGAGATATCCTCGTTGATCCCGATGGGATGCTCAAGAATGATCGAACGTGAGTTCCGGCACTTGCCTGTGTCATCCCAGAACTTGACAACTCCATTGCGTGACCAGGTATAGAACTCTGCTCCAAGGCCATTGGGGTCTGAGACTGGACGGATACCAAGGACAGCGTCCCTGTGAGCTTGAAGAGTGTTTCCCAAATCACTATCATTGACATCCAGATCATCACTCAATTCTTCAGTTGAGAATATTTTGATAGTGTTGCTAGAGTCCATTGCCACCAAGTTGGGACCAAGACATCCCATACATGTGATGGTAGGCCCCTTTGAACTCGGTTCAACCAAAGATCTACCAGAAAACGCAGGCGAAGATGGAACGGTTAATGAACGTAATTTTGCCAGGGTCATGCACTGAATATGTCCGCCACGTCCACCAACCCAGAGACATGAGCGGTCCAGATCAACCGCGAGAGAAGTGATAGCATAATCAAAGTAATGAGCAACAGACAGCTTGTGTGTTCCCTCGTTATGATCCAGGAAGCAAAGAGCCCCGGTGTCTGTTCCTACTACTGACTCGCAGTCAGAAACGCTAGCTACGCTAGTGAACGTGCTTTCTGCTAGCGAGCCCAGCAAGCAGTTTCTCCCAGATAGAGCTTTCGGAGTATGATTAGAAGGACTAGCGCTTGGTTCTGCAGTAAGCCGAGATTTTGGAGATCCCGGTCTCACGTCTGGCAGCCTCCAAACCTTAACATGTCGGGTGCCCACCCTGAGCAGCTTGTTAGTACTAGGCCTGGCAGAGACATAAATAATGCGACTTACGTGACCAAAGTCTGCCCAACCCAAGCCATGTCGCGAATGAATGAAGTACATTTATTGGTGGAATGAAGCCTGGCCGATCCTGTCTTCGGGTTCACGGACCAGACAAACAGGAATCCATCATTGACATCGCCAAGGGTGGCAAGGTACTGTGAATCTGGGCTGAAAGCCAATCCACGCACCCCAAACGTATGCTCGGTCAGAATGGAGAGTGGTACTTCACCCGAGGCCCCTTTGGCGGTTGAGTAGACAAGGACCCTCGGACCATATCCAGTCTAACAAATATCAGCATAGGAGTACGTTGTTACAAGCTAATTGACGGAGACATACCTCCCCAACGGCAAGCAGACCTCCATTCGGACTGACTGCGACGCTGGTGACTGCTTTCACTCTTTCCCGAGATGACCATCCACGTGGGCTATTGCACTCCGCCAGCTCATTACCGGCATTACCACCGTGTAGAACGCTTTGGGCTGTAGACCTTGTACCCGACGGAGTTTTTGCTCTGCTGTCTGGAGTAGTGGGAGGAGTGGAGGTATTATAGAAAGACGTGACAGGATTGACACTGGTTGCAGAAGGTCGTGCCCTGAAGAAGCGTTGCTGGAGGGTATTTTGCTCGTCTATTTCCGCTAGAACGACGGTCGAGCCAGCGCAAATAGCGAAGGAATTGCTCCCCGCATGACTTGAGAAGCCTCTGGGCGAGTTGGTGGTAGAACCGATTACTGTCTGGAGGGCCAGGATTGCCTGTTGTGGTGGTGTCTTGTGCATCGAAGAGCGTGTAGAGGGTCTAAGAACAGGTGAATTTGTAGGTGTTATGCGAAAGGACGACCCCGAGTTGGTCTTGCTTTTCGCATTCAGAGTATTGTATGCCATGGCGAGTCGGGGCGGGTTCGTAGGTGATTATGGTAAAACTCCTTGGAGACAAGGGAGGAAAAATTGGTGCATTGATACTTTCGAGTAGTGTTTTTCAGAGTGGTGGGCGCTTGTGTAAACTCGCCTGAGAAATGCAAGTCGTATCGCTCATATGAGGAAGGAGCCGCGATTGAGGGGCTGCGGAGGGGACTCGTTTGAAGCCTCCTTCCGTGTCGGTCACTGCGAATAATGATAAATATAGTCAATGCAAATATTCTTGGTTGTAATTTTGAAGCAGCGTCGTTCTAAATATGGCTAACGCAAGTGGTCGGGTGCGCAAAGGCTGGAGAAGAGGGGAGCAGAAGGCGGCGGCGGCGGCGGCGGCGGAGGAGCTTCAAGGGAACGAAGGGGTAAGCAAATCAAGATCAAGTCATGGATCAAATTACCGATTCAATGAGCGACTAGAAAGAAGAGAGACAGTAAGATGTGAAGAGGAAGAGAAGAAAAAGAGAATTGGACAAACGAATGAAGCTGGCGGAGAATGAGTGAGAAAATCTGATTTGAAGATCGGACAAACAGAAGAATGTGAGGCAGTAAACACTGTAGCTGCTCCTCCTTCCACGCCGGGCAGAGAGCCGAAAAATGACGGACGAACCCTTGGGTTTTTAGCGCGGGAAGCTAAAATGAGCGCCCGGCGATGGGAGATCTCCCCGTTGTCTGATCGTCCCGGAGCCTGCAGCAATGAGATAAGGAAAGGAGCAGAGGAATGAGGATAGAAGGTCTGTTGCATTAGTTCCTTGCTGTTTGGCGAACTTCTTCTAGAGTCTAGTCACGTCGAAATCTGTTGCAAAAACCGGGGACACATGGGCAGTGAGCAGAAGGCAGATCACATCTGATCATGTCCACAGGGCAGACATTCAGTGGCCCCAGCCTGTGGGGGAAGAGCATCCACCCTTGGGAATGGCGCCCTTTGACTTCAGCACCCAATTCATCCTTCCATCTGGGGTCGCAGGCTGTCAACGTTAATGGGCAGGAAATACGGAGCGGCACATCTTATTCATGCAGTACCATGGTCTTGCTCTATGGAGTCATCATATTGAGTTGGATGGTCGAATCATTCATTGCTGCGCTACCGCTCAAAGGACATTGCATGCTTCAGGCAGATGTTGGGTAGCAGAATGTCTATTCTTTGACCTTTGAAGTAAATCCTCTGCTGCACTGGGTAGATTGCACTGGCCTGAATTGTCCAGACTAGGTTTCGGTTCCTGCAGGCCGCGAGGCAGTCTTTGTTGTCCTTGGGACCACTGACAAGAGTATGGACTTCGCGCGGAATCAAGGGGGCTTCTGATTCGCGCATCTCACAGATTTTTTACTCTTCATTGGTGAATAAGTCATTATGAATTAGCGGTGAGCAGGTTTCAGATAGAAGAGGAGCAATGAGAATGTTGAGGGTCTCTTTGCTGTTCCGTCTGCCGACATTGTAGATAATAGTGGATTGGATGGTGGAAGGCCAACAATTGACTGAGTGGTTGTATGTCGGCCAGTCACATGACTACGGGGGCGAGCGGTAAATTGTTCTAGCCCCGTTTCTAGAAAGTAAAGTCTCCCGCGGGATTTTATCAGCGCGATACTTCTTTTCTTCTGATAGCGTTGCCTCCGACAATCTTCATAGCCAGCGCATCATCATCATTATCATCATCATGATCATGTGGAATTCAGGGGCTGCTTCAGCACGAGTGCACCTGTCATGTCTGCTGCATGAAGCTTTTCAACCAGATCTTGCTCGCTCGACCTGTCGAGTTTATCAACGTCGAAGCTTGTTTCCGATAACGCCTCTTGCCTATCGCAAGTCTGACGCTCAACGCAGTTTCAGCTCCAATCATCAAATCCATATACACCAGTCTCATTCATTGTTGTCGTTCATCAATACCCTCGAAGATTCTCCGATTCCGACGAACAAGATAGAAACAACCACGCCAGCAAAGAACGAGCGTGGCGACAATTCGACAGACAACGTCGTACAAGCCCCAGAATTCTCATCTAAGACTCACCGAGTTCCTTTCACAAAACGAACAGATGCCAGGGGTGCTGGTAAAGAGAGAGCTAAAGGCTCCTACAGCAAAACCGACTCCCGCAGCGATCGATCGAAAACGAAGCCCTCGGAGAAGACAAAGCCCTTGGAAGGGAAGCCAAAGACTTGGAGGGATGCTATCAAAATTACTGGCCCGCCGAAGAAGAAAGAACACTGGCAAACTCAGAAGGCTGCCCTGAAAGAGAAGTTCAAGGAAGGATGGAATCCTCCTAAGAAGCTTTCTCCCGACGCGATAGAAGGAATCCGACACTTGCATCAGGTGGCACCAGAGCAGTTCACTACACCTGTTCTCGCTGAGCAGTTCAAGGTTTCACCAGAGGCGATTAGACGTATCCTGAAGAGCAAATGGCGGGCATCAGACAAAGAAATGGAGGATCGCCGGAAGCGATGGGAAAGACGACACGATCGTATCTGGGCTCACATGACTGAGCTCGGCCTGCGACCACCTACCAAGAACACGGAAAAAATTCAAGATTCACAGGTTCTCCTCTATGAGGCTCAGAGCGAAGAAGACAAGGCTCAGAGCGAGGAAGACAAGGCATAGACAATGTTGCTATGGATTGTAGCATTACAAACACTGTATAATACCATTGCATGATGTACATTAACGAGCTGAGACGGTGGCGTTGTATGGGTTGGCGTTATCTCATTTCATCCTATCTTCAAATTAAAGACAATATCGTCTGTCCTAGCTCACTTGCTCGTAGTGATCAAAGCTCTAAACCAGCAGGGAATAGTACTGTACTGGATCAGGAATTCCACATGACAATAGACAGCTTGTGCGCCTAGTCGGGTTCTGTTTTATCTGGTTGTCAATTGCATTTAATGATTTTTACCATGCTGAGGACTCGGAGGAGTTGGGTTGTATGCACTCGATACACTCATTAAGGGTCTCGGCTAGACTAAACCCATCCATCCTCTCCTCCGCTGCCACCGCCGCCGCCGCCAGGAACGTTATGGAGCGAACTGAATCGCTAGGCTACGTTTACCCGCTTCCTTTCTGTTCTTCCAGTCCTTCAACCATTATGTCCTTCGCCATTTGACGCCATGCCCTAGCTGGCAAACATCAGATCATCTTTTGACTGTGATATATTCGTCCTGGCGCGTTGGTCTAGGGTTGTCTTCCCTTCAAGGTGGCGGCTGGTACCCACCAACCAACTGAGCTACCCCGAGCTTCCTCCTTCTGGTCTTACATGCGCGCGCTCACCCAAAACCACATGGGAGCCTATCAGTCGCCGCCATGCCATCAGACATCCAAGTCTTTGTGAAGTGGAAAGACCAGACAATATTTGCGGGGGAAGACGTGGAATGCACTATTACCTTCAAGAACATTGCGGAGACGAACGTGGAACCCCATCCCGGGGGTCCGACCTCACATCACAGACAACCTTCGCGAGCTACAAGCACTCACTCCGAGTCGTTATTCTCACTGAAATCACCTCAGAAATTCTTCTTCAGCCCGCATCGTCGCTCATACTCCACAGCAGCTAAGAAAAGCCCGTCGCACCGCCTTTCTTCCTCGGTGAGCTCGCCGTTGATCGGTTCGCACAGCTTCCCTCCTCCGTCCACTCCTCGCAATGGCTCGGCCGCCGGTGGCAAGCATAAACGATCGGTCTCTATACTCTCCATCGATAGTGAAGGTACCGGGGAGCCGACACCCCGGACATCATCACAATTCAGCCACCCCCGACCACTAAGGCGCCATGGGCGCGCGGCAAGTTTACAAGTCTTGCCAAGGAGATATGAGGCATATGAAGATCAGTCCGCAATAGGTACTTAATAGTGTAACAGAGATCAAGGGCATGGGCTATGCTAAAAGCTTGCATTTCTAGGTGGGCGCAGTCCCGTTCGCAGCTTCCCACCTACAGAGTCCTCAATTCATTCATCCCCCGGCAACCCCAGAATTGACATCGACGGTCCGAATGACACCAGCCGCCGTGGCTCAAATATCTACAGTCCTAATCGATCAATTGAACCACCTCGTACCCCTGCGCGTCGGCCTCCATTGTCACCGATTGAATTCAAATTTCCGCCGTCCCCAGCTGCCGACATCAACAGCCATATAGGCGTATCAACATTAACATCACCAATCGAAGAGAATCCCACAGCACCCAGATCCAATGGGAAGGAAATGACAGTTTTAGCGGCACCAGGACATTTGCCGCAGCTAACGAGAATCATGTCAACTTCCAGCCTGGCTGGAAGTCACAGAAGTAGTGGAGATTACAACTCGATTAGCGACAATTCGTCAGAGACTCTTCAGTCCGAGTACACAAACTACTCCACGACAGTGCCCCGCCCGCCTATCACATCGCGTCACTCACGACATGTGTCAAGCGTGGAATCCCCAGGGCTTTCGCCCTACAGCCAGACACTGCTTATGGGCTACGCGCAGATCAGCGCTTCATTTACTGTCGATGGCTCTCTGATCCACCAATCTATCTTTGAGGAAGTCAAGCGGAAAGGTGTCGTTGGGGGAGCAGGGAACGCAGCCGGTCTGCCCAGTGGCAAGCCAGCTGCAAGCGAAGAGAAGAGCCGCAAAAGCGGAGGCTTCTGGGGAGCATTCAAATGGAATGCAATTGAGGAGTCTTTGAGTGGCCTCCTCTCTAACAACGAACTGGATGGGTTACGAGACATGCGGGGCGTCTCGTCGTCTCGATCGATACCACTACTTTCCACAACGCAGTCGCTTCTCTTCGTAGACTTGCGACTGGCACCTGGGGAGGAGCAGTCGTATTCATTCTCTTTCACTCTTCCAAGTGGCTTGCCAGCTAGCCACAAGGGAAAAGCGATCAAGATATCCTACAATCTGGTTATCGGCACACAACGGCCAAGTAGTCGTAACGAGCCGCAGCGGGTGAATCGCATCAGCATACCTTTCCGTGTGTTCAGCGGAGTCAATGGTAAGTGTTGGTCTTGAACCAACCAAGAACCAAGTGATTAATTCCTCATACAGGCCAGGGAGATATCATGGGCCATGATCTGATGAGCCCCTATGTGCTGCTCCGGGACGAAGCCAGGGTACAGAAGGTCGGAACGAACCCAGCTTCAGTAGTGAAGCCTAAAAGCATTAGTGGCCCTACGTGGACGTCAGCTCCAGAATTCCTGTCATACGTGGACGACATCCTTGAAAAAGCCTCTCGGAAAAACTCGCTGCATCCACCCGAAGCTTCTGCGGAGCATCGAGCAAGTCACGATCCGGCGACGGGTCGATTATCCTGCAAGGATGCCATTGACCTCGCCATCCTTCGAAGCAATCAAGCGCTTAATTCATCTCGTAGCCCCAATCGGTTCGAGATCGCCCGCGATGGACGCCGAATGGCCGTTGTTGTCCTTAATCGCCCGTCTCACCGACTAGGCGAGACGATTATAGCCACCGTGAATTTCGCAGATGCTGCACTTCCTTGCTACGCTCTGCGCGCCACCCTTGAGAGCTCCGAGCGGGTTGCTCCGGCTCTGGCTATCCGATCGAATGCGAGCATCCGTCGTGCGACTCGCAAGGTCCATGCCTCGTATTTTGAGAACACGCTCTACGCGACCCGCGTGGTCTTCAGTCCAGCAATCCCTGTCTCTGCGACACCTACGATTCTTACCACTGGAGTGAATCATGAATGGGAACTTCGATTCGAGTTCGTTACCAGTAATGCCCATGACGGGTCAGCGCCATCGGGCTCGCGTTTGTTGGAGGCCGTATCTGAAGACGAACGCGGACGGGTCATGTCAGCCTTGGAAAACCTGGGGTGTGAGTCGTTTGAGATCGCAATCCCAATCACGATTTATGGCGAGACAGTCCGGGAGCGGCTGCCAGAAGAAAACGAAGGATACGCTATTTGAGGTAATATTTGTTCAAACGAAATACAGACGTTGAGATGAGAGATGTCTGGATTCTATGACGTCGCATAGAGTCTGGGACACATCCAGGTTACTTGCAATTTAGTCCATACCTTGGCTGCGCTAGACTGAAACGACGTAATGTGAGACGAGTAGTTTGGTGCATGCCAGCCAGAAGAATTTCCTCTGAATTGTGAGAACTAGTCTAATAAGCCTCCATTTCCTTGCGACGCGACGGGTCACCGGGGCAACGGACGGGGCGTTGGGCTACTTGGGAGTTGGAAGACTGCATCACCCATGGTTCCGTGGGTGGGAAGCGTGGAGCAATTCAAGAGTCGGTACTTAAGTTAGTCTAGTCTAGGTAGTAGTGGTAGTAGTAGTCTATAGATATTGTTGTATAGACTGGATGGTAGTACCTGGTAGATGCATTCCCCTGCAGCCAATTTATATTAACTCGTGCGACGTTAATCAGTAGTTCCTGGTGTTTGCGCCTCATCCGATCTGGTCGGGCCCGAATCGATCGCTGATCCCATCCTTCTCCTCCTTCTTTCTACTGCTTTTGTTTCTCTTCCCCATTCCTCCTTACCCCCCCCATCTTCGCCCACTTGAAACACATACACACAGACACACGACTATAATCTCGTCTTCAACGCGCCCTTGAGGGACTATTGGCGCTCCAGCTCTGGGACTCTTGGCCGAGCCAGTAAGAAACCCCCGCCTTTTGATGCCTGTGCGCGCCCCGATGGACTGACGGATTGCTTGACTGTCTGGCATCGGAATGTAGGCGCATTCTCCTCCCACCTCGCAATCGATCCTCCGCCGCCGAAGGGAACAATTCCAGGCAGTCCGAGGCCTTCGACAGGCGACCCGTTCGCTGTTCTTATCTAGTCCAAAGAGAGAGCCCTTTCCTCAAGCGAAAGCGAGATGGCATCTTTCATCACTACAATGTCTGTCCCCGTCACCACCACTTCCTCTTCTTCATCTGCTGCCCCGCCGACTCCGACGTCTTCCCGGCGCCCTCTTCCTCCCCTCCCTCTCATCCCTTCAGTCTACCACAACACCGTTCATACTTCCCGCGCTCCTCTCTCCGAACCCCCCTCCTACTTGTCACCGGCGGTGTTCGCGCTGAAAAATGACCCCTCTGGGCTGACACCTCCCAGCAATGCTCGCACCCGCGCGCCCTTCAAGCCGCGATCGGCAGCCAAGGGCACCACCAGCTACCAGCTGAGACAATTTGCGGAAGCGACGCTCGGCAGCGGCAGTCTGCGCAAGGCCGTGAAACTGCCCGAGGGCGAGGATTTAAATGAATGGTTGGCCGTGAATGGTGTGTATTGAAAAAAAAAAAAAAAAAAAAAAAACCAACTTGAATGCCGATTGTGTGTGCCACAAGCGTATGTCCGCGTGCTGATACAACTATGTTGTTACCTTCGTCCCCGCAGTTGTCGACTTCTACAATCAAATCAACCTGCTGTACGGCGCGATCACGGAGTTCTGCTCGCCTCAATCATGTCCGGAGATGAAAGCGACCGATGAGTATGCGAAACCCGAGTTTCCCAGGTGGTATATGTCTCAGAGCTGACAAGGAGGTTTCGTTACGCATTCTAGATTCGAGTACCTCTGGCAAGACTCGGAGAACTTTAAGCGACCGACGAAGATGTCCGCGCCCGAGTATATCGAACATCTGATGACCTGGGTGCAGAGCAGCGTCGACAACGAACAGATCTTCCCAAGCAGGCTCGGTACGTGATGCCCCGTTTATGGTTCACCCGGTTCTGGCTACAGCAGCTACAGCACTCTACAAACGATGAAACTGGCGGCGGTGGCAGACGCTAATATTTGGAAATCCAATACAGGTGTTCCCTTCCCCAAAGCGTTCCCCAGTCTGGTGCGACAGATCTACAAGCGTATGTACCGGGTGTACGCGCACATTTACTGTCATCACTATCCCGTGGTGGTGCATCTCGGCCTCGAACCCCACCTGAACACCAGCTTCAAACACTACGTGCTGTTCATCGACGAGCATCGCTTGGCGAGCGGGAAGGATTTCTGGGGGCCTTTGGGCGACCTGGTGGACAGTATGCTGCGGAGCGACTGATTCGCGGGCGGGCTGTCAGGCGAACACACGAGAGGATGACGGGACCAGGGCGTTTGGGCGTCGAGGCATTCGTAAAAGGGAACATTTAAAGAAGGTCGTAGAGGCCGTCCGGCGTTTTTGTTTCGTTGCTGATGAAGCTATTGAGTTGATGGGCATTGCATTGCCGTTATTTCATGTTTGTATGCGCATCAGAGCATAAGCAGTATCTCTTTTGTCCGAACCACCGGCTTTTGGTAGACAATCTGTAGTATGAGTCGTAGTAGTACGAGGGGAAAGAAGAATAGCCGAAAACCCGGCGTGTGCGGGAACTCACGTGATCACCCTAGCCGGCAGGAACTGAACCTGGCCCCGAACCTCGAGACGCCATCACCAAACGCACCGCAAGTCAGTCTCCATCGACGAACACCGACGTCTTCTCGCATCTCCCTCCCCTCCACTCCCCCGGCTCGCCCAGGTCCTCCTTCCCACCGATCACCATGTTCTCCGTTCGTCTCGCCCGCGTCGGCCTCCGTGCCTCCGCCCAGCAGTTCACCGTGCCTCGTACTGCCGCTCTCAACGGTCTTCGCACCTATGCCACCCCGGCCCAGGAGGTCAAGCCCCCGGTGTCCCTGTTCGGCGTTGACGGCACCTATGCTACTGCTCTGGTATGCACACCTCACAATCACTACGGTTCTGCCTGGGATGGGTGGTCCAAGTCGTTGCTGTGACGTCTTCCCCTCCGCACTCGGTCCAATGGGTGTGCGCGCGCGGGCTGCTCGAATCCGTCTCATCTCGTCTCTTCAACCAAACGAAAGATCAGTTTCCTACAACATGGGAAGGCACCAATCACCGCCCTACACAAGAACTTGAACCAACACGAGACGGAAAGACAGCAGGGGAACACGAACACCAGCAACGATTGGGCGGCCAAACACCAGCCCTTGTTCAAACCATGCACAGAAAAACCCTCCTCTTCCAAGAAACAGAACCATACATTCGGGCTAACCACCAAACCCCTCTTGGATAGTACACCGCCTCGGCCAAGTCCGCCGCTCTGGAGCAGACCGCCAAGGCCCTGGGCAACCTGGGCCAGACCCTCAAGGCCGACCGCAAGCTGATCGATATCCTCAACGCGCCGACCCTCTCCGTCTCCGACAAGCAGCAGATCATCGCCGAGCTGCAGAAGGTGGCCGGCGGCGCCGACAAGGCCGAGATCATCAAGAACTTCCTGGCCACCTTGGCCGAGAACAACCGCCTGGGTCTGCTGGAGGGTGTCTGCGAGAAGTTCGCAACCCTCATGGGCGCCCACCGCGGTGAGGTCGAGCTGAACATCACCAGTGCTCAGGTAGGTTGCCCTTTCTTTCTGGAACTTCAATTCCATCCGGCAACTTGCTCACAAACCCAAACAGGAGCTCGATACCAAGACCCTCAACCGTCTCGAGCGGGCCGTCTCCAAGTCCGAGTTCAGCCAGGGCAAGAAGCTCAAGGTTGTCTCCAAGGTAGCCCCCCCCCTCTTCTTTGTTGTAAAACCCTTCTCAAAAACCGAACAACTAACACTGGAAACAAAAGGTCAACCCCGACCTCCTCGGCGGCCTCGTCGTCGAAATCGGCGACCGCACCATCGACCTCAGCGTTTCCTCCAAGATCGCTAAGCTCAACAAGGCCCTCACCGATGCTCTGTAAATTTAGATTTTTTTGCTTTCTCGCAGCAAAAGAAATTGACTTGTGTTGTGTGTTGATGGAAGCAAAAAGCAAAAACCGTTGAAAGCTTTTGTGTCCCCAAAGAACGGTCTCTTCCATTAGTATAACTATACTCCATTGCCCTCCCCACCCGCTCATGCATCCCTATTATCTCACTTCCTTTATCCGTCATATAAATGTATCCTAAACCTCAATTACGCAATTTTTCTTTGAACTTCCTTTTTTGGGGGGCGAGTTATCGTTTAGTAGTGGATTTTGGTTTTAGTTTGGGAGGTGTAGATATGCTGTAGATGTAGATGTGGAACGTATACCACGAGATATGAGGTGTGCACCCGATGATGGTGGAGTCTGCCGGTGCTTGTGGTGTAGATGTAGATGTAGATCTGGAGTATATTTATATTCACATATCAAGAGTTTACCGAGAGCATCGATCTTCTCACCGAAAGACGATGTTGGGCGCAATCAGCCGAGATACTTATCCTTGCACCATTATATGTGTTAGGCCAAGACTCCGGGGTCGTAGTCGACTGAGTAGCTACGGGAATGAAGTCTAAGGGCACAGTGACGACCCGATCCTATGCAGCAGTGCTCGCTCATTTCTTTCTACCATACATACCTATATCCGCTGAACGAGAAGCAGGGGCTAGCAGACCAGAAAAACAAAAATCCGGGGCGAGTTATTGCAGAATCCCCTGCTTGCGGGTGGTCTGCGTCTCCGATGTATTGTGCAGTAAGTAAAGTAGCACAGGCAGGGACTCGACTCCTGGGTGGAAGATATCAGGGACTTGGGCTATGTGCATTGACTACTAGGTTACTAGTAAGGAACCATATGTAGTTGGAGGGCGTGGCCGAATCTGGTATGTTTTTCCCGGTTGTTCGTAATGGGTCTTGATGATACATAGACCTGATCTATTTTCGGTCCACTGGATATATATTAGGATTCATGCTGGGGTCGATCGATATCGGGGTGGGGCATAGTCTAGTTGATGGTATTATCATGTTGTAGACAGTTATACACAGGTAACGGTGTTAGTCAAAGCAGTGGTGCATCCCGCAACAAGCCGGAAATGACGAGAACAAGCCACGGAACGATGCAGGCGATGAATCTATACCTACGGCAAGCAGTCCGCCGAAGGGATCATGTCATGATTCGATAGATGCAGCAGCTCAGCTTGAAGAACACAGATGACACAGATAAACAGACAATCTTGACTTATGCTTTCGAAATGATCACCGCTCTAAGAATCGACAACAATACAACCCATCTAACACATCTTCCTTCGGAAATAAACATCCGTCTAACTTTGTACTAGAATCCAGTCTCCGTTCCGTTCATTTCCCCTTCACAAGAATCAATGACCGTTGCCGTTGGGGGCGTGGTCTGCCTGCGTCTCAAACTCATCCTCGTATGCTCCGATCGAAGCTTGACTTTTTACGCGCTGCAACTGACTCTCCACGTACTTGTGAACGTGCTCGTTCTGGAGGTCAGTGTCCACGCTCCGCTGATTCTCATCCTCGTCCAGGGCAGTCTCGGGAGCCGGGGTCTCGCGTCCGGAGAAAGTGGACTCGAAGTCGCTGCGGTTGCCAATGGACCGGGTCGTGGAAGAGCGGCGGACGCTGGGACGACGGCTGCCCCGTGGGCGGGAGAATCGGGTGAAGACGTCGTCGAAGTAGTGCGATGCCGCTGCGTGGGGAGTGCGGGGGGTCTGTGGGAGACGGCAGTTGATACTAATAGCACTATTAGCCAGGGACCGTAGAAAGCTAAAAAGTGTGAAGTGTGACCTACCCTGTGTCGTGGATGACCTTGGCAATCAGACCAGTCCATCCGCACTGGTGGGACGCTCCAAGACCGCGGCCGGTGTCTCCGTCGAAGAACTCGTGGAACCACATGTAATCCTTCCAGTGCTCGTCAAAGTCGAGGAGGTCGGATCCGTTGTGTACCGCCCGGCGGCCTTCGTCGTTTCGGGCGAACAGATGCTGCAGCCGGTGCTGAATCTCTTCGGCAATGTGTCCGAGATGCATGTACTCGCCGGAGCCTGTGGGACACTCGATCTTGAATGAATCGCCATAGAACATATAGAAGCGTAACAAAGACTCGATGAGCAGGAAGTTGACGCACAACCAGATCGGCCCACGCCAGTTGCTGTTACCTCCAAACAGCCCACTGTCGGAGTCTCCTGGAACATAGCTGACCCGGAATGTCTGACCATTGACATCCATCGAGTAAGGGTGCTCGCCATGATACTTGGACATCGACCGAATGCCGTGCTCCGACAGGAACTCGGTCTCGTCCAGCATTCGCTTGAGAATTTTCTCCAGGCGGTCCTTGCTCACCAACGCCAGAAGGAGTCGCTCATCTTTACCGCGGTTCTTCATGCTTGCAATGTTGCGCTCGGCCACATCTTGGCGGTTCTCAACGAACCATTCCAAACGCTTCTTGAAAGATGGGAACTTGTTGATCAACTCTGGCTCAAGTGTGAGGACGGCATATAGAGGGATCAAGCCGACCAAAGAGCGCACAGGTAGCTGCTGGGTCCAAGGGTCACCGTAGGAGATCGCATCGTAATAGAAACTATACAGTATAAGCGATCATTCGATTCGTTTGGTTTTGGACCACTAACCCATCTTCCTCGTTCCAGAGGGATGATTCCTGACCACCTGATCGGAAAGTCATGGCATCACTAATCAGAATGAAGTGCTCGAAGAATTTGGAGGCAACTGGACCTCTGTCAGCACATAAGTAGCTCATGATAGAGACTTGAATCACTCACTGTCTTCGTAAATTCTCCGATGCTTGGCCAGCTCCAACGCGATGTTCAACATGCACAAGCAGTAGAAGGCCATCCATCCTGTGCTATCGGCCTGCTCCAGCACACCGCCGGTGGGAAGAGGCTCGGAGCGGTTGAAGAGCCCGATGTTGTCCAGCCCCAAAAAGCCGCCTTCGAAGACGTTCTTGCCGTCGGAGTCCTTTCGGTTAACCCACCATGTGAAGTTTAACAACAGCTTCTGGAACACCCGTTCCAAGAAATCAAGGTCCTGCCGTCCGTACATCTTGCGCTCAATCTTGAAGACTCGGAACGTAGCCCATGCATGGACAGGAGGGTTTACATCACCAAAGTTCCACTCATAGGCTGCAAGCTGACCGTTGGGATGCATGTACCACTCGCGAGTGAGGATGTCCAGTTGCTTTTTCGCAAACTCCGGGTCGATCATTGCAAGTGGGATGCAGTGGAACGCAGTGTCCCACGCAGCGAAGAAGGGGTATTCCCACGAATCGGGCATCGAAAGGATATCCTCCATGTACAAGTGTTTCCACTGTTGGTTTCGAACGTGCTTCCTGCCTGGAGGGGGTGGGATCATCGCAGGATCGCCATTAGCCCACTGGTCCCAGACGAAGTGGTAGAACTGCTTGTTCCACATCATTCCGGAGAATGCTTGCCGCTGAATGTTGCGCAAGTCATCGCTCATGGGCAAAGGACTGATATGGTAGTAAAAGTCATCAGCCTCATTTCTGCGCTGGTCGATCACATCGTCCAACACTTCTTCATCGATGAACGGCTCTAGGCGCCGAGAGAAGCGGAAACGGACGACCACGCATTCGCCGGGAGGAACACCCTCGCCCTCGTCAAAGGCGTACCAGGCGGCAAACTTGGTACCCTTGTTCTCGGGGTTGACTGCGCCCTTCTCACCGTTGACAATGTGACGATGGAAGGCGTCCTTGACGTAGGGCTGATCATTCTTGGTGTTCCAGAGAAATTCATTATTGGTTTCGTTTTCGGTGAACAACAGCTTGGGAACCACATCTTCCTCCCCGGTCACAGACGGAGATGGAGAAAACCGGACATAGCGCTCTCCGAGTTTGTGGTGCTTAGTCTTAGCGATCAGAGGATACGTTTTCTCCACGGACGGTTTCTCGTTCTTTTCCTCATACCCCCACGCCCAGGTGTTGCGGAACCACACATGCGGGACGATGTGCAAGTGTGCTGGCTCAGGTCCTCGGTTGTAGGCGATAATGCGGAACAAGAGTTCTTCCTCATCGTCGTCTTCTTTCGCAGTCTCGATGAAGATATCCCAGTAACGGTTCTCATCGAAGGCATCCGTATCGAGGATCTGGTACTCGCGGTCACTTTTGCCGCGTCGTGCGTTCTCCTCAGCAAGCTCCTGATAGGGGAACTTCTTCTGGGGATACTTGTAGAGGAATTTCATGTAAGAGTGCTGTGCGCGTGGTCGGATTAGAAACCACCAAAGTCAACCCACGCTGAGAGAGGAAAGGGTCTTACTGTCGGAGTGTTATCGAGGTGGAAATGGGCCTCCTTGACACTCTCGCCATGGTTTCCCTGAGGATTGGATAGACCGAACAGGCGCTCCTTCAGGAAGTCGCTAGAATTGAAGGTGAGCGAAGTTCACTGCAGACATGGACCGAACACCACGTACTCTTTGCCGTTCCAAAACGCAAAAGCGATGTTTTGCAAACTGTGGGTATCGGACACACCGGCAATACCGTCCTCACCCCAGCGGTAGGTTCGGGACCGCGCATGGTCGTGGGAGAAGTCTACAGCGGAACCGAGCGATCAGTCGTGAGTGGTATAATCAGCATGTGGGCGCAACTTACAGCTCCAGGCATCTCCATTCTCACTGAAAGTTTAGAAAAAAGATATTCCGTCAGCGATGGGTCAATTGAATGCCATTGATGCATCTTGCAACGAAATGCACGAAAGAGAACGCTTACGAGTAATCTTCGCGAACTGCGGGGCGGCAAGAGCAATGAGGTCATTGCGTCAGTTCATGTGAAATCTCCCAGCCTCCAGATCGACAAGGAGAACATACCAGTAGCCCATTGTCTCTCAGCGACGTAGGGACCCCAGCGTTTCCAATAGCGAGTGCGCTCGCGATCTTCCTTGAGTCGTTGCTCCTCGCGGGATTCGTACGAATGCTTGTCGATGAGGACCATGGTGACGCCGATTGCAGGCCCTTCGGGTAGTAGATAAGATAATCTACCACGAGAGGGAGAATGGCAGTTACGAACAAGAAGGGGGAGAGGAGGATAGAGAAAAAGTAGGAAAGAGCGAGAAAACGAGAGGAAAACGAAAGAGGGAGAAACAGGTGAGGGGAAGGGGAACGAGGAAGAAAGATGACTGAGTCGGAGTAAGTACAGTTAGTGTAGAAAGTGAGAGAGAGAGAGAAAGGAAGAGGAGGAAGCCGGAGAAGATGGATGATGATGAGGGGAGGAGGGGCAGCAACACAACCAAAGGAAACAAGGAATCCTTCCGGGAGCTCAACGAGAACGAGCTAGACGACTAGCTGAACTTGATATTAATTAAACTAGACTACGGTACGGACTAGCTATCATTCATGCTGCACGACAACACAGAACATAAGAGGGGAGCGAGGGAGCCAATGAATTCGGTGATACGAGAGCTGCGATAGCAGAGTCTGCTTGCTATCTTATGGTCTGGACCCTCGCTCGGACGCCTCTTTTGGCGCTTTTCTGGGGTTTCGCCCGCGTTTTCCCTGGTTGGGGCAGAACAGCACTGACATCATTGCCATCCATCACAGAAGAATGCAATTTGAGATTGACTCTGCATTGCTCCGTCCAGAGTTACACTCACCATCGATTCCGTAGTATCATCATCAATACGAATAGGATTCGCCCTTTGCGGTTAGTAGATTCAACAACATATTGCGGAAGGCGGAAAGTTGCGAGTAGATAAAACCCTCGGGAGAATGACTCGGCCAGGCTGCCAGTCTCAAAATCACCATCTTTTCTTGCCGGGTCCGATTGACACCCCGTGGAGCGGTCCTGAGTACTCCGTACTCTCCATTATTGCAATCACGGCCCGGACGATTTCAAAGCTAGCCGTGACGATCAAACCGTACGCCGTTGTCAATGCTCAATGGACTATCCGCACGACAAGAAAGGCATTTCTGCCCATATGGAGCCGATTTAGGGCGATAAGGCACCATCGAGCAGCCTTAGGGCCTTTGGAAAACGACCCATTCATATCTATCAGAGGAATACTCCTGTCAAGCGCTCCTGTCGCGGTAGGAGATGGATGGATCGGCGCTGTCGGTCGGGTCGGGCACGGCACTCGATCGACATCGACATGAGCCACTCTAGGAGATTTCTTCTCTCCCATTGACTGCTCATCTACTCCGTAGCACCGCACAGCAAATGCACAGATGGTTTGGGCACGGAGGAGGAGATCTTTTTTCTGGACTCACATTCTCCGAGGGATCGATCGGATGCTGTGCAACAAACAGTTGGGCTAAAAATAGACCTTCGAGGGGAGGGGCGACTCAGTCCGTTACCCTAAGACCAACACAGCAGCCAGCCCACAGCATCTTCTTCCTCACTCTCAATTCATCTCCACAAAACACTCGAAACGTTCAAGAAACAACCCGCTCATGGAATAATCCACTTCTTGACTATCAGAATATGATATGATAATGAAACATGTTACGCCACAGCAGAATGATAAAACACCCCTTCACCCACTAGACCCGTGAGATCGTGGCATGCACGCTCAACTCGGTCATCGACGCTACCCAGCGCGAAAAGAACCCGAGCAACAAAGGCTGTGCACCGATATTTGCTTGACCCTCCCATGCGACGAGGCATGCGTGAGTGTGGGAACACAATGACCGGTGCAAACAAACAGAAAGGTAAAGAAAGACAGAAAAAAAAAAAGATAAAAACCAATTTCTCCCAAACATGCTCGCCCGATAAGGATATATAAAATATTGTAGCAGTGAAGTCGAAACCCATCAAATTCTCCTGTCCTTGAAACCATAACCCAGATTATATGCTAATGTGCCAACGCTGGCCCGCCTCCATGCCGTTACGAACTGCGGCCTTGGCTGCGTCGCAGCTGTTCATCGCCACTGGAGTATTGTGCTGAATCGGTGGGCGATGACGACGCGGATGTGTTTCCTGATCAGCAACGATAGCGGTTAGCGATGTGTTGTTATCGGCGAGATCAAATGGCGAGGCTCGATTTACCTGAGCCTCCGTAGAACCGACCGTCTCTTTGCGCTGCAGGGTTTCTGGACTCCATAATCACCGACTGTCGAGCTTTGAGGCGTTCTTCGGCTTCGCGGATCTTGGCTTGAAGTTGTTCGAGTTCGCGGGTCTGGATCATCATCTGCAGCTTCCTGGTAACGTTGCTCTGTCAGCTCATGCGATCGTGTGGTTACTTGTCAACAGAGGCCCGGTACAGGATGGGTCTCACGATGAACATGCGTTGAGAGTGGGAGTGGAACCTACTTTTGGTCGATAGTCTGTGAGAGATGATTGACATCGGTGTCCAGAGAGAAGGCGCTATCCAGCGCGGTCGAAAAGGCCTGTGCCATGGTCCTGCCATGTCTTGGTCAACGCCAACATCCAAGGACGGAGGAGAGGAGCGCAAAGGAGTACGAACGACTGAGGGCGACCGCTGGGCTTCCATTCTTGCTCCGAGTCCGATGACATTTTGATGGCTGTGATAAGAGTGCTCGGTCGATCCGGTGGGCGTCGGCGCTGGGGAAGAGCGGGATACGAGAGAGCTGTGGCAACTGGAAGATAGGTATGGCGGGAGAAGTAAGGAAAAAAGGAGTATGCGAAACGCAACAGGCTGAGGCTCGGAGGGGTGTTATTTGGGAGCGCGCGCGTTTCTAGCGGAACAGGGGGTGTTGGAAGTGGATATGATAGCACGGACGGGGTGGGCCTTACGCCTTAAATTATGGGGGGGAGGGGGAGATTAGGAGGAGAAAAGAGGAGTGGAAGAAGAGGCGAAGAACAAAAGGATTTCTCCAACGGGAGAGGGCAAGTAAGACCGAGTTAAGTTAACGCATGGAACAGTCGGTCAAATTGCAAGCGCTTGCTGTCCCTAGGTTACCAACTATAAGGCCTGGAAAGAGGGGGGGAGGGGGGGGGAAGGACCACTTTTGAGTTATCAGAGCTTTAGTAGAGGCACGGAGTAGTCTGGTGAGTGCTCATAACCTGGTCACAACTAAGCAGTTGACAGGGGCACACAGCACGATCGGCAGAATGACGATGGCTGGCGCTGGGAGGGGGTCCAAGAGGCGATCTGATGCAAAGACCCTCTCTGCGTGTGGATTCCTGGTATCGGTTATTGGTGGTGGTGCATGCAAGATTCTCCCAGGGTGGGCTGGATATTCATTCATTCATCCAAGTCCATAGCAAGCAGGAGGAGGAGTCACTTAGCCTTCCTTTACTGAGGGAGGGTGGAAGTGCCCTGTTGATTGAATCGGATACGTTTAGCTTAGGCCTAGTCTAGTCCGTAGTCTCCCGTCTGCACCGGTAGTTTTTGAGGTGGGCAAATAGTCCTGTTACTCTGGGCTACTAGTAGCTCTTGACCATCTGGTTGGTGAGTATTATTATTTTAGTTTCATTATTGCTCCGTCTTTCTAACTGTGATGGAGATTTCCCCTGAAACTATGGAAGATTGTACCCGCTCGGTACCTTTCACGTGACCCATGCCCCTCCCCCTAACTCCATCCTCGCCAGAGCTTTCTACCCGGGACCGTACTGCCACCCGCTCTTTGAGTTTAATGCCACCGCCGCCACAAGCCTCTTAACTTAGCACTAACTATCCACTTGAATTTCCAACTATCAGCATATAGCACTGGGGTTGACAGCGGTCAAACGCGGAGTTGACTGCATGTGTATGATGATCGTTCTCAATACTTCATCTTGTCACTCCTGTCTGTAAAAATAACTTCTCATAGTGGTTTCGATATTAGGTTCTCTTCTCCGGGGACTTCACTCACCGTCAACCCCTTTCGCCAGCCATGCTCGCACAGCTGCTGCTGCACCTGGCAAGGAGAGGACCGTCAACATTGGCATATGGTGGCTGCTTCTTAACATGAAAGCCCCTTTCAACCGCAAGATTGACACTGCTAAACTCCCGGTTGAGTCAACTCCAGCCAGGCCTTGTAAATCCGGACGCTATTGGATGGTGGTAGATTGGTTGGCATTTAGGGAAGACTTCCATGATTTTCCAAGATGTATACCTAGTAGTTATCTCATAGAAACAGGTACCTCAAACAAAACCAACCGCAGCGGCTGTGGAGGCCACCAAGCCTCGTACTATTTAACCCACCTCCGTACCAGAGACTAGAGTCAAGTTTGGAGAAGAAGAAACAGGTCTGGCCCACGAGCGTGATACTGTTGAGATCTGAATATCAGTCGAAACATGTTATGGCTCCTCTCACTCCGTTAGACCTTCAGGACACTCCTTCTATGCCTCGAGGCCGCTTGCACGGTGACTGAAATCTGCAGCTTTCGCTTCTCATACAGATTCTGAACCCCTTTGATCTTTGGCAGATTCTCTGTTCGCAAGCAGTGACAACGTTGTGAAGGCCTCGAAGTCCCAGGGTGGCAGCTGAGATGTGACAGAAACACTGGTCTGTAGCTCTCACATGGCATGGTCAATGCTTATTGAGGATACAATACACTTCAATCTGACACGGCGATTCTTCAAGTTTCATGCTAGGCACGGTTGAATTTGTTTGATAGGGGTTGTTATTGGGGTATGCGTGGTAGCATGGATCTACCTAGTGTTGTCTCACATTTGATTGATGTATCTTTCAGCCTCAAGCTCGCAGATGCCTCTTAATCACTACTTCACTTTAGCTCATATAAATATATAGAGGTTCAAGCAGCGACCACATTCAGTGTGAGCTCAAAGCATACCAGAACTTTCTTCGATCAAGGTGTGTAAACGCTGGATTGCGTTTATGGTATGGGACGATGTGCATGTTGCTGAAGACCTCCGTTAATTTTGGGTAGACTCATATCAAGAAAGCCCAGCCCAGATATCAATACGCATATCATCATCGAGCAACCTTTCCGGCACAGTATCCTATCACATTTAAACATTTGTTGGACAGACAACCTGTATAGCGCTCGATCTAAGCGACACGCTAAGATACTTCAGCTGGTACAATGCACTAAGCTAACTTGAACTGACTAAGACATTCGACCACGGGAGTCCGAGAAGGCAAAATTCTTTGAGTGAGAGCTATTTGATAGACTACCTGGCACCTGTTATTGTACCTATTGTGTTGACGTATGTGCTTTTTTATCTACCCGAGTGTATTGTTCATCTGAGTACAGTACAATCCAGCCCAGAGTCCCGGGCTGGGCCGACGCTAGCATCACAGAGCCGGCGCTACTAAGCCCAGGCCAGGTACAGTCCACTGCTCTGTTCTTCTAGAATTACTACAGAGTACTCCGTATTGAGTGAAGGAATGATGATGGCTGTATTGTTTATTCGTGGGTGAAAAGATCTAGTTGACAGAGGAATACATTTCAGAACAGACTGTCGCATGGCCTCTGATGGAAGACAGAATAGGTGAGACAGCGACAGCACCTCAAAATGTGTATCAGTGTTACGCTTATACGGAGCACTCTATGTGCTGTACTGGAAAGGAGGGAAGGGCCGTGTTACTGTAAGAAAGTCCTCCCGAGATCAGATGTTGGGCCAAGAAAGAAAGAAAGCCAAGCCAGATTTCTGCGACTGAGCATAGTGACCATGGTCAAGCCTAGGCTTGGAAGGTGGCAGGTTGCCCTGACAATAGATATAGATGCCCAGTGAATCAATAAGCTTGCTGAATACGGGTTGCTCCAACCTCCTCCATTCCCGTCTCCCACGTGACTCGCAGGCCTTTTTCCGGATCGGTTGCGGGAGAAAGGGTGAGGTGAAGGGCAGTTGGGAGTGCTGGAGCCCAGCAGTGCGTGCCGCAGTCAACCTAGAATCACTCCCACTCCTTGGAGAGGTAACGCAACATCGAGAACGGATTCCATCCTATCCTATCCACACCTCCCTCTCTCCCCCCATTGCATCTCGCCATCCCATCCCATCCTCCCCATCCATCCATCCATCCATCCATCCATCCATCCCCGTCCCTTTTTTTTTTTTTTTTATCCACCATCGTTGTCGTCCATTTTCCTCTTAAAAACCATTTTGGGTACCTCTTCCCCCTAACAATACTCCATTTTCTCCCAATTTCTACGGTTTCCACCCACCCCGCGTCACCCATCTTGACACGGTCGCGTTTTTCCCGTCTCTGATTTTCTGCCTAATTTTTCGACTGGCCCTTCCCTTTCTTGCGCGGCCGGTCTAAACCCGCACCCCTAATTCTTCCCTTCCAGTTCCGCACACGCGACCTTGGCGGCCTGACTTTCAAGGCACCAAGTCTATCTGGATTCGGTACCACCCACCGAGACCTTCACTACAGGGCTAAGCTACAACACGGTCGACGCTGAACGTTCGGATTAACTTGCCGGGCCAACCGTCACGCAACGACTCTCTCTTTTATCACCGTGGCCCCCATTCCAAAATCCCTCTCCCCCGGCGGCCGATCTGACGGGCAATGGGGGATGCCTCCTCTATCTGCTTACACCCCCTTTGAGTCGCTCCTCTTTTTCCAGTCCCTCGCTGCCTTAGATGCTCGACCCGCGAGTTTCGCGACCATCTCTGATGTTCTCCGCAACAATTCGTTCATTCGCCAAGATGCCGCTTTCGATGCCGGGCGACTCGCCCCGGAGGCCCTCGAGGACCTCTATTCGACGCTGATGAGGGAAGGTGTCGACTCGGTCGGTGTCGTCGCGGCTCATGAGCCAAATGGTCGCCATGCTGAGAGTCCCGCCAATCCGAAAAAGCGCAAGATTATGAGTCCGCAGCCAGATGATTTGTCCGGAAAAAGGTCGAGCCATACAAGCCTAATGCCAACCCTGGTATCGCGTTTGTACGCTAGGTATAAGGAGCTGGTAACGAGGGAAATACGGAACGAGGAGAAGAGATACACGGAGATTCGAAACGAGATCGAACAGCTGCAGAAGGAAGAACGCGAAGCACAGCCGGAGTCCACTATGCGCCCACCGCAGCAGCCAGTTGCACCCCCGAAACAAGAACATGCGCCGGAGCCAATGGACTTGGATGTGAAGGAAGAGAGACCGCCCCAGCAACCTATGCCCGCACCAACCCAGGCAAAGCCTCCGCTGCCGGTCATGGATAAGACGCAAGTACAGCCTGTGCCGCAACCCAAGGACTTGCAACCGGATAAGCAACCACCAAAGGCTATGCCTTACCTACCTCAGACGCCGTCACAGCTCCCCGCGCAACCAGCAGGACAGCCACCGAAAGATCCGGCCAGAGCGATTCAGCCCCAACCTCAACAACCGCAGCGATCGGTGCAACAACCTCCCCCTATCCCACAGATGGCAACGGGCAGGCCACTTCAACCACAGACACCAAATGGGAAGACCTTTCCCGCGCCGCAAACTAATACCGTACCTCGGAATGTCCCCGCGAAAGCACCAGCAGCCGGTGTGACATTCATGTCGCCGCAAGTACCACCGCCGAATACCACCTCTTCAAATCTCGGTGCTGGCAAACCGTCTGCTCCTATGCAGCCGCAAATCATACCCAAGGCTCTCCCTACTTCACAGCAATCCACCCCAGTTGGCAAGCCTGCTGCTAAAGTAGGCGCACCAGCCACAACGTCCACTCCCGTTCCTCAACGTCTTCCACCCCAATCGAGTTTCCAGCAATGGTCTCTGCATCAACCTCCCCAGACACCTCAGCCTCAGCCTCAGCCTTCGCCTTCACTTATCAAGCCGAAGCCTGAGCCTTCGAGCAAGCCTCCCTTGGAGAGGCCTGTCCTACCATTTCAGCAACCTATACCCAGTGTTGAGAGCAAGTTGGCTCAACAGGGTCAACCACCAATACCCTTTCCTTCAACTCCGGGCCCAGTACCCGCAGCGCCCTCACCGGCTTTGGGTGTTCCAGCTCCTGGCTTCCAGACTCCAGTAGGAACCGGGCGAGCTGCTTTAATCCCAGGTCCACCGGGTTCACATCCTTTGCGGCCATCGATCGACACCACTGGCTCTCTCACGCCCTGGAAGAGGACTCCGCGGTTGAGTCTGAGCATACCTGAATCTCCCCGCTCGCCAGACCGACCACGCCCGGAGGAGATCAGTCCCATCAGCGAGAAGGCTCCATCCCCGCCTGGATCTCGTGAAGCAACACCAGAAGAACCCGAGCCACGCCGTCTGAAACGCCGAACGGATCGCAAGGGCAATTCAACGAGCTCAGAGTCGAACCAGCCCGCCGTCGATACTGATGCAAAACCAGGATCGAAGAGGAAGGCGGACAAACTGACACCATCCACCGCAAAAGATCGAGATCGAAGCACAGCGTCGTCGAGGAGTCGCGGACGATCCGTTTTGTCGCGGGATGACGAGTCAACCACGGAAAGCGCGTCTCAGCCGAAGGTCAAGCACGAGATGCCCAGTACACCTGCTGGCGTACCTGAAATCGCAGAGCCGGAACGTCCGTCAATAAGTCGACCGGGCCGGGGGCGGCCCAAACGCAAGCGTGCCCCTAGCGAGGAAGCCGAACCTCCTCAGACCGAAGCCAGTCAGCTCAGCCGTCTCGACCCGAATCAATCGACCCCTTATGTGTTGTGTGCGCGTAGTTTCCCAAGAACCGGTGCACCCATCATGAATGATGTCACCATGCACAAGCATGCTTCTATCTTCGCCAAGCCACTAGCGGAACGTGATGCTCCTGGCTATCGTGACCTTATCTATCGACCACAGGATCTGAAATCCATCAAATCAGTGATGTACCAGGGCAGTAAGGCTGTTGCTGCGGCTACAGAGGCTGCAAGTACACCTGCTGGCGATGGGGAGTCTCCAGCACCCAGTACAGGTACTCCTTCCAAGAATGCGGTTCTGATGCTCCAGAAGACGGAGGATGTCATCCCTCCCAAGGGTATCGTCAACTCGGCCCAGCTTGAAAAGGAGCTGATCCGGATGTTTGCGAACGCCGTCATGTTCAACCCCGTTCCACAGCGGGGCTTTGGACCGGGATTCCCCATGAGCAGCGATAGTGGCTCTCGAGCAAGCACGCAGGTCCCTGAGCCCGACGAAGGAGGGATCATCAAGGACACGCTGGAGATGTTCGAGGATGTCGAGCAAGCCGTCACCCGATGGCGGGCGGCCGAACGGACCGCCGACGAGCTGGCCAGCAAGAGCATCCTCTCACTTCGACGCGGCAGTGCCAGTGATCCCATGACGGATAGTGCAGATGAGATCAAAGGCTCCTGATTTTGTGCTGTGCTATTTTACGATTCCAAGGAAATCTATGTAATGTTAGACCCAACGGAGAGATGTAGACTTTCTTCTTCCAAGTGTGATATCATGCTGGCTTTCTTCTAACTCTATAAGCATAAAGCTTTTTGGGGTTTGCTGCCCCCCTATATACCCGTGGGAAACATGCAGAAAAAAAAATGTTCATATACATCATGAGTTATGGATTGTTGGTGTCATCTGTGAAGATCCAGAACGAGAATCAGGCCGACCCCGCGGGGATCGCCTGGCTCGGCTTCGTCCTGCCCAGGCCCTCCTTGGCGTAGAAATCCATCGGATACACGCCGCCGTTGGCCGTGTCCCAGCTCTCTTTGATCCCCAGCGCAATCAACGCCTCGTAGGGCGTCAACAGCGGCCGCGGGAACGCATAGCCCCAATCGATGCTCAACCGGGGACAGGCGATCTGCACCCAGCACTCGACATCGGCCATGGCGCCCAACTTCCCCGGGAAGATCTCGGACAGTAACAGATTCACGAACGGGATGCCCTTAGCGTGGAGATGATTCTCAATCATCGCCATGGTGTGGGGGTTGCCCTGGCGGCCCAGCGCGCCCAAGATAATGCCCCACTTCTTCGCAGACTTGGCCGTCTGGATGGCGTCGCGGCGCAGGGTGTGCATCTCCTCGTGCTCGTAGCTCTCGCGCGAGAGCACGCGGGCGTAGGGGTCGTAGCGGTAGGCGGGGATATCCGGGTTGTGGATCATGGCGGACTCGAGGTGGAAGCGGCCGTCGCCGAGGTAGAGGAGGTAGTCGACTTCATTTGCGGCCAGAGTTGGCGACGTGCACCCGAGGATCTCGCCCTTGGAGAGCGGCGTGATCTGGGGGATGAGGACTCGGAACCCGGCGCGCTCGAGCACGGGCTTGAGGCCGTGCAGCGTCGCGTTGAACTGGATCGTGCCGACCATGGCGATGGTTTTGCCCGCCACGAAGTTGCGTTCGAGGGTCGCGAGCAGGTGCGTCGTGTCGATGCTGATGTCCACAAAAATGTACAGCGTCTTAATCTGCGTCACATCCACCGGGATCAGGCAGCTGTGCGCGTAGTGCACCAGCAGGTCGCACCCCAGCGCCCGCGCCGTGTAGTCGTCGATGCAGCACGCCCCGTACGTCACGTCCCCCATGATCAGGGTCTCGATCCCGGCGCAGAATTGCGTCAGGATGTCCGAGATCGTCGTCGCGAAGATGAGCAGGCCCTCTGGGAATTGCAGGGCCACGCGCTTGGCGCCGGAGGTGCGGATGCGGTGGATGGTCTTGGGGATCTCGAAGGAGTAGTTCTTGGGGAGCAGGGCGATCGCTGCTTGGATGTCGGGGTCTTCGAGGATCTCTGGCGGGACTTGGTTCAGGGTTCGCGGGGTGCGTCTTGGGGCGGCTGTTGGTTTGGTGGTTAGTGATGGGTTTCTGGGGTGTGGTTCTTTAGATGCCAGAGGGAGAGGGGGGCGGCCGCACCTTTCTGTATGCTCGTCGACTCGACATCTTGGTGGCTGCTGGTCCCTTCCTTCTGTGCTTGGGCATCGGCGGTGCGCCGTCCGATGAATCTCTTCTTGGGTTGGCGGAGCGGGGCACTCGATGTTGCTGGTTGGTTTAATGTTTCCTCCATGACGGGCGCAATGACTTAGAACCAAAGATTGTGGTATGGTGTGGTTGTTAAGCGTCGCGATAATTCCTATCGGACGATGGCTCGCATAGTGGGCTGAGGATAATTTAATTCTGACTAAGTGGGGGGTCACGGGCTTGGGTCGGCCGCTTCTCCGCATTTGCTCGGCGGGCGGAACATCATGATCATCATCACCCTCCCCCCCATCTTCTGGTTATAAAATACCTTAGCTTCTTACATTTTCCACCATTGAATGCATTCTTATCTGACCACTAACTTGCTGAGTATACGAAATTTCATCATGATGAGCTTCAAGCCTAGAATGCGTCTCTTCTCCGTCCTGCGCTCTGCCCCAGCAGCTCGCCGCCGCTTTGCGACCGAGGCGCGGTTAACCTCGGACCATGTTCGCATCGTCGAGGTCGGCCCACGAGACGGCCTTCAGAACGAGAAAAAGTCCATCCCGCTCGAAACCAAACTCGAGCTGATCCGGAAACTGGCCAAGACGGGCGTGACGACAATTGAGGCTGGATCTTTTGTTCCTGCAAAATGGGTGCCTCAGGTACGCGAGTAGCTGTCTTTATACATTGTAGCTTGTGCGGGGGAGTGGCTATATCCTCTAGGGGAGCATCCGAGATTCAGACTTAGTCTCACGCAATTGCAACCAAACCTTGATATAATACTCACAGCCGGTTGATCGTTCATATAGATGGCCAGCACAGCCGAGATCTGCGAGCAGCTGCTGCAAACCCCGCCGGAGTCGGCCAACGTCATTGCGTACAACTACCTGGTCCCGAACGTCCGGGGCCTCGAGAACCTCATCAAAGTGCTGGACACCACCGGCGTGCCCGCCGACGCCGCGGCGACCACGACGGAGATCTCGTTGTTCGCGGCCGCGACGGAGGCCTTCTCGAAGGCGAACACGAACTGCACGATCGACGAGTCGCTGGAGCGCGTGCGGCCGGTGGTGGCCCTGGCGAAGACGCGCAACATCCGCGTGCGCGGCTACGTCTCGGTGGCGCTGGGGTGTCCCTACGAAGGGCCGGAGGTGTCGCCCGTCAAGGTGGCGGACATCACGCGCTCGCTGCTGGAGATGGGCGCCGACGAGGTCTCCGTGGCGGACACCACGGGCATGGGCACCGCGCCCCGCACCATGGAGCTGCTGCAGGCGCTCCACGCGGCCGGCATCGCCAGCACCGACCTCGCGCTGCATTTCCACGACACCTACGGCCAGGCCCTGGTCAACACGATCGTAGGGCTGGAGCATGGCATTCGCATCTTCGATAGTAGCGTCGGCGGGCTCGGGGGCTGCCCCTACTCCAAGGGCGCGACGGGGAATGTCTCGACGGAGGATATGGTGCACACGGTCCACAGTCTGGGGATGAATACGGGGATTAACCTGGAGGAGATGGCGCGGATTGGAGCGTGGATCAGTGGGGAGCTAGGGCGGTTCAATGAGAGTCGGGCTGGGAAAGCGATTCTGGCGAGGAGTGAGGAGGATAAGTAGAGAGAGCCACATCTTCCTGTGTTATTGATCAGATAGTGGTATTTTTTGAGCTTGAGCATTCAGAAATTACAGCATCAAGGTGAGCAAACAATTGTGTATGTACAGCGAGACCGTTCCTAGCCATTGTGTCACTAGTACCGTAGCACAGTACTCTTGCGCATAGTCGTAATAAAACAGTGTAAAGCAGCTTCAGATGAATATCGTACAAACAACCATGATATGCATATAGCCACAAAAAAAAAAAAGACACATCCAAGTTTGCAGACCCACACACACACACACCATATAGAAACCCAACATTCAACCCTTCAATCAAAACAGTAATACTCACCCCCCCAAACCTCCCAAGCGACATCCCGAATCTAAAAATCCGTCACCCTCCCCCCATAACTCCAATCCCCGCCAGCGCCCCACCGCAACGGCTCATTCTTGGGGCCCCCAATCTCCCCGGTCTTGGGATTCTTCTCCCCCTCGAATTCGGGCTTCAGCCCCGTCTTGATGTCCGGGTGCAGTTCCTCGCCCTTGCCTGTGGCCTTGATCTCCGCCGCTGTGGAGGCCGGGGACTGGTTGACGCGCGGGGTGCTGAATGCGCCGGTGGAATTGCGCTGGAGTTCCTCGAAGATCTCCTGCTGTTCTTTCGGGAGACGGGGAGGAGCGGGGCCGCGGTTGAAGGCGAACGAAGGGCGGTTCTCGTCTTCTGAGCGGGGGGTAGGGGTTGTTGTGAAGGTGCGGATGATTGTTGTTTTGGTGGCGGTGGGTGGCTTGGTGAGGTGGAGGTGGAGAAGGCGGCGGGTGGGTTGGAGGAGGGACATTTTGGTCGTATGTTTTGGTTGAGTTTTGGGTGTGAGGTTGGAATTTGGGGTGTATAATGTAAGGTAGATGGGGCTGTGGTTAAACGGTGTGTTGTGTAGTTGTGTTGTGGAAGAATAGTCGTTCTACTCGGTAGAAGATGCGGAGGAGTGGCGGAGAAGAAAATCGAGGGCGGGAGAGGGAAACACCGATAAGCCTGATTGTCCCGATAGCCGCGTCTCGGGGATCTCGGCTTGGGCTTATGCAACTGCTCAGTGGGGCGATTGGCTTGTTGGATTGCACGGCAGGCACTGTTTGTAGTAGCGTGTGAGCTTTGATGGTAGGGCTGTACTGTAGTGTGTACTGTGCTTACTGTAATCTTGATAGCATTTCATAGATGATGATCTATCTTCAATTCGATGGGGCTTCAATATACTGCCAACATGCCCATCGTCGATAAGAAACTCTATGTCAGTCACGTGGGGCACTAACCCGTGTGCGGAGGACGGCAGGCCAGGCTGGAGCAGTTTGGTTGTTCTCACCGTCCGCTCTTCAATCGTCAACGTCATGTCACCTCCAGCTCATTACATGCCCATTGCAGCAATAAATTATAACTGACCTCCCTGTTGTATTTTCACTGATGGCACTGACTGCTGCTTCTGCTGTATGCTTCACTTCAACTCAACCCTCCTTGTAGTTTCTCCCGCCCTCCTTTTTGGTTATGTCTTCACCGTCTAGAGAAGACGAACCACCAATGCTGCCTCTCCCCGAAGCGCCCGGAGCGCCATCTTCGTCATGGTCCCAGTTTCGTGGACGCCTTGCGGCTCTCTTCCATGGAGCTGACCCAAGAGTCTGTGTTGCATTTTGGCTCTTCGGTAAGCTCGATCTACTTCCGCTGACCCCTTCGATCTGGCGATAGCCGTACTGATCGCTGCCGGGGTTTACCTGCCCCATCTGCGACAGGCTTGATCAACAATGTCCTCTATGTCATTATCCTGTCTGCCGCCCTGGACCTCGTCGGCCCCGACCTCCCAAAAGGCGTGGTGCTCCTCGCCGACGTTATCCCCTCCTTCGGCACCAAGCTGGTGGCCCCGTATTTCATCCAGGCGGTGCCATATCCCGTAAGGGTCCTGGTGTTCGTCACCTTCTCTACCACCGGCATGCTGCTCGTTGCCTTGAGCCCGGCCTACACGGACGGCGGCCCGATTGCCACTAAGATTGCAGGCATCATCCTGTCGAGTATGTCCAGCGGAGGAGGCGAGCTCTCCTTTATCGCTCTCACGCATCACTACGGCCCGTTCAGTCTGGCCTCTTGGGGCAGTGGCACGGGTGCTGCAGGCTTGGTGGGTGCTGGCGCATACGCTTTAGCCACCACCTCTTTCGGCTTCAGCGTTAAAGCAACTCTTCTGGCCTCGGCGTGCTTGCCGGCGGTCATGGTGATTAGTTTCTTCACGATTCTACCACAGTCCCCGGTGCGCTCGTTCTCGGCGCGGAGGACAGGCTACGGTTCTCGGGAGGAGCACTCAGCCGATGACATTGATGAGCGGGAGCAGTTGCTCGACGAATCGACCGATGAGAGCCAGAGTCAGAAAAAGCCAGCTTCCCACGAGACTGGCCTTGGATGGCAGGCATTTAAGGCTAACCTACAGCGATCTAAGGGACTCTTTCTTCCCTTGTGAGTATCTCTTGCATTCACTCCACTCGAATGCATGTTCTTACGAATTCTTCTAGTATGCTCCCACTGTTGCTGGTCTATGTCGCCGAGTACACCATTAACCAGGGTGTCGCACCGACGTTGCTCTTCCCTCTCCAAGATTCTCCATTCGACCACTACCGCGCATTCTACCCAGCTTATAATGCAATCTACCAAGTTGGGGTCTTCATCTCCCGGTCTTCGACCCCCTTCTTCCGCGTCCATAGTCTGTACTTTCCGTCCTTGTTACAATTTCTGAACCTGATCCTCCTGACGCTACACTCGTTGTTCAACTTCATCCCCAGCGTGTGGTTGGTGTTTGGGATCGTTTTCTGGGAAGGGCTTTTGGGCGGCCTTGTCTATGTCAGCACTTTTGCTGAGATCGCCGATCGGGTGCCGGTGGAGGATCGGGAATTCTCGCTGGGAGCCACGACGGCGAGTGACTCGGGTGGCGTCTGCATTGCCGGTTTTATCAGCATGGCCTTTGAGGTCTGGCTCTGCGATTGGCAAGTTGCGCGTGGACGAGACTACTGTCGGAGATTGTAGATCGTGGGGTTGATGTAGTAATACGACGAGTGGTTTATACAGTCTGCATAGACGAGTGTGCACTAGGGTCAGATCAGCATAATCAATTAGCCATCATACACCTTAAATAGAACAATGGCTGGAAAATACTTGGAGTCAGTTCTGGCGCAGCTGATCCGGTGGGGGTCACGGGACTGCAGGGGAGAAGGAGGAAGGAGGGGATGAACTGACATGTGACAGACCGGGTGCATTTCACCGACTCATTCACTCCATCCACATCCATTCATTCATCTTTCATCCATTCATCTGCCCCCCACCATTGTCTTAGCACCACTTCTGCACCGGATCAAGTGCAGATCGTTTTGCCGCGACCATGTCTCCAGCTGATTCTTACCCCAGGTGAATAAGCTCCACGTCACTGGATTCAGCCAGCAGGCATGGTCCCTGGTGGGGATTTCACATGCTCGGCTGGGCTTCGTTGGCTTTTGCTGCCCCGTATCCATGGCTGACGGACGGACGGACTGACCACACTCTTCTTGAACTATTATCTACCCCATATTTTGGCCACCATGGCGTCTCACTTGGCCTCTTCTCTGTTCCTTGTTCGATTACCGGTTTCAAGAGTCAACTCCTTCCAACCAACTCCTATTCTCTCCTTCTCAATCACTTCGTTGTACGCTCTTGCTGAGGATTTGGTGTATACTTGCTTGCATTCTTTCAAGTCACAACTCCATAATTTCACGAATCCACCTAGAACGCTGTATCTTTTGATTTAGACTCTTGCTTCTGCCTAAAAGACATGATAGGTAAGTTGCATTGTGGTGTCCACCATCTTCATTTGAGCGGTGCCTAACAGAGCGGGTTAGACCATCTTCTGGGAAGGCCGTCCACCAAATTCCGAAAGATTCAGGTCCTGGCCGTGTTCGCTTTCTGGTCGCTATACTTGACAAGGTACGACACTCCAACAAACATGGGTCCGCGGTGTCCCCGTAGCTCTGTTGCGTGGCTCTGACAACCCCAGGGGAAACAAGCATGGCCCACCCGTTGTACGCAAACTCTCCTCCCGCCTCACGGAAAAGCTCAGCGTCTGGCAAACTACGGTCATCGTCTTCCTCTGGCTCTATGTCAGTCGCAACTTTGCGAAGATAGTCGGCCTCGAATGTCCAGAGCCCCTGGCAAACCTATATTCGCGCTCTTTCTTCCGAGCGACATGGATCGCCACCGCCTTGGATGCTGGTTTTTGGACCGCGATGAAAGTCAAGCCCAAGTGGCTGCGGGAGATAGCATCGCTGGTCTTCACTATGTACTATCTCATCGCCGCGGAGAGGGCGGATGAAAAGGTCCGTCGGGTCCGGGCCACGCTGACACTGGACCACATGCGTGTCTCGTGGAACAAAGGGACTTCGCCATATCTCTGGGCCCTAGCGAGCCTGACCCGTCCCAGACTCACTAAATATGCGCCTCGGGCGATTCGCATTCCTCGACCGGCGTCTTCGATATATGAGCAGCCGACGAATGCGTGGCTGTATTTTGACGGCCCGCTGAGTGCACTGCGGGATCAGACATGCATTGTGTTGGACATCCCTGGCGGGGGTTTTGTGTCAATGAGCCCTCGGAACTCAGAGGATAGACTGTTGAGTTGGGCCGCGCGGACAAAGGTCCCTATTCTAAGCCTGGACTATAAGAAGGCGCCGGAGTATCCTTATCCGTACGCCTTGAATGAATGCTACGACGTGTACCACACGATTGTGTCCACCCGTGGGCGCTGTATTGGACTCAATGGACAAACCCATCCTCGAATCGTCGTCACGGGGGATAGCGCTGGCGCAAACCTCGCTGTAGGCATGACGCTGATGGTCCTCCAATCGGGCAGTACGGATGCGTCACTCTGGCAAGGGCAGAATGTCCTCCCACGGCCTGACGGGCTAGTTCTAGCCTACCCCGCTTTGAACATGAAGATTGAAAGCTGGATGACGGAGGAGCAAATGGCGCTAATCCAGGAGAAAAGCACCCGTCGGACCAACCAGAACGTCTTGCAGCGCAAGAACATGGACTATCAGCGCCTCACCCCCTTCACCTCTCCCGGTACATCATTTGCCGACCTCCAGCAAGACTCGTGCTCCGATATGGACCTTGAAGCCAACGACCTCGGCGAAAAGACGACGCGCAAACTCGCCCAGCACCGGCACAAATCCGCCATGCTGGCTCAAGAGGCCGAGGCCACCGCCGTCGCCGAGCACCAGCCCAAGCAGATTCGCACTCGCCTAGCAGTATCATCGGTGATCTCGTACGTCCAGGACCGTGTCCTCACCCCGGAAATGATGCGAGCAATGATCATTCTCTACATCGGACCGCATAACCGTCCCGACTTCAACACAGACTATCTCCTCTCCCCGACCCTCGCGCCGGAGGCGATCCTTGCGCGCTTCCCCAAGACGTACATCATCACCGGCGAACGCGATCCTCTAGTCGACGACACAGTGATATTCGCCGGGCGCCTCCGTCAGGCGAAACTACGACACTTCCAAGAACGACAGGACCTCGGCCTCGAGAAATCCCACCGCGCCTTCAACGAGAAGGACCACGTCGAGGTCTCCCTGCTGCCCGGCGTCTCGCACGGCTTCATGCAGATGGCCGGCTTTTTCCCTGAAAGCTGGAAACACATCAACCGATGCGCCACCTGGATCAGCGAACTCTTCGCCTTGTCGGAGACCAAACCCGCCTCCTCCTCGAGCCTGTTGTCATCTCTCCACGATCTCACCCAACCAGCCAAGAAGAAACCCCCGCCGCTCCACAGCCTCCAGCACCTCCTCACCCACCAGCACCACAACAACCACCGCACCCGCGCCCGCAACCACAGACGCCGTCTCACAGGCGAATCCTCCGCCGACGAAGACAAACCCCTGGAGATGAGCATCACCAAACTCACCCCACTGACCCCGATGGGCAGCAAAGCCGGGGGGAGGGCCAGCTCCACCGGCCCACCCCGTCCCGATGACGACCATGAAGCATCCATCCACAATACCTCCCTTTCACAGCCCCAATTACCAGTAAACGGAGACACGGGTAACCCTTACCGCCTTGGCAGCGTCTCTCGCGGCCGCTTCATCAATTCCCCCGCCGTCGGAACTAGAAGGCAGCACCGCGTGCCCGCCAAGCTCAGTCTCCCACCGGAGGATTTCGAGTGCGAGGAAGAGGAAGAGGGACATGTCTCGCACTACTTCCAGAGTCCCGTGGCGACCATCCCCCTGCGCGAGAGGAATCGAAGCATGAACAGCCTGGCGAGCGAGGAGGATCTGCTGGATCGGCGCATGACGGGGCTGGCCGGGGGGTTGATGGGGATCGGGGAGGGGGCACGGACGCCATAGCTGTTACCAATAGAGTGTGGAGCCTTTCATTCCATATTGTATCCACAGTAGATCGCCATGATTAAGAAAAAAGAACAGTGAATGTTGAAGAAAGATAAAGCTAGGCCAAAGAGTGGATCCATTCGAAGGCCCATCATTCAACACCCACGTTATCCCCTTTATCCCCTAACTTCGACGATGACACAGACAACAAGTGCTAATAACCTTCTAAGAGAACCAAGCCTCAAGATTCATTGAAGGTCAAAGTATCCGAGAATTAAGCCTGTTCCTGCGACTTTGCCTTGGGGTCATCCTTTCCTTGGGTCTAAGATGCTGATTGACCCGCGCGTGAAAGAAACTCCTTTCATGTGCCATCTTACGATTGGGAGAAACTCAGTACATGGGGTCTTCCTGGGTCCAGCTCTGAATAAGGGGACCAAACCTGGAGAACTGCTCAACCAACTTTCTCAGACCTTTCAAACTTACTAATCTTTGAACAGCTCCGGTCCATATTGTAGAATGTCCAGATTCCTTCCATCTTTAATCACAGGGTACCACATATCCCAGTATTTCCTTAAGCTAGCGTCGTCCTTTAATATCTCCGTCAATAATTCCTGTAAAAACAATGGCCTCTACTCCCCGTTCTCCACGCCAATTTCCCAAGCCTGGATTTGTGATATCAGACTCCTCCGAGGTTATAGAGGAAGAAGACCTACCATCCTATAAAGGCGGCAAAGTTCTACCCGGTTTCGATCGGCGAAGTATTCAATTCCAGATACCAGGTGGTTTCTAGGCTTGGGTATGGTGCATCATCCACAGTTTGGCTTTGTCGTGACCTTCAGTACGTGTTCACACGAAACCACGGTGCCATAAGCCTACGTTACTCCCTCAAGAGCCGAGAAATATATGACACTCACGGTCTGTGTGCAGGGCCTGTGGTTCACGAAACAGAATCATCAGTGTCAGACCAATTCTCCCACGCCGAAGCGCCCGTCGGGAAAAGGCTGGTACCGTCTTTTCGTTGATTCTTTTGAGCTTGTTGGTCCCAGTAACGGGAAACACATGCGCCTGATCTACCCACCACTGGGAATGAGCTTTACTGAAGGCCAGAAACTTCTTCCGGAGGACCGGTTTCCGACAGAACGTGCGCAGCGAAGCCTTCACCTGATATCGAATTGCATTGGACTTTCTTCACAAAAAATGATACAGTTCATACTGGGTCCTGTCTGGGATGGACTTCTCTGACAGCTGGCTAACAACTATTAGATATATTTTTGCACAACAACTTTGTGCTGTATCTTTCAGATATGTTCGTTGCTGTGCAATTTCTTGAGAATGCAAGGAGCTTGGTTACAGCTTCAGCAGCAGCTGTAAGCCCATGTTTAGGCATGATTATCGGGAAGCTTCCACGACTCTGAGGATCTGAAAGAAAGAAAGAAAGAAAGAAAGAAAGAAAGAAAGAAAGAAAGAAAGAAAGAAAGAAAGAAAGAAAGAAAGAAAGAAAGAAAGAAAGAAAGAAAGAATAAAGAGTATCACCAAAGAGTAATGATAGAACAAAGCTTTTCTAATTCAGTTATGTTCTGGATGTGAAAATGGGTGAATCGTGCTAAGTGTTGTTGGAGTTGGTTGCAAATCCTTGGATTACTTATAAATAGGTTGAAATCTCTCCGGTCGCTTCGAAGTCCCGGTAATTCTCCGCTGGGATGATGATTACGCCAAGCTATTGTTTCAGAGAGGTGTTAGTACTGCGCTGGTTTACACACATCCAATTATGCAGGAAGAGCCAGACAGGCACAATTAATGGCAAAACACGACTAGGTACACAACCCCGTCAATCATCCCACCAAACACAAAGGTCATGTCTTGAGAATTACCTATAAGCAGAAAGAATGTACTTCGAATCAAGCTGCACACACAAAAAAATACCCTACGCCTCGCTAATGATACCTCAATGAAACATATAGAAATAAGACCCTCGCAACACCGTACAAAGACAGATAGACAGTGGCAAAAGCCGAACACTTCCAGACGAATGAGTAGAAGAGCTTCAAATAACTAGATCACAATTGAAATTAACTGAAATCCGCTCACGAGACAGTCTGCATGGGCGACGGCTGTTCTCGACTCGGTTCGATCTTCTTGCGGCGCGGCACCTGGATGCCATTGCGCAGCTGATCCAGTCTGACCACCCCGGGACCTGTGCAGATCCGGCCCGTCTGCATCAGAGTACGCAGGCGCTTGCGGCGGGCGGCGCCGCTCCGTTCTTCGCCGCGGCCGACGCCCTCGTCGACCCATTCCGTCCGCAGGATCTTGTAGCTCATGCCGTCGTGGCTGCCTTCCCAGGCACGGGACCGGAGGCCGAACAGCACGCTGGATTCGTAGCGTTCCAGACGCGGGAGGATGAGAATGGTGATGTGCAGGTCTTTGTCGGAGGGGGGAACGGGGGGCACGCGGGGTCGCTCGCCCTCGTCGAGGCCGATGTCTTGCGCGGTCTGGGGCGCGTGTTGATAGGTGTCGCGGATCTCCAGGTCAAGCAGGTCCACATCTACCTCCTCGCTCCAGGCGCCACGAATGAAGCCAGAATGAATGGCTGCCGCCACGGGGTCGGAATCGTCGGTATAAATGCCGGTTCCCCAAAGCGCACGGCGAGCACAGATCTCCTCGCGACGGCCGTTATCGATTCGGAAGCGGGGGACGCGGATGGTGAACGTGCAATTCTCATTGCCTTCGAAGCGGGGCAGAGGAACAGGTGTGGTGGTGTACCCAAATTTGGCACTCTCGAGGGTAGCCTTTTCGGTTGGTACCCCGATCTGAGGAGCGTACAGGGTAGAGCCCAGGTGGTGACGAGGAAGATGGGCGACGCTTGTCAGAAGAGGCTCGATCGTTACCACGGTGCGAGGTTCCCGAATGGGAGTGACAGAAGCGGGGGCAGCGGATCCGGCTGGTCGGGGAGCGTGATGATGGTGGTGATGGTGGTGCGGGTGGTGGTGATGATGATGAGCAAGCGTCGCTGCCGCCGCGGTAGCTGGCCCATCCGCGGGGGTCGCAGTGCGATGGAAAAAGTTCATCGACGATTGAGGTCGATTCTGGCCGAGAGCGGCCGCCTCTTCCTCGGGTTTATGCCGGTGGTGATGATGGCTGCGCCGAGATTAGCATACGTCATAATCAGAAAAAAGGTTTAGAGGAGCTTACTGATGGTGGTGGTGGTGGACGTGCCGATTTCGCCGCCCGCGGGAGGCTGCGCCCAATGCCGCAGCCTCGGTTTCAGGTCGAATATCTTCGTCGCGCGATTTCCGAGATCGCTTTCCGTTGGCGGAGGTAGGACGGGGAATCTTGGTTTCATCCGCTGTGGTTTCACTGTTGGTGGACCGGGCGGTGGCACTGTCCCGTTTGAAAGGGCTGGCTGAGGTCATGGGCGTCGAGGGTCCGCTGCCGGCCGTGGCCCCCGTCACGCCGCCCACTCCACTTCCGATTCCCGAGAACACACGGCCCAGCTCATTTTTGATTCCTGATTCCCCAGCGGGGCCCAGAATCTGCGCCTGAGCTCCCTGGACCGCCTGGGGCAGCGGGGAGGCTCGTCCACCTCTTTTCGCGTCCAGACCGACGCCAAGCAAATTCCGATGGGCCAGGAGCTCATCGCTTCCTTTGCGGCGCTGTTCATCCGAAGCGGCGGAAAGAATCATACCCGCAGAGGCAGCGGAAGAGCTGACCGGGAAGGCGCGCGTGTCGGTTTGTAGCTTGCTCAGGTACGGTGTCTGCTCATGCGACGGGGGAGTAGGCTGGCCGGACTGCGAGTGCACGGAGAGCGATGGGGCGCGCGATCCGCCTAGCTGAGACCCCAACGACTTGGTGTAGTTCTGGATGGCACCAAAGCCAAAGCCAGCGCCCGGCTCCGGAGCGGGAAAGCGCTTGACCTCGGGAGACGCGGGTTGCGAGCGTCCAAGCTCCCAGGCGGATGGCCCCTGGGGCCGAGGAGCGGCTGCATCGCGGTCTCCATAAGGTTGGCCAAAGCGAGGAACAACATGAGCCGCAGCTTTGGACTCGGCTTCATGTGCTACTGCGCGCTCCCGATCCCGGATGGCTTGTTCCTCCGCGTGACGATCAGTGTAGAGTCCCCCGTAACGACTGTGCGGCAGCTCGTGGCCCATGTAGGACGAGGCTCGCTGGTGTGTAGGCGCAAAAGATCCTTCTCCCACACTAGTTGTTGTGGGCACTGCGATAGGTCGCGACAACGGACTGTAGCCGGCCGTGCGAGGCGGCGGTTCGAGATGTTGCGGCTGACTACTGGGACGAGGAACCGGTCCACTGAAGCTGGTTCGGCGAGGTTCATTGAACAGAGCATCGGCCGAGGGGATCTGAGGGGAAGGATGTGTGGAGTGAGGTTTGTCGGGAAACTGGGTGGATGGATGACCGCGTGGCGGACCACCGAACTTGGCCTGCTCGGGAATCGCCTGAGGTATCCCACCGGAGCCCGATCGATACGGTCGCGGGGGTTGATTCTTTGCAAAGGATTTTTCAGGAGTTTGCGATCGTCGGAAGGCAGGGTAGTCAAGCGGAGACGGGCGGGCGGGCGCGGTCGGCGGCGACATCGCGCCGGGAGCCGACGGCGGATGCGCGTTGCCAAACGAGGCGGACGTGACGGGCAGACGGCCAAAAATCGAGGAGCCTACATCCCGGCCTGGTCGGTCAGCGTCCGCGCCCAGCATAGACGATATTGACATGCTGCTCCCGGGACGATGATGAGCCGGATTGCTGGGAGCCTCACGCGACAAGAAAGGGGTGGGCAGAGAGTGTGTGGTGCCGGGTGGAGCGCGTGCGGGATAGTGCTGCGGCGACGAGGGAGGAGGCATGCGGCGGGTGCCCAGCGGCTGTGCGGTTGAGGCATCTTGAATACCTGGAGAGCAGAGAGTGATCGGAGTTAGCCCAAGTATGTCCGACGGAGATCAGCACAAGAAGCCAGATAGCAGCCGGCGAAGGAGATTGGTCGGCGCGGGCGATAGACACTGCGACAAAACACGCTGCGAGCCAGAATGTCTGGCACATACCAGGAAACCCAGAGCTACCACTGCCGCCCAAGGACCTTCGACGGCCCTGGTCATGCGACGAAGGTGGATTCATATCGCATGCACAGACGAGGGGGCTGAGGGAGCGCTGAGAACACGAAAGAGGAGGGGAGGAGGAAACAAGGGGCAAGAATCGGTGAGGAATATTCCAGACCCCGAAACGCAACGACACAGAGCAGAAGATAGGGTATAAGGAAGAGGGGCGCAAGAAGAGAAGGGATGAAAAGGGAGGAGAAGGTGAAGGCGCAAGGTGCCGAAGCTGATGGTGATGGTGGATGAGATAAACGGGGAATGGGAGAGAAACCCGAAGGAAGGCGCGCGACGGACAAGAAAGCAAAGCGAGTTCCACAACCGGGGCAGAACCCGTGACTCTGGGCGGGCCTGGACCACTAGTCCCGATCGAGTAAGGATGCCCTGGCAGTCGATGCTAGACTCAAAGAGGACTAGCTCTCCCGAGGCTTCCTGGGCTGGAAGGCGATCAGGCGCCACAGACGCGGCTGATGATCCCTCGCTGATTGGCCCGGCCGCCTTAGTCTCTGCTTCCCCCCCTCCCTCCCCGTTTGTAGGTAAGGTTGTTTGTAAATCGATGGATAAACAAACCAAACCAAACCAAACCCAACCCAACCCAAACGGTGCCGCAGCAGAGCTTGGCTTGTGGGAGAAGAAATGTGTCATAAACCGGGAGACTGAAAAGGGGAAAAAGGAAAAAAAAAAAACCAAAAAAAGGAGTCATCTCCCCGCCTGCAGCTACCGCATTTTCTGCCACGCCCCTGGTCGCTTATCCCGTACATTGTCATGTTTGCCGTTGGTCATGTCTAGCAGGCATTGGCTGCCATCCCATCCATGATCGGGCCTTCCGAGATGCTACCCAGTTCGGCTCAGGCACCCAGCAACAACACCACCATCACCACCACCGGCGGGAAGAATCATAAATACTTGAAGCGCAGAGGTGATGGATCGAAAAACAAACCAAACTAATATCTCAGAGCAAGAAAAAAATGGACTGGCCTACCTTCACGATACACCATCCGTCGATCCTGGTGATTGAGGTAATTATGATCATAAGGGGGATCATGGCGGTTGTCCGAGTCTCGCTGCCCAGCCGGAAGATTATGCTTCTTGGAGGGCCCATGGCCTGTCGGTGCAAGGTGATACCCGGATGATTCTGGCCGCAATGACGCATAGGCGGGCTCATGGGTGTACGCGACGGAGGAAACGGGGGCGGGAGCGGACGAAGGGGTCGGATAATTGTAACCCGGGGTCGTGGCAGCCGATCGAGGCATCTCGGACTCTCGTCGCTGAAGCATCTCGTAGTATGGGCGTGGTGATGGTGGCCGAGGCGGTCCGTAGGCGCGCGCGGAGGGCGGCGCTGAGGGCGCCCCTCGAGGATCGTGGGCAACCGCTCCCAGCAGCGAGGGGTGCGGGTGGTAGGGTGGTGGCGGGTGGTGTTTTTGGAAATCCATCATCATCGTAAGTGAGCGGAGAAGCGATCGGAAAGAAAAAAAAAACGCAGAGGAGGAGATGTGTTGGGTTGCGTTCGGGCGCGGATGGGGGGGTTCAGCGAAATGGCGGTGGAAGCTGAGTTTCAAGCAAGCAAGCACAAGCAGCAAGCAGCAACAGCGGCACTCGGTAGCTTGCAATCCCCGTATAAGTCGAGTTTATTCTCCCTCTCCAGAATATTCTGGTGGAGTGAAACAACAACTCCTAGCTAGCCAGTGCTGAGAGGGTGAAATTTAACTGGAGGAGAACCAAATCAGTGGGGGAGGCAGAGGCAGAGGGAAAGGTAAGGATAGGAGATGGGATGGATAAAGGAGAGAGGAGGGAGGAGATACGAGAGAGGAGAGAGGAGGGTGTGGAGAGAGGAGAAGGGGAAACAAGCGCGAAGGAGAAAAGAAAACACGAAGAAAAACGGTGAGTAATGGATGGATGGATCTCACTCCGACTAGCGCAAGTAGAATTAGAATAGAGTCGAGTAAGTTTACCTTGTAGTTGGGTTAGTGAGTGAGTGGCTGTACCAATCACGCTGGCTGCAAATCCAGGCTAAAAGAGATTTATTGGGGAGGGAGAAAAGGGAAAGGGAAGGGGAAAGAAAGGGAAAACTGGTGCGTAAACTGAGAGTAAAGAACGAAAGTCATTAAAGTCAGGACCAGGGAATGCGAGGGAAACTAACAGGATGGGGCCGTCGTGGCAGCGGGGAAAAACGGGGTGGACCCATGCAAAAAAAAAAAAAAAGAAGAAAAATGAAAAAGCAATGAAAATGATAAAAGAGTAAGAATAAGGCATCAACCGGACTACATACACCTATAGAGCTGCTGCTGCTACCAGGTAGACGAACTACTACCACTACGACTAGTACTATCACCACCACCACCACCACCACCATTACTACGAACTACCCCTCTCCTCTTTCCCCCTCCCTCGCCAATGCCCAATTTATCTTGGGTCTTAGTCGGCCATGCAGCCAGCGACGTGTCATGCGTCCTGCCAATGATGAACCTCGTCAGTGAAGACACATGGGAAAGTATTCTGATTGCACTGAAGAGCATTGTTCCATGTACGATACAGTACAACCATCAATCAGGAAGCGAGAGCCAACCCGGACAAGGTTTGAATCTGATATCCAACAATAGGCGCCCGTCTGCCTCCCGCCCGCAGCCTGCTTCGGCCCCAAGTATGTAACGTATCCACCTGCAGTGCGTGACAATCTGCCGATCCCAGGACCCCCTTCCATGGAATCGATTTCTGGGGGATCGCCCTGCTACACTACGATCCTGCTTACTTGAGTACTGCACAGTACGGTACAACTTCCACATAGTATCTTGGAGTTGTACCTTACTCGGGATCTGAGCGTTGTTTCCGTCAATACATACATACAACAGATGGCAGTATTTTGAGGTAAGATTCTCCAAGTACTGCGATTGCTCTTCTACGACGATCAATCGGGTTGTTGGATGGGACAGGCTGGCCCGCTTGCCACATTCATCGCTACACAGCAGAGAGCAGAGTGGAGGCGAGGCGAGCGCTCCCCTTGCGTCGGTCCGGTTGCAGGATTGAGGAGCACCCTGCTAACCACGGTGTGGTGCTCTGCTCTGCTCTGTTTTGCTCTGTTCTTCTTTCCTTCTTTCTAACTGGGTTGCACTGGTGTCACGGACTGGTTGGAATCGACGACCAACGGTCCGTGCACCGGTCATAGATAACCTTTAGTACTCAATTTGTCGGCCGAGGTGGAAACCGGCCTCGAGCACTTATCAGCCCTTGCACTAGACATCTCCATTATCAATATGTACACAGCTTATCATTACTATCAACTGGGGCAAACGAGAAAATCGCGATTATATCTTCCTAAGGCAACCCTGTTGTAAAGAGCTGTCGCCATGCTTGACGATGACAGCCTGTCCAGTCTACATCAATGAGGTCTACGCCGGCCTTGACCAAGGCTCTCCAAATCAAACGTTGCAGCCTCTGCGAGCTACACGGAATGCCGCCAAATCGCGCCTTTAGCCCGCCTTTGTGGGCTTGCTCCACGTGGGCCCGGATCAAATCGAGTTGCTGTCGAGAAAATCGTCCTCGATGAGGCGATCCGACCTTCTCATTGAAGTTCACGGTAGTGGTGAATACTGATTGTACATTATGCTGCACCTCCTTCGAGGTCGCATTCTTCCGCTCTTCCCAAGACGGCCGGGACTGGCTTCTTCCTTTGCCCTTGGATAATTGGGTCTTGTTTCCTTGAAGCTTCGACGCCGACTTGGGTCTTTTCACGAACAATTGGTCATCGACAAAGATACTGTTGTGGTTGTAATCTTGGTGGTACTCTTCGTGAGTAGGGTCAACGCTCTCGTCACCCACGATGACGATCGTGACAGCCTTGTTGACAATCTTTGTGTGGTTGCGATGGGTGAGATACCCTCGTTCGTTCAGGGTTTGCAGCTCAGCGAGAAGATGTGGCCAGCCGTCCCGAATCGGCGATCGGAATTCCAAGAATAGAACAAACTGCTCTTCCGTTGCAGTTCCGTGATGGCCCATTGTAGTAGACTGTACAGAACCTTCGGGAGTGTTTTCCGCATTAAGGTGCTGCAACAGAGGGTCAAGGTACACATTACGCAGGGTGAGATGTGGTCGCAGACTCGCGTTGGAGGTACCGACATAGAGCTCCTCGTCCTGGAGCCAGATGTCCGCTTTGATCCCCGTGCAGCCAGCCGCGATGACATACTGAATGGCATCCGGATGCGATCGTGGATTGTAGGCAATACAGGCAGCGGGTTGCCCGTCAAACTCGGCAGGCCAATGAACAAACCCTGCCTGGGCTGTGTAGTGCTCCCGGAAAAAGAGATAAGAAAGTCCATCAGGTAGCAGGGACAGGAACTGCACCATTACCCTGAACGTTACTTAGTCAGTAACATATAGTGCGATTGTTGTATGTTTGAGTCAAGGAGAAGGTGAATGGAGACATACCCAAACATCAACAGCAGGCAGATGATGGAAAAAATGCGATCGCCCCAGAGCTTCCGAAAGGTGGCATACCACTGCTGAAGCATCCACCAGATCCCTGGACAGCATTCGGTCGGATGAGAGCGGAGCGGGTGATCTTCCAGCAGCACCCAGGAGTAAGAGTCGTATTCCTGCGCCTCTAGGAGGGTTTGCGTGCCATCATCGGCGGAACGAACACGAGTCGCAGCAGCCATGAGTAGAAAGGCGTGCAAAGATCAGGATTTGTACATTTATGGTAGTTCTGGCCAGCGACTATCTGAGCGAGCGAAGATTGCCTGTTTGAATAAAGAGGAGTTTTGTAAACCGAGGTTGCGGTGGGGAAGATATAGAGATCGAGTCGATGACTTGAAAGGGGCCAATGGGTGACACGAGAAAAACACCGGACAAAGAAAGGGCCATGGTTCTGTGCGACTTAGCTGCAGGAACGAGAATAAATAAGTAGCCAAGATGATGCAGAGGGAATAGATGAACAAGAAGGCTGATCATTGATGTGAAGGGGGAAGGGGAGGCACAGGCGGAGAGTGAATGGCTGCAGAGCACGCAATTGCCGGATGGAATGATTTCACATCTTCAAGGAGATCAGCACCCAGTTGTCGGTGAAGAAAAGCAATTAATTAATTGCCCGTGGGCTTGGCACTCAAAGTTCAAATTTTCTAAAGGAAGGGTATAAAGAAAGAGGACGAGGATTGAGCCAGTACACATGCATGCGACCAGGATGGAGGGTGGAAGGAGAAGGCATGAGGATGATATTTATTGGTGCGGGATTCCACCAAATCACCCTTGGCGGGTCTACCGTCCAGTACACCTACCATCCACATCAATTCCGCTTGGCTTCATCTCGCATGAAAAGCTCTCTTGCGACAATGGTCGGAATAGCGTGCGGGCTGTTCATCGAACTCCACCAATCAATGCTCCTGTGATCGTCCCGTCAAATCAGCGCCTCTCAGCCCATGGCACCGATAGACGACCACAGAGAGCGCGACTTGACTTCTCACCGAACCCGTGCCTCCTCGTATCAATCCCGCGCCTCCTTTCTAACCTGTCACCGCGTTACCGCGTCCCCGCTTGCATCGAGATCGTATGAAAGCATCGACACCGCATTAAATAGTGACTTGGCGTTGCCTAGGATCGTGCACGTCTACGCCACGCCTCGTGATCGCCGACAATCATTTGTCTCGGAGGTCCCTTTACGATAGCCCAGAGACGTATCGATTAAGGCCCAGAGGTGTATGGGCTGCAACAGCATAATGGCTCCTGCGTTGTCACACTAAGCATGGTCCCCACTGATTTGATTCGACGGAACTCATTTTGCGGTTCGTGCCTCGACTAAGGCTGGTAGAAACATGGTCCAGATGAAGCCAGCGGAAACCCAATGCAATGGATTTTCCGTCCGGCCCAGTTAGAGAACGCCCCTGGGGAAATATTGCGAAGTCAGCTTTTGCTCAGGGTGAACTTGGTGATCTGTTTTCACTGGGAGGGTTGTGCTCGATTATATTTACGCCCAGGTTGTCAGTTCTCGAAATGGATAGTGCTGACACCTGCAACGACCATAATGTTCTCGTTGACCATTAGCGACATGCCAACCTTGGTGAACTGTCCCGTGCTGCTCCGATCTGTGGCTGTCGCGCCAGTAGTTTCTGATCGATGGTATAGATATTCTCAACTTTGCACATGGTATTGAGAAGCGCGACCGTTGAGTGTCTGGTCTAGCTAACAGGCAATGTATTACAGGAACATGAAAGAACAAGACAGAAGTCGTGGTACACCCAAGCAGTTCACCATGGGACGGCCAGAAATCGCCGCGTCAAGATTATAACCGGACTGCATCGGAGATGGTCTCAGATCATGTCTCCATTGAGACTAGTGCTGGGGAGTGTCAGCTCAACAGCTGTGACGATAAGGATTCAATACTGGTTTGCGCTGTGGCCCTTGCAGCAGCAAATTTTCCGAAGTACATACTCTGCATGCACATGAGACGACATAAGTTGAGACGAGATGGGATGAGAGGAGATGAAATAAGCACCTCATCAATTGCAGGATGGCAGAATCCTTCATCCGCCCGCCGATCTCTTGCCCCTCATTGAATCACTACAATCATTAATCATTCTCATTCAATTCGCAGAATGCTATCGTCCTGCGCTTACTCGTGGGTCCACGGCTCTTGGACTGTGATTTGCCGGTGCCTTTGCAAAACGGCACACTAAACCACTCCGCGCATATCCACATTCTTGACACCTCAGTCGGGGCTCCGACGGCCCCCTCATTGTGTATATGAACTTGTCTCGGACACCAAAACCAGCTTTCATCTCGGTAAGAGATGGATGCTCAGACCATGACGTGGGGCCAACGGCTACGATGCTGCTCAGAGCGTGTCCCCTCACTGTCTCCACGCAGGCCTATAAGTAGGCCGATGGTCGAGGGCTTGGTTGGGAGTCAATCAGCACTCTATAGCCAATCTCAAGATGCGTTGGACCACGGCCATTGCGTCACTGCTGCTGGTGGGCTCTGTTGCCAGCCTGCAAAATCCCCACGGTCGCGCTGCGTCTGCCTTCCAGCGCAAAGCATTGGCTCCCCGGTCTGCGTCGACTCCCGCCAGCCGTATCAGGGATTACTCGTACCTGACGAACAAGACCGCAAGTGAGTGTGATCTCCTGTACGAAGGAGCTATCTTGGTGTGTCTTGCTCACGAAAACAAGGGTTCCTGGTCAACGGTACTGGCATCCCTGAGGTCGACTTCGACGTGGGCGAATCTTACGCTGGACTGCTACCGAACACTCCGACGGGCAACAGCAGTCTCTTCTTCTGGTTTTTTCCCTCGCAGAATGTCAACGCCAGCGACGAGGTGTGCAGTTCCTTCATGTTACTTGCATGGTGCTTGTCAACTAACAAGCTAGATTCTCATCTGGTTGAACGGTGGCCCAGGCTGCAGCTCTCTGGACGGACTCCTGCAAGAGAACGGCCCTTTCCTCTGGCAATCTGGCACCTACAAGCCCGTCCCCAACCCGTACTCCTGGACCAACCTCACGAACGTGGTGTACGTCGATCAGCCCGCGGGCACGGGCTTCTCGCCCGGCCCGTCGACGGTCAACAACGAAGAGGACGTGGCCGCCCAGTTCAAGAGCTGGTTCAAGCACTTCGTCGACACTTTTGGTTTGCACGGCCGGAAGGTTTACCTTACCGGCGAGAGCTACGCAGGGATGTACATCCCGTACATTGCGTCCGCGATGCTTGACGAAGAGAATGAAACTTATTTCAACGTGAAGGGCGTTCAAATCAATGATCCTTCGATCAACGATGATTCCGTCATGATCTACGGTACATCCCCCTCGAAAGCCCCAAATCAATCCCACCCCACCCATAAAAGATACTAACCCTCCCTTTTAGCCCCCGCAGCCCGCCACCTAAACCATTACACCAACGTCTTCGCCCTGAACACCACCTTCCTAAGCTACATCAACCGCCGCGCCGACGAATGCGGCTACAACGCCTTCCTGGACGCAGCGATCCAATACCCCCCGGTCCACCCTTTCCCCGCGCTCCCCAACATCACCGACGACTGCCTGGTCTGGGACGAAATCGTCGGCGCCGCCTACGACGTGAACCCCTGCTTCAACTACTACCACCTGACCGACTTCTGCCCCTACCTCTGGGACGTGATGGGCTTCCCGTCCCTCGGCTACGGACCGAACAACTACTTCAACCGCTCCGACGTTCAACGCGCCCTCCACGTGCCGCCAACCGACTACTCCGTCTGCGGCAGCAACACCATCTTTGCCGATGGCGACGCCTCCCAACCCAGCTCGTGGACCGTGCTCCCGGGGGTCATCGAGCGCACTAACAACACCCTCATCGGCCAGGGATGGCTCGATTACCTGCTGATTCTGAACGGGACTCTCGCCACCATCCAGAACATGACTTGGAATGGGGCGCAGGGGTTCCACCGCGACCCGCTCACGCAGCCGCTGTTCGTGCCCTATCATTACGGTCTGCAGGAGTTGTATGATGGGACCGAGCCGGACCCCTATAATCTGGATGCGGGGGCGGGGTACCTAGGCACGGCGTACACGGAGCGCGGGTTGACGTTTTCGTCGGTATATTTGTCAGGCCATGGTACGTTTTCCTTTCGGATTGCTTTTGGTACACAGAGGGGGGCTCCTCGCAGGGTTAGAGTTGCGCTAACGTCTCGGTGTTGTGTTGGTAGAAATCCCGCAGTATGTCCCTGGCGCTGCGTATCGGCAGGTGGAGTTCCTGCTGGGGAGAATTGGGAGTCTGCAGCAGAGGGGTGGGTATACTGCTTGAACTGTAGCATTGCAAGTATGATAAGGGATGGGGAAGCTGGATGTGGAGAATAACGCGTAGCCGAGGATATATGCTGAAAGTTTACTACAGTACATATATACATCACGACCAGCAAGATGTCTTTTAAAAAAAGACAGCTTATAGCTTATGTTGTGCGACGACATCGTTCTGTATATACTACAACACCACATCGTAACGAAGTACAATATAATTTCAATACGAGGAAACTGATTAAAAGATGATTGCAGAGTATTTCCCGCATTCTCGTATTCTGTTAGGATTTCTTTTCTTGGTTTTGTGGGGGTGCAAGTTCCTCAATTTCCAGTTCAGGTTCGAAACGAAGCGATAATATAGAAACCCCAGATTCTCTCATCCGTCTTTCCCTTCACATTCTGATCTACGTACAAGCTCAAGCCCGCCATATCTAGCTCGTGTCTCCAGAATTCCGTACCGTAAGAGGTGATCTACCCCCAGAGATCATCCCTACCCGCTCAATCTCGTTATATATACACCCAGTCGGTCTATTCAACGCAGGCAAAGCATACCTAAATACATAAACCCCATCCCATCCCCATCCTCATCCCCATCCCCGTGAGAGAGATACAGCCGTGGTCCAAGGGGGAAACATAGACCTCAAGTCTGATCTAGATGACAAGGTAGTGAACAATAAAACATAAGCCATAAGCAAAAGTATCCATCCACAAACAAGAACCAAAGAAGAAAGAATAACAGAAAGACCCAGGAGCCCTATGAATGGGGATGGGGGGAAGGGAGTACTGATTAAGGCTTAGTAATCCTTCGGACTGCTTCCACTTCTCTGGAATCAACTAGATCAGAGGACGGATTTAATTGGTTAATAAGCTCGGATTAGTGGTTTCCAAGTGTTGGGTTTAGTTTTTTGATTATTATTTTTTTCTTTTTCTTTGTTTGGTAAGGTAAAGATAAGGGGTCTGGCTTCTCGTGGTATACTCCACGTATGCTTGCCGCACTAGGGGATATTCAGTGCATGGGCCGGACCTGGATCATCGCGAGATGGCGGTGCTGTACAGTACTACTGCGGTGGCGGAGCGGATTTGGCTGATTTGAAAGAAAAGGCTGGAGTCGAGATCTTAGAGGTTATGTTATATGTAAGGGGTGAGTTAGATGGCACTGTTATCGCTGACTGCACTGCCGCAAAGCTTAATGGGATCTGAGCGGTGAGGGGCCTCGGTCATGTGTTTGACATGGGAAGGATTTGATTTGAAGAAGAGAAGCGAAGGCCAGGTCTAGGTCTTTCAAAACTCAATAACAAACCCACAGGCCAGTGACTGGCTGAAATAACATCAACGCCGGGTTCGCTGTGTACATTAGGTCATTAGGTGTACTTATGTACAGTACATGAAGAAAGAAAAGAAGTCAACAGTTGGCGGGTCGGTAGAGAGGGAAGGGGGATATGTGCTGAACAATCGGGTCGGGTGAACAAACAATTTATACTACATCTTCTGCCCCGCAGCAATGGCTGGGTAATCGGGTATTCGTCGTTATCAGAGCCGCCGGGTATAGACCAGAAGAATGTGCCGATCACCGCCGATCTGGAGTCATCCTCAAACTTTATGCTAGAAGGGGAAGGAGACAGATGGTGTTCCCATGTGGTCTAAAGTCAGTTATGTCTTGTCGGACAAGTCGCTTCTCGATCCTCGTCCCGCCAGCTCCTGAAGACCGGCATTGTCGGTTTCCTGGCTGTGCGAGAGTGCAGAACGTTCAAGCGGTTGGGCATCAACAGTGAGTTCGTTGACTTGGCGTTCTGTACGTCGAGGATTAGAATTTGGTCATTTGCAGATGAAGGCATGTTGACTGGAGTGACACTTCTCCGCTCCATGCTTTGACCCTTGACGGATGAGCACTTACCCAACTCGCGAATACGCTGTCGCAGCATCTGATTCTCCCGGGTCAGCATAGCCGCCTCAGCCTGGTAAAAGGCACTTTCATCCCTGCTTCCCCGCCGGACAGGACTCTCCCCGAGGCCCCCAACCCACTCCAGCCCCTCCGGGCCGCGTGACGAATCAGCGCGGGGACGCAGGCTGGGTGAACCGGCTTGACTAGAGGGCCGGGAGGGGCGCCGACTCGATAGAGAGGACGCTAATTGGGTCGCTGCCCGACTACCGGAGGCGGGGTGCGGAGGAACCGGGGGAAAGGGGACGGCAGCGTCGTCGACCACTGCCGTGCCGGACGATGGGTGCGACAGCTGGTGCTGTTGCTGGAGTTGGTGCAATTGAGTCTGCTGGCTGCGGATCATCTGCAGCAGTCGATTCTTGATCGAGTTATACCAGTCAGCACCTTCAGCAAATAATGAGAGGGAAGCATTCGTGATCATACCACCTGTGCTTCCTGCTCCTGTTCTAGTTCCTGATGGAGTTCCCCCAACGAGGGGGCGCGCTGGTGATGCGGGTCCCCCAAGGCGATGATTGGACTGCCTCCGAGACTGGAGAAACTAGAGGTGCGCAGTGCATTGTGGCTCAATGAGGAGCGGTGGTCGGGAGGGGCAAGCGGGGATTCACCAGACACCGACTCACTAGCGTTGCCATTGCCATTGCTGTTGTTGTTGCTGTTCAGAATTGAGTTGGACCCGGCGGTGGACCGGCGTCGTTCCGGACCTGAGATTCCCGAACGAGTACTGGAAATCGGAGCAGGCCGATGAGGCAGCTCAGTGGCAACGGCATGGTTGGGATCGCCCAAGTGGCTGTTGGGATTGTTATTCATGGTGGCCAGACTGAGAAAGGAGAAACCCGACGGAGAATTTTGCAGATGCAAGGGGTCGTTCACAGCCCGTTGACGATGCGGGGAAGAGGAAGTACGGGTATGAGGCGATGGGGAGGCAGGCAGAGAATTGATATCAGGACACATCACCGTCTGGACCGTGATCATATGACGGAGCGGGGTCAAGAAGTGGAAAACCTCTTTTCCAGGTAGTTGGAGACTCGATCCCAACAATCGAGGACCGTAAATTGATAACCAAAGGAAAAGGGATGAACACGGGGTGAAACAAGCTTGGCGAAGATGGAGTATGGAGTAAGGTATTGTTTGTGTTGATTTGGTGGATTTGGTGGATTTCATGGGGAAGGGAAAGGAAAAGGACCGGGAAATGGCGGGAATCCGACTTATGGCGGGGATTGGGTGGAAACGGCAGGCGGTGAGAGAGGACGCTCCGATGATGCTCCCGCCCGGCTTCCCCCCGACTTCCATCCGCAAACATACATTCAAGGTTGCCGATGCTGGAAACAGACATTCGGCCATCTCCCGAACTTCCCGGCACGCCCATCCCTCGGTCTCGCCTCCTGTTTCACTTGTCTTTGTTCTTCTCGCGGCATTACACATGAATTCAAACCGAACATTCTCTCCAGTCTACTGAAGAATGTCTAGACTCGAGAAGCCGAATATTGAGACAATGCAAAATTCTGCAGTCGGTTGCAGTCAGTCTGCATAAAGTCGAGAGGAGGCCCGGCCGCTCCTGGACCGAAAAAAAAAATCACCTAAGCCAGGGGATTGTCCGCCACATCGTCTTGGCCTCGAGCCTTAGCTCAACCACCGGGCAGTGGCTGTCGGCACTAACCGACTCTTGGGGGTAATTGGCATCAGTGGTGGTTCACTCTCATCATTTTCCCTTGGTTCCCAATGACCGTGCTACGACGTTACTACCGTAGACTGCTGATGATTCTGTGTCGAACTTCATTTGAACTTAATTCCCGTGATATTGTTCGTCTGCTACACGCCACAAACACCACCTTACAAGTCGAAGGTCGACAAGACCGCTCTCTCCTGGATGGTCGGCTGCTGACTGCAAAGAGTTTTTGCAAGACTAGCGCAGTCGGTCAGGGAAGAAGGATGAACCAAGTGGTCCTCTTTATTCTAGTGTAGTATACGTGTACGTAGTATGCGCTAAGTCTGATGTGCCGGAGGTCAGCTTTCGTCCCAGAGAACCAGGTCATCGGTGGCTGAGATTCAGTCCGGGGAAGATCGAGAGATGCCCATGAGGCGTTGCTTATCCATGTTGTGCAGCAAGGAAGCCCGTGAAGCACTGACAGGATTCGATGCGATTTTGGGGAATGAAAATCAGGCTGAATAACGATCATGACAGGCAAATGTCATGGAGGGGAGGGTCGATCCTCGAGGAAAATACTCGATATAATCTGAGCGTTGAGAAGTCGGGGAAACGATCGGCATGGAACTGGCGCAGTTGACGTCACGCACGGCTACCCCGAGCCAACAACCCCGTGGGAAACCGACCGAACCCAAGGCCAACCAACCAGCCCGCGCTAGTCAGCAGTAAAAGAGAAATCAAGGATTGGGTGAATCGCCCCACCATCACTACCACCACTTCCATCATCATAATCATCATCATCATCATCATCATAGTCTGCCTTCCATGAATCGTTCATCTAGCGCTTTCTACCTGTGCTTTCTTGATGATTTTCTCGGCGGGATCATGGCCGTAATGTTGACCAAGCGTTGGGCCTCTCATACAATCGCATACCGTACTGCTCCTGACCACTTGGTATCCCTTAAACCCCTAACCCTTGCGTCGCACACGCCTTTGCGTGAGCCTTATTGACAGCCTCGACCGTGGCCATCTGTACGGTCCCGACAAGAGAGACCGCACTCATTATTGGCTTCGGCCTCACGCGACTCTCGTGCCGCGGTAGGCTTTCCCGAAGCGGGCATTCCTGAAGTAGAGATTTTTTTTCGGGCCAGAACGACTCCGGCGGCCATGGTGTGTGTTAGTGCCTTAGTGGTATCCAAGCGTAGTAACGCCGACCCCGGAGTGGGGTCGATGTATTCTTTCTTCTCCCCGACCACTCTTCTTGCAGGTTCTTTTTCTTCCGGGGCTTCTGTCCGTTTGCCTCCCAGGTCAGACGACGGTTTTGGGTAATGATGTGAGCGACGGATCCATCCGGCCCAGGGATCGAGTAGAAATGACTGGCTACTTGACTCGATTCAGGTAGCGTGGCAAGTGGAACTCTGCGTGTGGTCTGAATGAGGTAGTACTCGAGTATAGCCTGCATCCTGATCTGGCAACCCGCTGCTGCATCGATGTGCCCCGTCCGCTGGCCCACGAGGGGGATTCTGCATTTCTAGTACAACGATGGGAGGCAATCAGTGAATGGCATGGGGAAGAATAATAAAAAAAAATAAGATCTGGACGGCATCTCAACAAAGAAGAGAAGAGAGTGTGACTGAAGTCCAAGCCACAGTAGGGTACGGTAGTGTTGAAGGGGGCGGCAGAAGTGAAGTTCAACTTGCATGGATCCATTTTCCACTTTCTGCTCGTGGCCCTCGTCGGAGATACCTGGGCAGCCTGAACTTTAACCACTGGCATTATTTAGCTCCACTAGCACTGGAGGGGAGGCTCGGTGCATTATTATTAAAGGAAGAGGTTTCCCTCCTGAATTTGCGTGAATGAAAGGATGCTTGTGTAATCCACCGGATCTGTTGTTGCAATCGCATACTTATTTCCTGATTGGGATTATTTACCGGAAGAAGCACATCTATACTATTGCAGCACTTTTCTATTCTATTGTACCTAGTACAATACTGTAGTAGTGGCAACTGCAATCAGGTCTGGCAATTGCACCCTCCTTCTCTTTTGGGGTTACTGTCCTCAGATCTTTCTTCTTCATCTTCTTCCTCCTTCCCCAATCTTCCCACTCTTCTCTCTCTTCCTCTGCCTCTCGCCCGCCTTCTGATCGATTCGATTTGTGGGGTGCTCAGCTCTTACCTCCTCATCGCAGCTGCAATTTTCACGTCCACTTCCTTCCTTCCTGAGGTAATTGCTTAGTCGCTTTGTGCATTTTCGCAATCCACCAGGTGGATTGACTTACCTTGTAAGTTTCACCATCCATTTGACCCCATATCCTTCACTACCAACCATTGGTCCTTGCTTGCCTGCTTGTTACGTTTAATGCTAGAAAAAGCTATAGCCTTCCCTCTTCGCCTTTTCATTTGCTTCTTGCTATTTCCTACTCTCTTTGTCATTGCGTCCGCTGAATTTTTCCCTCAAATTTACTACCGTCTGGTGCACTACTTTTTGCGTACCTGGGACTGCGTTACTTGGATTGCATACTACCTGTTGACCCCCTACCGCTGGGCTCGGTACTATCTTTCACGTCTTTGCCGCTTGGCTCGGTACTACATTTTAAGTCCTTGCCGCTTGGTTCGGGCTGTAATCAATCGACTTTGGCGTGCAATTTCTCTCGCATTCTTACTTCTTAAGATCGCGTTCTATATACTAAAAGACACTTTTTACAGGCCGCCATGGGAAGAGAACTTGACCGACGCAACCTAAGCGATAACGAAAAATATCATAGCTCGGAGGCTTCCTCTTCGACTCACAACGATGTGGTCCTGGATCCGGCAACTGAGAAGGCGTTAACAGAGCAGAAGCCCGATTTGGCGGCCAACCGCGACTCTGGGGCTACTCTACAACATCATGAGGAAGGACCTTACGATAAGATTGAACTTACCGAAGACGACTGTTACGATGAGCTGGGCTACTCATTTCCGGCATGGCGGAAGTGGATGATAATCACCGTCATCTTCCTTGTCCAGACATCCATGAACTTCAATACCAGTCTCTACTCGAATGCTTTGGGCGGCATTTCAGAAGAATTCGGTGTCAGTATGCAGGCCGCCCGCTGTGGTGCAATGATCTTCCTGGTTTTATATGCTTTCGGCTGTGAACTGTGGGCTCCCTGGAGTGAGGAGCTTGGGCGCAAACCGATTCTACAATTGAGTTTGTTCTTGGTTAACATCTGGCAATTACCCGTGGCCCTCGCACCCAATTTCGCGTCGATTATGGTCGGACGTGCTTTGGGAGGTCTCAGCTCAGCCGGTGGTTCTGTCACATTGGGTATGATTGCTGACCTCTGGGAGGCTGATGACCAGCAATATGCTGTCGCCTGTGTTGTGTTTTCATCTGTCGGCGGCTCTGTGATTGGGCCCGTTGTAGGTGGATTCGTCGAAGCGTACTTGCCCTGGCGCTGGAACATTTGGATCCAACTTATCTTTGGAGGATTTGTTCAGGTGTTGCACTTCCTTCTCGTGCCTGAGACTCGAACCACAATCATGATGGACCGAATTGCCAAGAAGAGAAGAGAGAGCGGTGAAGACCCCAATATCTATGGTCCCAACGAACTTGTTCCTTTCAAGGAACGCTTCTCGATGAGCGAGGTTCTACACACCTGGATCCGTCCTTTCAAGATGTTCTTGACTGAGCCAATTGTCCTCACTCTGTCTCTTCTGAGTGGATTCAGTGATGCACTGATCTTCATGTTTATTCAGTCATTCAGCCTCGTCTACGATCAGTGGAACTTTGGCACTGTGGCCCTGGGTCTGTCCTTCCTTCCGATTCTGGTTGGATATTTCATCGCGTGGTTCTCATTCATCCCTGTCATCAAACGGAACATCCAAGAGCGCCGGAACAAGCCCGACGATGAACGTGCCCAGTATGAATCTCGACTTTGGTGGCTGCTCTATGCCGCACCCTGCTTGCCGATTGGATTGATTGGCTTTGCTTGGACCAGCCTCGGCCCCCCTATTCACTGGATCGGGACCATGGTCTTCTCCGCTATCGTTGGTATCGCCAATTACAGTATCTACATGGCTACCATTGACTACATGATCTGTGCTTACGGACCTTACTCGGCTTCTGCGACGGGAGGTAATGGATGGGCGCGTGACTTCTTGGCCGGTGTCCTTACAATTCCTGCTACACCCTTCTTCCAGAGTGAGTTTCTCCATCCTATGTTCTGTGATACGTTGTTCTAATCAATTGTTTTATAGATATTGGTGGAAAGTACCATCTTGAATATGCTTCCACGATTTTGTTCTGCATTTCGTTTCTGCTTGTCATTGCGGTCTATGTCATTTACTGGTATGGGCCTGCTCTCCGCAAGCGGTCGCCGTTCGCCCAGCAATTGTCCGATGCACGAGTCGAACTCCAAACCCATGGTCGAAGACTCTCTCGGATACCCTCTGGGTCGCGTGCGAACTCCTTTGCTCGGTCTCAACAGAATCTGCGCATCCGTCAGACTCTTGGTAGCCGGGCTAATAGCTATGTGGCTTCTCGTCCAGCCTCTGGGGTTAACTCTCGAGTGCAATCACGCAAGAACAGTTTCTCGCGATAAGTTTGGTCGTGCGATGGGGAACACTATTCTTTCTTGATATTAGTGCAATGATTAACGAGCGTTGATACCCCCTTTCTCTGGCGAAGGGCTTCAGCCATCTTGTTTTGTTTGACTTCACTTTCGATTTAGCCTTGTACCGTTCAATCTGTTTATCCTTCCAGGATTCTGATCCACTGAGTTGAACTTTGTTACTCTAGGTAGTCTAGATATTATCTAATTGTTTTATTATCATTCTTCCTTTCTCCAGTGGATGGAGCTGATATGGGTAGTTTGGTAGCTTCGGCAAAGCTCAGCTCGACCATTCTTCTTCACTGTTTGGTTTCTGCTTTCAACCTAGGTTAAGTAACTGTGCTATCACTCTTCAAAATACAATCCCACAAGCTAGTGTCGAAGTTGTCAGCAGCTGTCACAATTGCAGTGAGATATCCTCAATAGGAGGGTTAACTAGCTTCTTGAATCACTGGGTGTCATGACCAGGATCCGACTGTTCGTAATCAGGCTTTGTCCTAGTTATAGTAGGCTTGTCTTCTAGTTGAGACAGGTAAGTAGGATTAGGCTCTGGACCTTTTCATCTCGAGAGGGCTGACTGGCTGACTGGCTGACTGGCTTGCCCCGTCATTCTCTTCAGCGCAGCGGGAGATCGACCCGCCCGCCGCCGGTCACGTGCCTTACCCGGGTGGCCGAAGCTTCTCACCTCCACCCGCCGTAGCAGCGCGCATCCCCGACCGCAATTCTGGTTGACACACTCTCTGGCTCATCCAGCATGGACCACATCATCAGGGCAAGCCCACGGCCTTGCATGTTTCTCTCTCGCCTGCAAAGGAGCCAGTTCGCTCGTCCTTCGACTTTGCGCTTCTACTCTTCTGTTTCTTCCTCCTTTGTATCCCCAGCTCGTTCTTTTCAAACTACACTTCTCACTCGGAACGACCCCACCAGCTGTCCCACCTCGCAAAAGAGCTCAACTTTCTCCCCATCCACTACGACACGCCACTTCTCCTGCAGCATGTCCGCTTCCACTGCCGTTGAACCCCAATTCGCCGAGGGCGTCGACGCGGACGAGCTCCGGCCGCGCCTGACCGCGCTGCTGCAGCCGGAGCAAGGGTGGACGCTGGATACGGAGGGCCAGGGATTGCAGAAGACATACTTCTTCAAGACCTATTTTAAGGCGGTGGTAAGTTTACTTGCTTCGCCCTTTCCGATGCGGTTTGGCTCCTCCTCCTCCCGAATCGCCCTACCTTTCCGTGCTTTGTTTTCCGAGGCAAGGTACTATGCTCGGGAGTGCGGGCAAGAAATGGGCTGGGGAGGTGAGAGTCAGTGTTTGTTGATTGATGGTTTGACTGATTGTTGGTTTCGGGGAAACTTGTAGAGCTTTGTGAATGTGGTTGCTTCGCAAAGTGCCACGATGAAGCATCATCCGACTATGACTGTTGTAAGTTTTCTTCTCTTTTCTTTGTGGTTTGGTTATTCCTCTTTCTTCTTCGGAGCCAGGTTTTTTGATTTTGTGGGGGGTGGATTGGGACATCCAGGATGGAGAAGTAATAGTGCGGGAAAGAATTCGATCTGCCGGATCTGACGAGGAGAAAAGGGGGTGGAGGAGGAACTATGGACACTACATGAGTGAAAGTAAGAGGCTGACTGTGGTTCTGGTTCAATAGCGGATTGGATCGGTGGATATCCACTGGACGACGCACCACCCGCGAGGTCTAACGGGCAAGGATGTGGATATGGCGCAGCATTGTGACGAGGCGGCGGAACTGATGGGGGCGGTGGAGGCCGGGCAGGGAAGGAAGTGCCATTGATGATTGAGCTGCATTGCATTGCATTGATCCGGGGGTGTATTTATGAACTTCGTATTCGTATGAAATCCCGTACATGTGAGCGTATAAAAAGTTCGAACCTGGAGGTGAGATGAAACTGCCAGCCAGCCAGCCAGCACCAGACCTGAAGGGGGTAAAAGTCCAAACTGGAACACAAAAGTCAAATTAAAGAGTCTGGAACCACCAGACAGAAAGGGGCTGACTCAGCGGATTCCTCTTTCCTCGGTTGTAGAGATAAGATGGGCGGAATGTGGGTGGTGGTGGTGGAGGTGGAGGTTGACAGCTTCATTCATCCTCAATTCTCCTGGGATTGGCAATCAGGAAGAGCAGGGGAGAGATGACAAACAGGACAACAGACTTGGAGGCTCTCTACCTAACTATTACACTGTCTCCATCATCTCCCTCCATCTTTTCACCTTCGATTTCTCTAGCTTCAAACGCTCAACTTCTTACACGCGATGGGGTGGGAAGTGGAGCCCTGCAAGGCTGGGTCAATTCAGGGGCAGCAGCAGCCATTGTTGTTGTTGTTGTTGCTGTTGTTTTTTTTTTTTTTTTTTTTTTTTTTGAATGGAATTGAATCTCTGGCTGGCTGTTCGATTCTCCCCCTCGATCCATCTCCTTCTCTTCTTGTCTACTGACCACCCACTCACTCGCATATTATCCTTCCAGAAGGAAATCAAACTCAAATCAGTGACTGTTCAGGGGTTGGGGGACAGGCAGCCCACTGCCTCATCGGCTACCAAACCGTTTCGGATCGCAGTGGGAATCCTTGCCTGCAGCCCGTTTCACGCGGGTTTGCGTCCATCGTTCGTCCGTCCCATCGTTTCTTCTTTAGTTTCATTTTTAGTTTCATTCTCTCTCATCGTTTTCTTTGGAACAAAAGACCTATTTTATTTTTAATACTTTCTGGCCCCTCTCCCTCCCCCTCTCCTCTAAAGTCCTGCCTGCCTCTCTCTGTCGCCAGTTTTCGAGTCATCAACGCTTTCTTCCTCTTTCTCCCACCTCCCTTCCCTTCGTCCAACCTGGCCCTCTCACACTCTCTTGCCTCTTTCTTTCCCCTCTTTTCGCCCTGCTGTCGTTCATTCTGTTTTATCCTTGCTGCTCTCGACTGTCTCCCTCGCCGAACGACCTTCGATTGCGACTCTCTTATAGCTCACGGACGGCAATGGATTTCTCCTGATCTGATCTTCACCCCGGTGATCTGTTGACCCAGTTTCCCACTCCCGACAATCATCCCCTGTTCGTAATACACTCTGGGGTCGTCCTGTATCCACAGTCTGTTATCGCGATCGTTCTCTCTCGTCTCTACCGCTCCGAGCTTTGTCCTGGTGGATGCGACACGGTGCCTCCACAATTTGGCCGGGAATGATCCACGTCTAGTGGTCCGATCATCGCTCTATCCCGCCCGTTGTCTTGCATTGTCTGTCGATGAAGTCATCCAGCCAGTTTGACCACATTCTTTACCTGAATCTCTCGTTTTAATCCTCACATAATCGTCGCACGAATTCCGAATGCTTTTCCGATTGCGATTATACGCCAACTCGTACCAGATCCCCCGACTTCCCACACCGACAGTCCGCGCGATTGTGTGAATCCGCGCAGAGAATGACGCTCGAAATTGATTCCCCGCAACAATCGGTCAACGAGCGCAGAGGCCAGCGTTTGGCACCGCTACAAACCAACTTCAGCCGTCCCACCGCGCGCCCGATACAGGTCACAGCGACTCGACCACAGCGACCCCGACCATCCGACTACCAGACAGATGAGGAAGGAGGAGAGCGAGTCCCTTTACAACCCGCTCCGGTGAAACGCCAGACGTCCAAATCCAGTCTACGCAACATTTTCGGGCGCGACAAATCGGCCCGTAAGCCAGCCACGGAGGTCAAGCTATCTGGTATCGATGAACAGAAACCTGCCACGGAGCAACCGGCCCCCAACTCAGGGGCAGTGCCGTTGTCACCAACTCTGGTCGCGACACCGAGGACCAATGCCTCTGCTACGACACTGCCCACATCTCCCACCACAGTTGCTTCTCAGCGCTCGAGGCTACCTGCGAAATCGCGGGGGAAGCCTGGCGATGACCAACCTCAGGCAGGTGACTTAGGCTGGAAACCACCGCCGCTGTTCCAAGCATACCCGCAGTCGATCAAGCATGATTCGTTGCCGGTTCCTTCTCTCTCGGTGGACACCATTTTGCGCATGCAGGCTACGGCAAAAGCCAAAGGGATCGTCTCCCGTGAAGATGATCCATCAAGCAAGGCATCACAGAACGGAGACGCCGCGGAGGACACAACCACCAAGAAGAAAAAAGAAGAGAAAGAGAGAAAAAGGCACCTGCGCACCCTGTCCGAAACAATCAGCAAGACTGAATGGTCTCAGAAAGTGTACGTGCTCGCTACCGCCGGCTATATCCTACAATATGCGGGCTCCGGCAAGCACGACCGTTTGCCTGAAAAAATGCTTCAGCTGGGACCCAAATCAGTGGCATTTGCCAGTGATGCTATTCCTGGGAAGCACTACGTGCTCCAAGTGACGCAATCATCGGACGAGGAAGGCGTTGAAGGTACCAAGCACCATCGGTTTCGCTTTGGATTCCATCGTTCCCATACTCGACGGATGGAACGCACATTCTTGCTAGTCTTCGATCATCCCGAAGACATGAATACGTGGCTATTGGCAGTGCGAGCTCAAATTGAGGCGCGTGGCGGCAAGAAGTATATCTCCGAAAGAGCGGATGACGGGGAGCCAGGCCACCAGCTTCAGAACAAGCCCAGCATTCGTCAAATGATAACGAAGGATACGAAGCGATATTCCACGTTGATCCCACCTCAGGTGCCTACATCCGGAGAAGAAAGGGATCCAAGCTTTAGTGACCAGTCTCGCCGGAATTCCCATGTCTCGATCAACCGCCGTTCGATAGTGCTACCTCCAGCATCAGAGTCTCGTTCGGGGTCTATCTCCACAACGCATACTGAAGTCACGTCTCCAATTAGCAATTCGGGACGCTTCTACTCCATGACAGCATCGAGTGTTCCGAGCGTGCCTTCGGCTGATAATGTGCCCAGGTCAGGGGATGTGGCTAGCCCAACATCTCCGGGGTCAACCAAGAGACGATCGATGCATGCGTCGCCAACGCAGACCATGCCCACAGCTGCGGAGTTGGCGGCCGAGATTCCTCGCGCTCAGTCGACCCAACCCGACCCAATCTACCGCAGTACCTCTCCGCCTGCCCCGAACTTCAGCGTACCCTCCTTCAGTAAACGGTTCACAGCTCGGTTTGGGCCACTGCAAGTCCCGCAGTTTCCGCAGGCCCCGCCTGCTCTCGACCTTGTTGATGTCGACTCCCCCGCGGATCCTCTGTTAGCTTTCCCATCTCCCCCACATTCTCCAGGCAAGATCATGAACGGACTTGGGCAAGGGGCTGCGATCGAATCGCACCAGGTCGGGCCTGTCCAAGGATTGTCTCCACCCAAACAACTACGAGTATCTAGCTCGCAGGATTCTCTGGTTGATCCCGCACGAAGTGTCGATTCGAAGACCCATCGCCTTTCCCGCTTGTCTCGGAATCCATTATTGAAATCCGCAGCCAACACACTGCGTCCTACAACCGCCGTGGGCGGAAAGCCTCCTCCCGAGCTCCATCTTCTGGTTGAAGAGCAAACAAATGGTCCGGATCAGGCCCGGATGCGGGGATCAGTGGTGTATCCCACCGATCCTAATGCACGCTTACCGCCGGCCGGGATGGGCCGACGCAAGAGCATGCCAGGACTAATCGGGCCACCTGCAGCACCACCCCCTAACTGTCCGCTCCCCAAGATCCCCTCTCCAATTGATCCACCACCCCCTGGCTGGGGTGAACCCGGCATGGACCCTAGGCAAGGCATCGCGCCGCCATTGCATCCAATCCAAGAACAGCGGAAAAGCCTGGCTCCTGGCCAATTTGGTTTGAGTGGCCGTCGCAGCGCATCCCGGCAATCGAGAATCGCTCCGTGACATCGTGTCTTATTACTATCTTGTTGAGAATCCCCAACAACGCTAAAAGCTCACTCGTCGGCCACCGTGTTATTCTTCCCTTCTTTCCCCATGTTTCCACGTCGCCACGGCACGATATATTTTGCACATAAAGACTTTGACAGTCGATGCAGTTGATCCAGCATCATCACATAGCGATCAGCGATTTTTTTTTCTTCTTGTTTGGCTTTTCATTGATACCATTCTGAACCCTGTACTTGCACATGTTGGCTGTCTATGAGGTGAGAGTATGCTAGAATACTTGATCATCGACATATTTGGATTTCGGCTGTTCAAACGGACGATAGAGTCCTCATTTCCTGGGAATATATGTTTATTACTAGATATATTAGATGTTACAATACACATACTATACTACATATTCTGGACAAGGGAATGTTCGTCTCAACAGACAGTGTTGTCGCACAATCGTCCCGCCAGCTGAACCAATTGCCTGAAGGGGAAACTTGGTCCTTCGCCAAGATGCAGGCTGATGGGAAGTGCGTAAAGCAATCCGACGGGAATCCAGGCTGATCCTTGCAACCTCTCTTCAGCCGAACACCTGTTTTCCTTTTTCTACCAGGATTCACCTGGTCATTCTTTTCGAGGCAGTGACCAACAACACGTGACTACTTTCCTGCTACCATACGGTATATCATCCACAATGAACAGCCCTTCCAATTCCGTGGGATCAGGCGTCCACCAAGTCCACCAAGTCCACCACACTGAACAATGGAGTCTCCCAAGCAGAAATACTTCCCCACATGGCAATTGTTCCTTCTGGGTAAGCTTACCCTTCGTCCCTTTCAAATGCGAACTCTTCCCCGCTCATCTTCTCTCCTCATCGATAACAGGGCTATGCCGCATCGCCGAGCCAGTCGCTCTGACCTCCCCCCTCCCGTACGCATATGACCTGATGATCCATCTGCTGCGCAATGGCGACAGCGGCAACGACGACAGCGGCAACGACGACAGCGGCAACAACCCGGCTGCGTTCTACGCCGGGCTCTTTGTGGCTGCTTTCTCCGCGGCGGAGACGCTGACAGGGTTCTGGTGGGGGGCGCTCTCCGACCGGATCGGAAGAAAGCCCGTCCTGTTGCTGGGATGCGCGGGCACGATCTTATCCATGTTTATGCTTGGCTTTGCGACCAGCATCTGGAAGGCCATTTTCGCAAGGGTGCTGGGGGGTGCCTTGAATGGGAATGTCGGGGTGGTTCAGACCATGGTGAGCGAGATGGTGAGCCGGTCGGAGCATGAAGGTGGGCTTGGTTCGATACCTTGGGAGTACTGCGAGGGGTCGACTTCAGTGTTTCCTGGCTGACGCAGACGATGTAGCACGGGCGTATGCTGTCATACCGTTCTTTTTCAGCATCGGATGCACAATCGGCCCGGCCCTCGGGGGGTTATTGGCGCAGCAGCAGCTGAATCTGGGAAAAGGTGGGCGTGAGCACTTTCTCTGCTTGTTGCTGCGTCAGTATCCCTATCTGCTGCCGAACCTTGCGTGTGCGGGTATGGTTCTGTCCACGATGGTGCTGGCTTGGTGCGCTCTAGATGAGACCCATCCGGAGTTGAGATTGAAGCGCACAGATGAACAACAGCAACAGGAACCAGCCCAGTCTGAAAGTTCGCCCCTCCTTCTGCATCACCCGGCCAGTTCGGATTCTGCTTCTGCCCGTGCCCATGCGCCGACTGAGGGAGTTGCTATCCCGGCCTTCTCGCTGTGGCGTCTGAACCGCAACGTCAAGATGCTGATCAGCGCCGTCTGCTTGCTGAGTGCACATACCGTCACCTACATCCAGCTGCTGCCCATCTTCCTCCGGACCCCGCGCGATCCCAGCGTGCCTCGGTACTACATCGGCGGGGTGGGCGGCCTCGACATGAGCCTGTCGACGGTGGGTCTGGTGATGGGCATCAATGGGATCATCAGCCTGGGCATTCAGTTGCTCTTCCCCGTGTGCACGGACTGGTTCGGCCTCGGCCGTACGTTGCTGGTCGTGACCTTCCTCCACCCGGTCGCCTACTTCTGCCTGCCCTATCTCCCGTTCCTGCCGGCGCGCAGGTGGCGGCCGGTCGGGCTGTGGACCTGGCTGGTGGTGCGGAATGTCTTCTCGTCATTCAGCTACCCGGCCCTGTTGATCTTCATCAAGCGGTGGACGCCGGATCCGTTGATCTTGGGAAGGGTGAACGGGCTGGTGACGAGTGCGGGCGCGGCGTGTCGGACCTTCTCCCCCACTGTTGCGGGTCTGTTGCAGAGCATTGGGGAAAACCACCATTTCAGTGCGTCGGCGTGGTGGGGGTCCGGTGTGATTGCTTTGCTTGCGGCGCTGCAGACATGGTACTTGGAGCTGGACGGTGAGCAGGGGGTTCCTGAGGCTTGCTGAGGCTGTTGTTGGTTGGTCGCATCTCCCATTTCTGGCGTACAGTCGAAACTGCCCTAAGTTACTTGTGATCACATCCCCAAAATTTAGTGTACTTTCCACACAGTTCTAGTCCATGTAACTACAGTCTACAGTCTACTGGAGCACAGATACTTCACCAATAACACGAATAACCATTAACGACGCAACAACAAGCTAGATCCCTATCACTATAGCCCTACCACCATAACAGCCGGTCCCACCCCCTCCTGCCTCATGCCTCTGCCCCAATCCCAATCCGGTCTCGAGTCGAGTGCGGTAGCTCAGTAGTTGTACAAGTCGCCATCCAGCTCTGCGTCCGCCCGTTTCTTGTAATTGTAGAGGTCGCCATCCAACTCGGCTCCGTCACGCTTGTAGTTGTAAAGATCCCCGTCTAGCTCAGCATCAGCCCGCTTCTTGTAATTGTACAAGTCGCCATCGAGCTCGGCTCCGTCGCGCTTGTAGTTGTAGAGATCCCCATCCAGCTCAGCGCCATCCCGTTTCTTGTAGTTGTAGAGGTCGCCATCGAGCTCAGCGTTGCCACGCTTATAGTTGTAGAGATCACCATCCAACTCGGCGGGGGATCCCACCTCTACACGCACCAACTTGTCAGCCTTATCTTTCAGTCCATGCTCCACCATTTTCTCAATTCCGGTTTCAATCTTTCCACCAGGAGAAAAGAAACCACCAACAACACCAAAGAAAAATCAGAACATACTAGGCAAAGCCGTCACCATGCCGACGGCCAGGCACAGAGCCAACAGGAATTTGGACGAGTACATCATTTTGGCGGTTTTGGGGTGGTTATTATCGGAGCAAGGAAGAGGAAGATGAGCCTTGTTTTCTGTTGAAGAAGTTGATATCTGATGGAGATGATCGGAGGGGTGAGAATGTGCGGGTGGGAGGTAAGGGTTTTATGTTGCTGGGATGAGAGAGATTACAGCGTCGATATCGATGGGTAGGTGGATATGATGTCGTGATGCCGAGGTATGCGATGCGAGGACAGTGCCACTGGCAGTAGATTGTCCCACGCGCGGTGGGTTTGGAGATGGAGAGAGTCAGGGAGAGTCGTCGCGTTGGGGAAGCGGCCGGCTGGATTGGAATGGGGATGGGGAATTGGGCTGTCGGAATCCGGTTGTCTTGGGATTTTGGGATTTGGGTGGATATGCAATGTCTTCATGATGTTGGGATGTACTTGTTTCGTATGTCGTAGGGTTGGGAGGAGGATTAAGATTGTAGATGATGGATAGAGATTTGTTAGGGCTGGGGGAGGTGGAAGGTGTATCTACCAAGGCACTCCATCGATATGTGACTATCGTGTTGGAAGAAAGTACCGAGTAGGTACTTGCGCACAAGTGTCCAGTCATGGTGACTTTTGCCGACAAGGCGCTCTAGTGTTCCAAAATTGTCCACTCGTCTCTATCGGCCATAATACGAGCAGCGCTGGCCGCCAATAATTCTAACACTAACCAACTACCTCATGTACGATGACTCGGAATAGCAGTCCTAAGGACTGAGATTGAAATCCATTCCAGCCCTAACCAGTCTCCACCACCAATACTGATGCCCAAACCCGTGCAATACTTACGTGTGCTCGTGCACTTGCTGCTCCTCCTGCCTGTGGGATTATACCTTTTGAGATTCGAGTTCGTTTACTACCATCATCTTCTGCCTCCTCCAACCCGAGCAAGATGTATGCAGCTCTCAAGAAAAGTAGCAAGGACGGCACCTCCTCCGATAGCTTGCCTCTCTCAGACTATCACGACGAGCATCTCGGTAAAGACCGACCGCTTCTGAAAGAAGAGGATGCCTGCTACATCAACCGCCCTCCACGGCGACCATCCTCCCTCTTCCAATGGCAGAGCCTCTGCTTCCACTTCCTGCTTGCCTCGCTCTACGGCGCGGCCTTCCTGCTCGCGACGTCCAAGTCAAGGCAGGGGGCGGTGGATAAGCCAGTGCATTTGATTGACTGTACATTCCACGTCCCTCGCCCCCCAGGAAATCAATATATGAAGATCAGGTAGACTAACGACAGACCATATGCCCACTGTAGCCCCCCTCCACGAAGCCATCCAGATGGAACGCAAGACCATCTACGCCTCCATCGCGAGCGAGAACCCGTTCAAGGGCGCCCCCTCAAAGGAACTCGACCACGCGTGGCACCAGCTGTTCATCAACTCCAATATCCGAGTCACCGCCGAGGATCTGGCCCGGATCAACCGGACTTCGGTGCCGATTAATGATGAGAAGGGTGGGTTTTATGCTATTCCGGGTAGGTGGTCAGCAATCTCATCTTCTTTTTTTTTGCTATAGGAGTATGTACGGTATGTGGCTTGAAGGCTGACGGGGTAGTAGATGTGTATCATCAGCTTCACTGCCTGGTAAGAACCCCCCGCGTGGCCGGGTGGTAAGACTGGAGCTGAAAGCCAGTTTGCAGAAATTCTTGCGGCAGGTCGTCTATCAGAATTACTACCATATCGGGAAACCGACGACTCCGGTTCATATCGGTATGGCCTGTCCCCGATATAATGCAAGCGTAGGTTCTAATCTCGGAGAATGGAATAGAACACTGCGTCGACAACCTCCGCCAGAACATCATGTGCAAAGCCGACGTCGCCCTGCTCACCTTCACCTGGGATCCGGCCGACCGCGCCCCGAAACCCAACTTTGTGGTCGAGCACGAGTGCGCGAACTGGGAGAAGGTGGACAGCTGGGCCAAGGAGCATGCGTTTGATATCTTTGATGAGACGACGCTGGTGCATCCGACTTTGGGTGAGTCTTGCTTCCATCTTTAGGGGGGGGGTGCTAAGGAGGGATTTGATGGGGGTTTTGAAGGGTGAGTTGATTTTAAGTGATTAGGTCCGTCGTTTCCGGAGAAGGAGTATAAAGCTACTGGGAAAATTCCGGGGCATCCGGATTTTCATCCGAATGAGTACCATGGGGGTCAGATGCATCATCATCATGATGGTGCTTGAGGAAGGGTGGGGTGGTTGAGAGGAGGTGGACTGGCTGGTTTGTCAGTATTTTGAGCTTTATGGTGAAATACTCGCTTGGTGAGCAGGACATAGGGATTGTAGAGGGTGCTGTTTTATCAATGAACAAGGTAGTGAATTATATTCTTCCAGGATCAAAAGGTTGACCAAAGGAAGCCAAGTCAAAGGGTGAAGGGATGCAGGACTCTGAACATTCACTTCTGCCTTACGTCTTCAAAGCCCTAAATCCAGGCTGATTCACACTGAGTAGCTCTAAATCCTTACCACCTATTGCGGACTGGTGAATCAGAATCTCTGTTTTCCTGGCTAACAATGAGCCATAATTGAATACAACGGATTAAGTTAATGGAATCCTCAATAGAGCGGTCCTTGACTGACGAGGTGCTTAAATACCTCCTCCTTTCCCTTCTTCCTTCCTCTCCCTCTTCCTTCCTCTTCCACCTCCACACTTCTCGACTCCCACCTTTCATCTTCATCCTCCATCCTCTATCCTCCTTCTTCAGCTTCATCTTCTTACACCTTCCACCTTCATCCCTCCACCTTCAACTCACCATCTTAATCACCATCTTTCATCTCCATGTCTATCACCCAATCCAACACCCATCTCCATCCCCATAGCCCACCCCTTCTACTCCGCCACCCTACCACATGCCTGTCTCTATAGTGCTCTCTTGTTCATCATGATCTGCATCCAAGGAACCAAGCATCAATCAGCTCCTTGCTTATCATGCTAGGATACCATTCCTCCTACAGTTTTTCCTCCTTACTCATGTCGACAATATATACAATGTTACTCTGCAACCTATCCTCGTGCCTACACATCACTGGTCCCTCATCTCCTGTCCCCCACCATGTTTTCTGCTGCCGACTGCCTGTTTATAGGAGTAGTGGACCTCGAAGTTGTTGTTAAAGAGATCCTCTCAGCTACGGGACCCGACCTAAGACGGCTCAGTTTCTTCTCTCTTCTTCTTCACCATAACGGAGGACCTGGTCGACTCGTGTGGGATTAAAGCAGTTACCAGCGTCTGCAAACTCTCCATGTACTGCTCTCGTGCATACGCCCGGTTCATCCCGTCTATCACCTTCATGATGCCTACCCACATGACAAATGGCCAATGCAGGGCACCTTGCCCAGGTGGGAATCCAGACGCCTGGGACACCTTGTACGAATAACCAATCACACTCCTGGAATGAGACCGGAAGGGCATTTTTGAGAGTGCAAGGAACAAGGAAAGTCTGTGAGAAAGACTACAACAGAACTTTGAATGCTTACCCAAGTCTTTTGGTGAGGAAATCAACACGCACACCTACGAACGGGAGAAGAATAAAGGCTGGAAGGCGTTGTGAGAGTATCCTATACAAGCTCTCAAGAACTACCCAAACAGCTTTTCAAACAGGAGGCTGATTACTGATTTTGGGTCTCACGAAGTGGATGATATTGTCTCAGTCGCGAATTATAAGCGGTGCTCCTTGTACCAACGACAAACAACTGATTCGTGTCGTTGAGATGCTGGGCATCGGAATCAATCACACTCGAGCGAAAAATATGGTTTTTTTGGACCCCTGCTTCATACCTGCATACGAAAACCAGGCGAAGAAGCGCATCAACACGCGGGGGCCGAAGGCACCGATGACATTCACCGGCTGGCATATATTAGCCTGTCACACGATCGTCAGCTGCGAAGCTCATGTTCATCCATTCATTAATTTTTTTTCTCCTGATCGAGGTGCCTAAAGAAAGGTGATAACAGGAAATAACCAGAAGATTCAACATATTACAACACTGGTCAAGAACGGAAACTACCAATACGCCGCTATTTACGAGCATATTCCGATGATTCGAGAATCCACCAGTTCACACTAAGAAAGCTATGCATATAGCTTGAATGCCTCTCATCTTCCGAGGAAGATCCAAAGCAACTTCTGAAAATGAGTGAGAGACTGCAATATGGTTCTGCGCGTTTGGGATAGATTTCCTGACGAGTGTCACACTAAATCAATAAATCAATATCGCCGCTTGTACAAGAGTCACGGGCGTTCTGCCGTGTTCAGACCGCGGTATATATGGCAGCCAATGAAGGCTTGATGTTCGATTAAGGTCACTGGCGAAAAGAACAGTTCAACATGGCGCTGGCCTTGGTCGGCCTGCTCGACCACTCCCTACGCGCTGCTGCGAGGTAGAAAAAAGATCGGACTAACTGCTGCACGCGTGCCATACCGTGGAATTGTTGTGTGACCTCGATAGTTTTGAGATCATGGCTGAGACATTAGTCGTCAGACGATTTCATCGCTAGAGCGCTCATGGATAGCCTCAAGATTGTGCAACCAAACAATGCCCATGCGCAGAAACGTTCCAGGGCCGCGCCGCGTATGACACGCATCAGAGATCCCACGAGGATTTTGGCGACTCCCAACTCATTTCTCAAAAGATAACCAGTTGAACAACATCCTGCCTTTAATTACTTCTCCAATGAGAATGAATCCCCCTCCCTTTGAACTCTGGTGGCGAGTATTGGGAAAGAAGATTCTAGAAAATCCTACTGTCAGAGGCAGTGGCCCGCCAGACAGAGCGGGGCGGGCGTCGGACTGGGATACAGCCCAAGATAAGGGACTCGAGGATACAGGCATTTTGATTTTGAGACTGTCGCATTAGCCGAGCTGTTCATGGCTAAGTACCAATACTATCGACTTCCGGTTTCGACTCCGACTCCGGTCGAGGCAGACTGCTTTGGCAAATGCAACTCGAACTCCCGGAGATTAAAGTCTGTGCTCCTTTACGTGGTTGTGGCATGAATCGTCGCCTTCTTGACACTGATTACCGCGTGGGCTTATGCCCTGGACCCTAAGATTTGTCGCAGCCGGTGCGAGGAGATCGCGAGAGAAAGGCTGTGGTACAAAGCTAATAACGAGTCCTGGATGGATGATAACCTCCTCAACTACAGCTTAAACATAATCAGAGAGTTTAAGAGGGCGGTGCGACTGTAGACGAGCAACAACTTGGATATTGGTCCGTTTTAGTCTGCAAGGACCATACTTCTACTGGTCAAGTCTAACAGTGAGGGCTTAGACATCTTGTCACAGGTTGTTGCCTGTGCCGGGTCATGAATCTGATTCTAGGCAAGCAGATCGACACCCAGAGGACGAGACCAATATCAATGCGCATTATCATTACTTCCGCATTGGTGCAGACAAGCAGACTACCAACGCAATGGATCTGATACACTGGCAAGGAGATTCGCAGCACCGCCTCTGCCGGTGGTTAGCGCAGTGCTTGCGGCGCATCAAGCTGTCATGACCGAGATCAAGTCCGATATTAGCGAGGAGCAGGATATACTAGCTGGGATACCCTGCTCGCCAATCGTCCCGGCAGCCTTCTGAAGGTCGATCTGTACAGCACCGTCGCGAACCGGGGCGATGCCATAGCTTAACTTCCCGCGGAAATGGGTATATCACGATGCGCAGACTGCCGTGTTCTATATACTGTCTGTCTGGACGAGCCGGTTGGGATCGTGCAAGGGCTGCCCGGCACAGGGAAAGCCTTTGGGATGATCAGCTGTCTTCTTGTATTCCTCCGCAATTCCAGCCGGGATGGCATGCCGTATCAGCTGCTCATCGTGCCCGCCTTCAACGATGTTATGAATGATATTACTTTCCGGGTGGATGGTATGTGGTTTTTTGGCGGATAGCATGGGGTTTGGCAAGATATTTTTAGTACACGCCTTTCTTGCTACCAGCAGGAAGGTCTATCTGCAGCAACAGGATGTGATGAGGTTGCGTTGCAAGCAAGATGGTGCCCACCACCCCAAAGGCTATGATGGGGATGAGCTGTGCCTATTGAATCTGTCGTCGTGCATCTGCTGTTCCTGCGTGGAAGGCAAGCCCCACCAGCCGCATGGCCCCTCTCAATGGAGTTCAGTTGATCCTGGTTTCCGCTGCTGTGCTTCATAACTGAGTGCGCATGTGGGACATGTTTGTCGATGAAAGCCCACCAGAGGGCCAGACACATGGCAAACGCGCTTCTTAGAAACATCCTTGGCGACAAATCTACAGAAGCTGGTAATCGTCGAAGCCAAGCCTGCTCCAGGCATACCAAGACAAATGGAACTCCTTGAATCCGCATTTATCCGAGATCAAATACGGCGATGCAGCTGATCAATGAACTTCAGTTGCCCTTACTACAAGCAACAGCCTAAAGGCTATTTTACAGGACATGTCTGACAACATTAGTCTATGATTAGGCAGAGTTCTGGACTGGAGCTGCGAGGCTTCGAAAAGGCGACGAAAACGTCAACATCGGGCTGGTCACTTTGCTCATTGCTCGCATGCATCTGATTCCCAATGTGCAGCGATGGTGGTCAGCCAAGAGAATACGATTCAAAGATGTATAGTGAGTCGAATTTGACTTAGATTCTGTACTAGCCCGCGCGATACAGTTCCTAGGGCATATACAGAGATGCAGCCATCATGTCAGGGGCCCGCATGAACACCAAGGCTTTACTGTATCCCTGCAACCCAGAGACCATGTAGTCATAGCACCATTCGGTTTTCCAGGATAGCAAGTCAGATGTCACTCGACTTCCTGACGAGCATCGGTAGGTTGTCCGAGACTGCAGTGTCGCGTCGATCGAGCTCTGCTTTCCTCGCAGCACTGTCCACCGCAAGCCAGTTGATTACCAGGACTCTTTGAAAGTGGAGAGATTTGCGAGATGCTGTGGGGGCTGCAGCCTCCCCTATCCCGACCTTGACGCTGAGAGCGCAACATTGGCAGACGTCCGAATACGCCTTGGACCGAACCAAACTAAAGCTGGGCAAGAAAAACATCTACTACGATAAGTGCACAATATTCCGGGTTCTCGAGAACTACGTCAGACAGGAGATCAATACAATGATGCCCCTGGCAAACTCGTCGCAGCCCTCCGCGACCGCACAATTGTTCCAGAGGAAGTGGGCCTTGTCGTCCTAAATGGGGGGCATACTCTACTGGTCCCCAAAACAGAAAGTGGTGACCACTGTAAGATGGCTCTCGAAAGACTTTCCGTGGGGTTGCCAACTTTGTTGGTCATCTGTAATGCAGATGTTCCGATCCCTGACCATATCCTTGCATGGCAGCCAAATTGTGCGAGAATCGAAATGAAGCCCCTGACTCGGAGGGGCAATATCAACCATGTGCACTCGTTCATTGCAAGCAGAAACAACGATATGGTCGAGGTTTTGAGGTGGGCCAAAGTGGAGGTAGACAACCTCAACCTAAAGCATTGGACCACGTCCAAAGATATGAGGGAGCGCCCTGCGAAGAGCAGTTTCTTGGCAGAGAGGAGTATGCAAGTGATGAGATACATCCTAGTAGAGCCACAAGCCCGACTGCTATTAGCCGGTTCTTCTTCTTACTTTTTCGAGCCCTTGACAGTCGTCCGCCGCCTTTCGTCCGTTCGTCGAGCGATAGCACTTGATCAGAAGTATGATATTGCGGTGCAATGCCCTTGTGAGTTCCTGTGTTTGGCTGATCCGGGTTTCTTTGTTGCAGTACCGCGAACAAAGCATCTGATTTTCTCTGAAAAATGCAACACTTCCACGTGCTCCGTATGTCTTTTCCGTTTGCGTTGACTTGCGAAGGGTTGGTTCTGACTTGTCTATCTAGAAGCCAGTATGCAGACAAGACGTCGCGCTTCGAGCGCCACCTGTTGGGTTTATAGTTGATTCGCGGGCAAGAAAGCAACCCCACCCGCAACCCGCATAATCCCATCGACTGCGAATACGATCAAGAAGAGTCCTTCCCAGCTGTCCGTGAAGAAGACATCTGAGAATGGGATCGGACCAAGGGGGGGAGTTGTACCGGCCCTTAATGCAGATACTGGACGGAGGGGGATTTATGATTCATGAGTGACTGGATAACCCCACGAAGTACTGTATACCGACAAGGGGCGGTCCACCTGCATACTCGCAGACAGACTAGCAGAGCCTCTCTTGAAACCAGCGGATGACGCTATCCAGAGAGCGACTGGATTTGATACCGCGCGTGTTGATCATAAATATTGAGCCGCGGTGGACAGATGCAACGGGTGTGGGGCGATCCTTCTACGCAGTCTACAGAGGCACATGTGTTCTCTGCGACTCCGCGCCAACGACACAACAGCTTGAATACACTTTCTATTATTCTATTAGTAGCAAAAGATACCTACGTTGGAAAGATGATATGCCATATCAGCAACGCAGTAGCTGTTAAATCATATAGTGTTGATACAATATACATTAATTTGAGGACATCATAAAATAACCGTATGTTTATAGATGAAACTATCACAGGTTTGGTAGGTAGACCATATTTCAGAGGACTAGGATTATTCCGGTGTGTTAGATTAAATATAGTTTAGCAGTGTTAGACTGGTAGTGAGACATGACTTCTAAGAGATATATCTGTGTCTTATATGTTTGATTCTGCAGCTTAGGGAATGTATAGTAAGGTAAGTCAAGACCATAGCATTGTAAGGCAGTTCGTTTCGTCGACAGATATATTCTATCTTCACCTTAAATGGAGTGTAACTTTTAAAATCCAGACTTGAGAGGTTGAGATCTGGTTCAGCTTGATCTTGGCTGTCCGAGTGCTATGTTTTCTAGATCGAAAAGTAACGTGCTGCCGGGCAGTTCTTGTATAGTGGGGATGCCCTGGGTATAAAGCACACTACATACATGCTAGGTCCAAGCCATCAGAGCAACGTGCAACCAGTCATTCCCCAGGTGTGCAAAGCACATACACTTTCGAACTTGCGCCTTGTGTCAAGCAACAGGTAAGTAAGTATCTTGCTTGCATCGGTTCCTCGTTACGATGAGTTGCCGCCACAAAATAAACCTGGCAGCAGTCAAGCAGGAACCACAATCACCTGCAAAGAAATAAAAAGCCAACCCCACAACTAAAACCTACCAGTAGCCCCTCCCTCTTACCTAAAATCTCGGCCCTAACAGGTACAGTACAGTAGGTACCAATCTATCCCCCTGGAACCAGCCCAGGCTCCCTCTACCCACCAACCTAACCCCCTTGCATCGACCGTGCTATCAAGCATCATGCAGGGAAATCAATAAAGTTGCAGATCATCCCCCACCAGCAAGAAGATCACCTACTAGTCTGTCTTCCACCCCATAGCATCCTCTACCTCACCTCTACCTCTACCTTAAACCCATAAAACCCACTAATCCCCCAGCACCTCCAATACAACCTCACCTCACCTCACCTCACATCATCCCTCGACCCCGGGCCCCAAAATGCGCCTCCCACTCCCTGGACCAACAACCCTCACTCTCCTCCTCCTCACAGCCCTAAACACTCCACCAACAAAAGCATGCACTCCACCCCCCGACCCAACACCCGAATACCTCCTCACGCGAGCGCCCTGCACCACGGACGCCACCTGCCAGACCACAACCACCACCACGACCGCCACACCCCCCGGGAACGAATTCTGCTTCCACCCCGCACACAGATGCCTCCCGCGCCTCTCCGCAGGGACATGCTGCACCACGGACCCCGAATGCATATCCAACTACTGCCAGGCCGGGAGCTGCGCCCTCAGCCAGACGGGGAAACCCTGCGGTACCGTCGCAGACTGCAATACCGACAATACCGCTCCGCAACAACGATGGGTGTGTGCGCCACAGACGAACACCTGTCTCCTCGGGGTGCTGGGCCTCGGGGCCCCGTGTCTCGGCGACGAGCAGTGCGGGTTCGGGCGTTGTGCGGCGGGAATCTGTGCGCGGCCCGCAGGGGAGTACGGGGCTGTTTGTCGGCAGACTCCAGAGTGTGTGGCTGGGCTGGTGTGCACGTATAGTCTGTTCAGTGAGGATCGCGCCACCAAAATGTGTCAGGCGGCGCCGGGGCCAGGGGCGTATGGGGCGCCGTGTGCGGGCGACGGGGACTGTGTGTCGGGGAACTGTGGGGTGAATGGGGAGTTGGTCTGCGGGGAGCCAAGGGTGTGTAAGGAGGAAGGCGAGGGCTGTTGGCGCGATGCTGATTGTTGTCGGGGTGGGTGTCGGTTTGGGAGGTTGTGGGTTTGGAGGACTTGTGAGGTTTAATTTTGCGGAATTGATTTGTCGATGCGCTAAGCAAAATGGCATACTAAACAAAAGCACTAGATAGCAAATCTTCGTGATCCAAGAACGAGACAAAATCTTAATGTAAGTTCAGCCGCGCCAAACTGTCCTCCCAGTCCGCCGCACGCGTCACGCCCTCGGCAGCGATATGCTTCTGTCCACCGACGGGCTCCCCACACTCCGAACATACGGCCCTCTCCATCGCCATGCCGCACTCCCCAATCATGAAGGGATGGCCGTTGCGACAGTAGTACCAATGCCCCGTGCCACGGAACTCCTGCGCCATGGCAGTAATGACCGCCATGCGTTCGTCGTTGGTCACGGGGGTATAGAACGTCGCACCGAGAAGCATCCTCTCGACACTTTGGACTTCGTCCATCAAGCCACGGGTCTGAGCAGGCCAGGAGGTGTGCCAGAGCCCTGGCATGATTGAGAGCTTCCGGGGCATGGACCACGCATTGCTCAATCAACTCAGGCGAGGCTGCATACGATCTCTCAAAAGCATGGAGCTGGGCGAGGAAGATATAGCCCTCCGTCTGGTGATCAATGTGATTCGAAAGTTCCGCTGTCTTCACGAGAGCCTTGCATTGGTCGCGATTCTTCGAGAGATCCATCTCAACCGCACTATGGGTCTCTTTCGGGGCCTCACGATGAAGCTTGAGAAAGTCAGCGAGCAAGGCGATATCCAGACGCAGAGTGAGCGCGCTGGCTTGAACCGACCCCTTCAACTGAAGGATGTCGTTCGCAGGCTCAAAACTCTCGGTGGCATCCTTCCGACGACGAGCGATGCCTACCAAGTTGCGTACTTTACTGTACGGCTGCTCCTCGGGCGTTACTTGCTTCATATATCTCTTGATCCCTCCCGCCGTAGATCGAGAATGTACCGCCATCGTCTCTTGCTGGCTTGAGAAAGTATATTGCACATCGTAGCAAATTGGCTTTCGCACTTGTCCGCGATCTTGACAGTGGCCGGCCAGGCAATAGGTTGTTCATTTGTCGATGCCTGGAGCTGTCGTATGCATCGAGGGAGGGTCTGCGCTAGGGGGACGAATTCGCGATTCATGTGCAATATTAACCTTTTTGTCAACTCATCCAAGAGAGCACGGCGGACCAATCGTCCGTATCGGGCGATATCTCTCAGGGGGCCCACGGCAGCTGGCACACGTCTTGATGTTGTCCATGGAGAACGGCTCCATTGATGCGGCAATCCCAATTGGCTTCTCCCGTGCGTCAAGAACGTAGTACTTCTTCATGTCCATCTGGGCATCCATATTCTCAACTGTCAAGAAGTGGCCGCAACGGGGAAACACACATGGATTCTCGTCAAGGTTGATGTCCCGGTAGGTCTCCCCAAGGATAAAGTCAACCATCTGATTCTGAATTTCATCATCCCCACATTTGCAATTTCCCTTGTTCGCAAACTCGTCAAATATCCTAGATGAAATAGCGTTGTCAGTTCAGGAGAAATGAAGGAAGTGTGAGAGACAACTGACCCTGGAGTCATGATCACTGAACAAGAGATTTTTCAATGATATGATCGTTGAGGTTCCGTTATCGACCGTGGTGGATAAATGATTGGATTGGAGGATATAAAAGGTTTGAGGCACGTCGGTAGGATCGTAATGATGTCAAACGAGTGAGCGCAGAGAGATAGTTCTCGAGATGTTTTCTTGCCGTGTCGTGGAAGAGGGGTGATCCAAAAGAGGTCCGGCTGAGTATCAGAAAGTAAGAAGCGAAGTGAAGGTTATATTCCAAGTTGGCTGATGAGTTACCAAATTGCCTTGCGAAGCTGGAACAGTGAAGAGTGAATGACGATCTGTAGAAGTACCTTTGTGAATTTCCAGGATATTCGATAGACACTCACCCCACCCTAAGACTTGGTGGGCAGGCGACAACTGATTCCTCGGCCCGTATCACACTTTCGATAGTGAAGAGAGTGTTTAGACGATGATGGAACAGACCCGGTCGAGCAGGATGTGCTGGGCAGGGTCGCAAACGCAACGCAAACGCAACGCAAACACAACGGCGAGTCGATGAAAAGAAGGGGAAGTTACATTAGTGGACAGGGTGACTTCCTTCGCTGTTTCCCACACACATCATAGTGTGCTAAGGAGCCGGGCAAATTGATTTTTCGGTTTGTTTGGTTGCTGAAGTTCGGCAAGAGGAAAGGAACAAATTCATGGAGAACACATAAATTAAAGTCTAAACTCCGGAGCATTTCAGGAAGGATAGTAATGGTAATTTTCAATCGCAAACCCAAGTCCAAGTTCGTTTTGTGCCCACATATAAGTAAACCCGGAAGCATCAAACATGAAAGCTGAAGAGATATGATACCTAACCCAATCGTGCCATTGAAACAGTGCCAGACAGTACAAGGCGAATCCGCAATCCACTCACTTACCCCTTTACTCGTCGCCAACCTCCTCCACTCGAGGCGCCAAGTCACGCTTGACAGTGCTCGAAGTATCGGGTGCTTCGGTTGCCGTCGTGGATGCTGCCGGAGCTGCGTCGGTAGCGGCGTCGGTAGCAGGTTCCGTGGCCTCCCCAGCCACAGCCTTCTTCGACTTCGACTTCTTCTTCTTATTCTGTCGAGTGTGTCAGCTTTTGTCCCAGACCAGGAGAAAAACATATACATACCTCTTGCCAGCCCCACAAGGGCTTGAAACTATCCACGAAGCCGACATCTTCAAAGAGATTGGGGAAAAGCCAGAGACCAGGCGGCACCGCAAAGACAGTGATGCAGAACAAGATGAGACGGAAGATCGACATGGCGAAGAACAATCCCAGCAGACCCATCATGCCGACACTCAAGTACCAGACTCCCTGTCGCAGCATCATGGGCCATAGAGGGAACAACACGACGGCGAAGATACCCGCAACAACAGCACCGGCCATCAACTTCTGCTTCAATTGAGGGCCCTCGTACAGCCAAACGTAGTGCATCATCGGGTTGGTTTCCTGGTGCTGCTCGATCTTGACCGTCCACAGCCCCTTGACACGGTTCTTGGACTTGGCATGGTTGTGGCCGGCGTGGGGGTCGACCTTAGAGACTCGGAGAGCCAGAAGAGACAGGGGCAGAAGCTTGAAGACGTTCTCGGCGGAAGCACGGTCGGTCACCGGCGGGAGGAGGGAGTTCTTCTTGGCGGCAGCTTTAGCATAGGCGGGGGACTCGAGGGCGCGAATAGCGCGTTTCACTAGAGAACTGCATCAGCACCACTGTTATCAGACGAGCTACCAGATTGTCAAACCTTTGAACATCTCCTTCCGTTGACCGTCCATGATACACGTCCGCGTCTTGAGGTTCTGCGACTGCAGGAACTGCGCCACTGCGATCGCCTTCGGGTCGGGAGGATTGGACGGGTTGACGGGAACTTGACGAGTCGTCTGCTGGGGCTGAGGTTGTTGAGGTGCTGGGAGGTTCTGGCCGGGCTGACCGGGCTGGCTGGGCGGTTGAGCTCCCTGAGCTCCCTGAGCTGCCTGAGCTTGTGCTTGTGCTTGGGCCTGGGCCTGGGCCCGGGATTGAGCCTGAGCCTGAGCGACCTGTTGCTGGTGTGCGGCGATGGCGCGCGCTCGGAGCTGCGCGACATATTGTTCGGTGCTCATATTGTGCTTAGCAGCCTCTGCAGCAAGTTGTTCGCGCTGCTGTTGGGCGAACTGTTCCGGAGTCATTCCGCGTCTGGCAGCCTCAGCAGCGAACTGCTGCTGCATGGCAGCGATCTGCTGGGGGGATGGCCCACCGGGCGCCGCCATAGTGAGCGATGGATGTGTAGATCGAATTAGCTGAGAACAGAAAAGATCACGCGAGGTTGGCAGAAAAGCCCCCAGCGTTCATTCGAGTTGATGAGGAGCACGCAGAAAGGCGAGGAAGAGCCGGACTGGTGGGAAAGGGCGGAATGAGATGAGTTCAAGGGTGAGGTGTGAAGTGCAGTCCCGTGCGGTGGAAGCAAAGAAAGAAGAGGCCAGATGGTGTTTGGGCCGGGCTTCAGTCACCCACCGCCTTCTTCTCCGCACTCGGCCGGCCGGAGCTTTTCCTCCTCCTCTTCCGTACCCTTCCTCTTCTGCCCTTCTCCACTGCTGCATCAACTCATGCTGTATCGCATGTAGCTCTGGAATCCAACGGTCATGCCGACTTATCCATCGCGCAATCAGCCTCTCCGCTGTCTGCGGTTTGTAGTCACGCATCAATGAAGTTCGATCCCGATATCATTCTCAATGCGACGCAGTCGGCTGTCTTCCTGGTGAGTTTGCGACAAAACTCCATTTCGCACTGATCATACCACTAAATGTCGCATAGAGCGAACGAGACGTCGCCGGCCAGATTCCGCTGAATTTCGTCACCACCTCGTCCGTCTCCCTGCGCGCAGCATGCTTCGGCAATAATATCTATGACGAAGACGCGGCGGGGCGATGCATCTCGAACCTACTCACGGTCGGATATCGTCGCCTGATCGTGGACCTGTACTGGTCGCCCGACGAACGCAAATGGCAGCTATGCCCGGTCTCGATACCGCAGGACGCGACAGTTGTCAGTGTCTCCGGGACCGCGACTGAAACCGCGACCGCGACCGCGACCAACGCAGCGCAAGCGACCGTCACCGCGACGGCTAGTTCCTCGGGGTCGCTGCTGTACGAGCTCGGTTCATACCGGTGCACCACCAAGGTCGACCTCGACGGGCTGCTCGACGTGCTCCAGGGCCTCTTCCAGCGCACCAGCACCGAGTTGACGGCCTACATCCGCTTCGTCACCTTCAACCTGCACGCCGCCGCCAGCGCCACCGACCCGGACGAAGCCGCCGCAGCGCTGACCGGCGACCAACTGCCCACAGGCTCGAACACGCTCACCTCCATCTTCGATCACCAGCTCTCCTCGTACGTGTACACCCCGTCGGAGCTGGCCTCGGAGCGCGCCAACCTCAACGAATCCTGGTACGAGGTCGACGACAGCTACAAGCCGATCACGGAGTACTTCACCGTGGACTCGGACGCCAAGGGCATTCAGAGCACGCTGGACGGGTGGCCGTGCGGGAAGTTCGTGCAGCTAGCGCGCGAGAAGCGGCTGCTGGTGGAGTACGGCACCGTCGACCCGCAGCTGCAGGGATACGAGCTGTCAGCGGCGCACAGCCTGATCTTCCCGGCGCACTACCTGTCCTCGACGATCTCCATCGCCGTCGACGCGGCGGGCCAGCTTGACTCGACCTGCTACTACGTGCCGGGCGCCACCGGCGTCGCCGAGGCCAACTCCTCCTGGGCCATCTCCGACTACATCCCGGGGCTTGGCGGAACCTCGCGGAATGCCACCATCCAAGAGATGTCAGCGGTCTCCGTGAACCTGACGGCGTGCGGCCTCACCCCCTCACTGAACGACACGCTCTTCAACACCAGCGCCGCAGACAGTATCGCGCCCTACGAGCAGCTCTCGATGGCCAGTTCCTGGGCCTGGTCGATCAGCCAACCCGCCGACACCTCCTCCTCCACCACAGACTCCGATGCATCCTCCGACTCCTCCTCCACCAACAACAACCACTGCGCCGTGATGGACCTGACCCTGGCCGGCCACTGGCGCGCCGTCAACTGCAGCCTAACCCGCCACGCCGCCTGCCGCGTCGGCACCGCCCCGTTCACCTGGCGCCTGTCGGCGACCGCGCACGCCTTCGCCGACGCCTACGACCACGCCTGCCCGCCCAACACCTCGCTGTCGATCCCGCGCACCGGCGTCGAGAATTCGTTCCTGTACCACTACCTCCTCACGCAGTCCGACGTCCTCGACCCCGCCGCCACGTCGCCCAGTAGCACACACGAGGTCTGGCTGGATCTGAACTCCCTCGACGTCACCTCCTGCTGGGTGACGGGCGGGCCCGACGCCGCGTGTCCGTACGCGGCCGACCCCGGCGAGCTGGAGCGCCGCACCGTGCTCGTGGCCGCCATCGCCGGCATCGTCATCTGCATCATCGCCGCGTTGACGCTCTTCGTGAAGTGTAACGCGAACCGTCGCAATTCCCGCCGGAATAAGCGCGTCATCAAGGGGTGGGAATATGAGGGGGTCCCTTCTTGATATGCTCTAATGATTCCCCTATATTTAAAGGCGGGGAAGGTAGCGATACTTCTAATATTTGCTTGAACCTTGAAGTAACCTGTACATATTCGTTGCTTTTGTTTTTGTCTTCTATTTGTACATCTTCATTGCTGGTATCCTCAGCTGTACATATATGTATCACAGATTCAAGATATCTGATTATATGTTCTTCTGTTCCATTTTTGTTCGTGCTGGAATCCAGCTAGTATGGACGTCTGTACACTACTTACAATACACAACACAAGGAGTAACGGAGTATCACAGCCGAGCGGCAAAATCCATCCATCAAAGCAAAGCAAATCAACCAATCATAATCCACATAGATCATCATAATCCATCCAAATCAATAGCCCGTCGAGTCATGAAGAAAATAATCACAAGGAAACCCTCCCGTAAACGCAAATAAATACAAGCCACATCACGGCACAAGA